GGGCTGCATTTGGGTGGCCCAGCTGGGAGGGAGGAGGTGCCCAGCCCAGCAATTTATCCAAGAGCCTGTAATTATGGGGATAATTCTGAAGGCCTGTTCCACTGCCCTGGGAAGCGGCTCTGCTGAACCTAGGGGGAGAGAAAAGGGAGAGACGGTGTCAGCATGTGCAACCCAGGACTGAGATAAGTTGCTTTTGTCAACACCAGGTAATTGATCTCCCCTGCTCCTCAGTTACATAGCTACCCATTTCTCAGCTGGGTTAAGAGATGACCCTTGCCTTGAGGGCAGTTGACCATGTAGCCAGGCTGAAGCGGCACTCTGGAATCCACTAGGACTGGGATGTCATAGTGAATCCCAGGGTGTGGCTTGGAGTGGCTTCTCAGGAATGAGAAAGGGTGGCAGGAAATAAAGTCTTCCACAGAATAACCTTGCTATGAAGCTCTGCTCCAGTGCCCTGTTGGCACTGGTACTTCCAGGCATGCTCTTGCACTAGGCTTGCAACCCAGACTCTTTTTGCAAAAGCAAATTGGCTAGGCCCTTTAGACACAAGTCCTGCCGGACGTGCTGTGGGGATGTTCCTAGATCAGCCAGCTCTGGGTTACTGGGCATCTCTCCACTTGGCTCCCAACCAATTCTGCTTTTTCGGCTGCCCTTGTTGGTACCCAGCTCTGCTGCTGTGGGGAGACAGGGAGTGTTACTGGGAGCATGCTGTGAGGCATCCTCTGAGCCAAAGAGGCCCTGCTAGGGGAGGAGTGTCCTACACAGTTGGCTTGTCTAGCAAGATGGGGCAGTGTAAGTCTGTCGGACCCCACACAGTGCAAGGGCCAACTGATGGGATGGAGCTTGCAGCCTCTCCTTAAAGAAACCTGGGAATCTTGAGTACAAGAAGACCCTAAGGATGTGGTCCAATGTTTTCATCCCTGCTGTTCTGAAGATATTTGAATGTTCCTGGGGAGGCTGTGAGAGTGAGATATAGCATAACTGAGGTGTGTACGTGTTCAATGCATGTGGGGTGGAATGAGGGATAATCCAATCTAATACTCAAAGCCAAAGCAGCAGTACAATTGGGAGTTTGATCAGGAGGGAGAGGGACCCTTTGCATGAAAAAGGAGAGGGCTTCCTTTGTTAATTGGAGTAAAAAAGAATTTGCATAGGGCTCCTCATTAACATGCTCACTGTTGCTACCTCGCTGTAGCCCAGAATCCCCTCCCCCAACTTTGTATCAAACAATGCTGCTCTCTCAGTGGAGGGGAGGGGGGTTAAGCAGGAGCAGCTGGGGGGGGAGGCTGTGGCACATAGAGTGACAGTACCTAAGTTTAACGCCCTCCCCATCAGACAAGAGAGTGCCCCATGTAAAGCATACTTGGCAGCTTCTCTCATTTTGCCTTGTCTTTTCATGTTGCTCCCTGGTTAATTAGGGTGTTGGAATTTGAGGCTTCCTCATTCCCCTTTGAAGCTTCAGATTGTCCTGTTCCAAATTAACCCTAATTACAAGGAATATCTCCCTCTCTTCCCTTCTTCACAACACTTGCAGATGTACTGTCATTTCAGCTCCGAACGTTGTTAATAAATAAATAAGGCTCCCAGTGTCCACTTCCTACTATCACTCATCCTGGGCAATGACAAGAACAAGGTTGTTGAGAGGGTCTCTCTCTCTCTCTCCCTCTCTGCATATTTCTGTCCTGGCCATCACATGGCACAAAACCATCTCCTGGCACTTGTTTAAAAAGAGGCTTTGTACTTAAAGACCATCTGATGAAGGACTCCTCTAATTTTTGGGATCCATCTTCGCCTGTGGCTTCAAAGTTTGGCCTGAATGTGTTCCCCACCCTTCCTCTACATTCTGGTTGTACGTGTGGTTTCTCTCCTGGGTGGCCTAGTCAAGATCAGCAGAGCTCAGCATGACTCCTGGTGCCTTGCCTCCCAAACAGCCTGGAATGGTTTGGATTCTGCCTCTGATGCTTCCCTCCCAGCTCTTCCCATCTCGGACAGACGCAGAGTGTCTGTCCCCTCCCTGTGTTCCTTGGCATAGCCTCCTCCCTCACTGGCATCCCAGCTGTTCCTTTGGGGAGAGTGGCATGGAAACCAAAAGCATGCCTGTCAATCAGCTTGGGTATATATATATATATATATATATATATCAACAGCTACGAAGTATTAAAAGAAGAATTTATACTTACAAAAAGTGACAAAATAGCAGGACAGGATAGAATTGTTGAGCTCAGCAGCGAGCTTGTAGTAAAAATGTCTACACAAGCTCTCTCTTACCAAGTTTGAGAAATAAAATTTATGATGAAGAACCCAGAACGATGGAGGGGGAGAAGCACCAATAAGCAAAAGAATTATCAGGCTGTGGAATATGTGGTTTTTATGTCCTCATTTTCTGCTTCTGTTAAAAATAAGGTGAGCCAGAGAATTTGAAAAGGAAAAGATAATATGTGGGAAATGTTTTTTATTTCAATATGAACAATATTTGGATAGGCTATCCTGTAGAGCATTCTTCCTCCCACTTGGTGCCCTCCAGATAGAAAGATAATTTTATTTTTTTATTTTGACAAAGTAATAATAATAAATAAATAAAAATGAGCACTCTGCCCACAAGACAATTCCATTGTAACTTTCCAGCCTCCCAAAATTTCAGCCCGTCTTGTGATGGTTTGACCCATATATTTTTATAGACTACAGCTCTCATCGTCCTTGACCATTGCTTAGGCTGGCTGGAGTTGATAGGAGTTTTAGTCCAAACCACCTGGAGGACACCATGTTGAGGAACGCTGTACTAGAGTCACATAGTTGGGAATAGTTGGCAAGCACCCTACAGTGCATATTATGAACCTTCCATTTGTTGTGCTCCACAGCTGCTGCCACAGCTGCAAGTGTGTCACAAACTTATTTTGGTTTTGCCCCAGTTTAGCTGTCTATACTCCTTCCTCGTCCCCATCCCTGCTGCTGCCACCATCAAATAATCCTGGGAATTGCAATTTGTGGTGTTTTCTGGAGAGAGGCAACATGTATTAAACCAGTTAAAGACAGATATGTCCACACATGTTTAGAAGAAAAGGAGTTGGGAAAATCAAGAAAATGTTAGAATGCATTGGTGTTTCTGACCCTCAAGAGACAGCTATGTTGTCATTAGCCCCATAAACCTGGAGCCAAATGTTGAGAGTCTTCTGCAATGGCTTGAAAATGGGAGATTGTAGTCAAAACAGAATTTACCATTCGGTTCAGTAACCTGTCTCTCAGCCTGTGTCTCTATATCTGCAAAATGGAAATAGTGACAACTTCCCTCACATTCTTATTTTAAGGATGATTAAGGGAATGTCTACACTATAGACCCAAACCAGTATGAAATTGGTTTAACTGCCATGGATTTTCCCCTGGAGAAGTGTGGGAATTGTAGTTGTTTTTGTGAGGTTGCTTTGAGTGCTCAGATATAATCCCTTGAAAAAAGCGCAATGACCATAAAGATGGTTTAAATTTATAACACAAATTACTTAACAAATTACTGAAGGAATACTGAAGCAATGTAAATTCAATGTCAATTTCCAAATGATATATCTGTTGTTAACTTTATAAATAAAATTTTATGAAGACACTTGTGCAATATTCCTCAATGAGAAGTTTAACCACGGCAAACAAATGTCTCTGAAAGTCACCTTTATCTCTTTAACTTCCTATCTTCTGCAATGTGCAGCCACAGAAGCTTGTGTGTGCTAGGGTGTACTTTCACTTTGTACAGAGTGAATGTGAGGCTCAATGGGCATTACTATGACTGAACTGAGTATGCGCTGTAGAATATTTCCCAGAATCCTTTGCTATATACAGCTGTTCTGTGGCAGGCAGGCAACTTCCTCCGCAACTTGCACTATTTTGTAGCAAAGCTACCATTGGGGGATTCTTCAGAGTGGAAGCTTGGGGCACAGTGAATTTCCCCTTGGCATTATTAGTTCACTCATCCCACTCAAAGCCATAAGGGGCGAACAAAGTTATTCCCCTTCAGTTTTTAATATACTGACTACATTAGTCATATTTATATACTTCTTATTGTGGCTTCTGGAGCACCAGGCCAGTTACAGTATACGGTGGGCAACTTCCTCTGGCAGACGATGAACTACAGTGGTACCTCGGGAAGCGAATGGGATCCGTTCCGGAGCCCCGTTTGTATCCTGAACAGAACGTAAGATGCAACTGCACGTCTGCGCATGCGCGGGTCACGTTTCGCCGCTTCTGCGCATGCGCGTGACGTCATTTTGACCGTCTGCGTATGCACGAGCGGTGAAACCCGGAAGTAACGCGCTCCATTACTTCCGGGTCGCCGCGGAGCACAACCCGAAAATACTTATCCTGAAGTGTATTTATCCCGAGGTATGACTGTATAGCTCTCTGTGCTGGTAGCAGCTTCTCAGTATGTAGTTTCTCCTTCCACTCGCCCTTTCCCTTTCTTTTTCAAAAATAAAATACAGTCCCAGAAGCTGCAATTACAGTGGAAGACTGTGGGGGAGGCAGTTCTTAGCTCTTTCCCTCCAACAGTTGTCCCCCTCCCCCCAGTAAAACCGCTCCTTGCAACACCTGCCTCCTCTCCAGTAGGATTTTGCTCCTAGGTGGGGAGCTTATCAAGCAATACCACTCCTTCTTGAGCCCCTCCTCACTTCTACCTCTGCAGCTGTGTTTTGTTTTGTTTTTTTTAAATACTATGTGTGATCAAGCACAACACTTCTCTGTGTCTTTTAATTTGTTTTAATTAATTAGACAACCAACACAGATTGGAGTAATCAGTCTACTAGTTAAATCTTCCAAGGGTTGGGGAAATGTATTCTTTTAACCATGATAATGTGAAGAAGAATACATGTGTTAAAGGGAAGACCAGACTGCATGATGTTCCCCTGTGGGCCTATTCTCAGTTCTAGGGTCTCTCATGTGAATAAGCGAAGAACCAAGTAAGAGGACAGAGGTAAGTGGGAGGTATATTAACTCCAGTGTTTCTTTCCCTTTCCCTCCAGAGGGCAGCCGTGTCAGCCAGGAGCTCCGGTACACAAAGGAAAAGCTAGGAGAAGAGTCTCTGTACACACCCCAGATGCTGATACAAACTCCCAAACGGGAAGGTGAAAACATCCTGACCCCAGAGGCCTTGGGAATGCATCTTGAAGCTGCTCTGGCTGCAAGCAAAGTGCAAGTCTTACTTTACGGAAAGTGAGTTTCAAAATGGAAAATCTATGTTACTCTCATAAGAAGAACATACACTTTTTATGATGGATTAGATGAGGATCTATCTAGTCCAGCATTCAGTTTCTATCAATCTTCAGGTGTCTCTGGATGCTCACAAGCAGAGCATGAAGGTTATGGCCTTCCCCAATGTTTGTGCCCAGCACCTGTTACTCAGAGGTACATTGCCTCTGCAGCTTCCATTTAGTTAACATTCCTCTTTCCAGCAATTCTTCTGACTTTTTTTTTACATTCATTGCCTCTGCTTCTTCTTTCAGGTCTTGGGATCTCAACAAAATATGCTACAAGTCAGGTGTCCCCATAATTGAGAATGGAATGATTGCACGGGTGAGTTACCAAGGGAATGCATGCATCTGCAGGGACAGGGGTTGCACTAAAACCCATAGAAATTAGGTAGATCAGCTGGGGAAAATCTCTTTGTTAGATGGCATAAATAATTCCCTGGGGTCTAGCTGGTTGGCTAGAGAATGGGGTGGGTCTTAGAGAGGATATCCAGGTTGCTATGGGGATAGGGTGGAATCTTTAAAAAAGGATGGTGTTACAAAGGAGCAGCTTCCCAAAGCACCCTTCTGGGTTCAGAGACTTGGACATTTCTGCATAGACTGGACATGCTTCTTTTTGCTAGACCCCTAACCCTGGTTACAATCACTCCTGTGTATCTGAGATAAGAGCTAACTATGAGGCTTTATTTCCCTTCCAGCCATATGCTGGGGGAGTAGAAAGAGGAAAGTCTATTTTATCCTCAACTGCTTTCAGCAGTGCCTGACCTCTGGTGATAAGGGTTTTACATCCTGCATGCCTCAGTTGCAAGAGACTGCTGTCCCCTTAGACAGGTATCCTCAGAGTGAGAACTTCCCGTGGCCCACTGTAGCCCGTTTGGCTAGGACAAGTCTTCCAGGTTCTCATATCTGGGATCTGTTTGGATTGAGGGCTTGTATTTGGGATGGTACTCTTTGGTTCCCAAAGCCGTTCACTGTTCCAAAAGGCTGCAAGGGAGAGAATGGGGAGACAAGGTAAGTTAAGTTGCAGTAGGACACTGGTTGTAGAGAGGGTAGTCCCACCTGCAAAAAAATTATGTGAGCATTTGGGCAGGTCAAGGAAGGTAAGGGACAAAGAGAGCAAAAGAGAACTGGAAAGATGAACTTGTGGTTTTCCTCTGTGACTGTGGCTCTTGTCATTCCCAGATGATCGAGAAGCTCTTTCCTTGTGTTATCGTGACCCCACTGGACTGCTTTTGGGATGGTGCCAAGCTGCAAGGGGGTTCCGCTTACCTCCCGTGAGTACCTGTTTTTCAGGTGTACTTTTCTGCCCTGCTTTGATTGGCCTGTGAGGCCAAGTCTGTGTAGAAGGCTGTCTGTAGGTTAAGCATGTATCCAGCACAGGGATTGAGACCTGACATGCTTTTAGCTATTTCTCGTCTGTTCCCTATTCCACAGACTTATCTAGGCTTTAGGAAGTATGCTTGTCTATACACATACACACTCTCACACACTGTCTTCTATCTGAGCCCCCCTCAGGTTTTTGAGAGTGCTTTCAAGCTCTTTCACAGGATGCAAAGTATGATCATTTAGCATTTTCTTAAAGTGCCCAAAGCACTTCCACTTCCCTCACTAAACACAATAATAAATATAACAAACTTTTAAGGTAGGATGGTCCTATTCTTTCAGTATTAAAGAAGGCATTACTAAAGGCTCTTGCATCCCAGTGTGTTGGTGGATGAGCTGAGATTTGAATTGGGCATTTCCAGCTCAGACGTCACACCTCAAGCTCTTAACCTCTCGTACAGTGTCCCAGTTCTTATTTGCAGCTAAGCAAGGTCCCAACAAGGAGAAAGACATCTGAATGTAGCAGGAATGTTTGCCTGCAGTCACTGGTCAAGAACGAGGAGTAGAGGAAGAACCAGTCATGATAAGGATTGTACATGAGCCTGCCCAAAAAGATGGTGGCATCTTTTTGTGTTTGGTCAATAATGCTCTTTTACCACTAAATCAGAGCTGGAGTTACCTGTTTGCCTTTAAGGCCTGCAGGCTGGATTGGCCATGGCAGGCATTGTTAGAAAGCATAGCTGATGATGATGGAGGAAGACGGGTTGCAAAAACACTTTGTGGCTTCATAATTTTCCTGTACTAATAAGCGATAGGATCTTTGCCTAATAATTGGGTTTCTTGCTTGGCTTGCTTGGCACCTGTGGAAAAGCTCCCTTCCTGTATCTGATGCTTCCAAGGTACAGTGGTACCTCAGGTTACATACGCTTCAGGTTACATACGCTTCAGGTTACAGACTCGGCTAACACAGAAATAGTACCTCGGGTTAAGAACTTTGCTTCAGGATGAGAACAGAAATTGTGCAGTGGCGGCGCAGCGGCAGCAGGAGGCCCCATTAGCTAAAGTGGTGCTTCAGGTTAAAAACAGTTTCAGGTTAAGAACAGACCTCCAGAACGAATTAAGTTCTTAACCCAAGGTACCACTGTACTTACCTACCTTTCAGTATTTTTTCAGCGTGCATTATTGCTTGTTTGGGGAAACGGAAACATAGTTCTCATTTTCAGTGGCACATATACTATTAAGGTGGCACCTGTGGCACAGGAAGGAGAGTACTGTCCATCTGCTGTAGAATAGCATAATTTGCCAGTTACCACTATAATACTACAGCGTTTCTCCTCTTACCTATTCCACCACGGCATGTCCAAGGGGATTTTGCTTACACCCCCCCCTTGTTCTGCGATGCCACATTAGGGAGGGGGTGGTAACAGTTAGTGGGTGGTAGGATAGTCTCACATCCTCCAGCCTGCCCCCACAGAATTTGGGTATAGGTCCACAGCCCCAGCAGTTTTCTCCCTGTCCCACTTCCGAACCAGAGGGAAAACGCTTTCTCTAGTCTCCTACCCCCTCCCTTAAGTTTCTACTTTGGGGCCAATTGCTTTGTTTTGTTGCTCCTGCTGCCTCGTAATTATGTTTCTATTAAGGTGTACAAAATGGGGGATGGAGGGGGAGAGAGGGTAAAGATGTGGGGACCAGCCCCACTGGAGGCACTGGGGGAGGGAGGGACAGGAACAATAGCCAGCATTCTTTCTGTTTACAAGTGTGTTTGTCCATAAGGGGCCCTGGAGACTTATGCTTTGTCAGCAAACGGCAACACCACGTATTCTCATGCTAATGATACTTTGAAAGCTCCAAGTTGCCCAACAAATGGAATAGTAGCTTTATTCAGCCTGCTGCTGAGAGAAAGGGGACAGGGAGGGAGGGAGGAGAAAACAGATTTCAGAAAAATTAAAAGAGGGAGGGATTTTAATATCAAACTGCCAAGAATAAGGGTTGGGGTAGGGTGAAGTGTTTTCCGTTGAACTCGGGAGCAGCACAAATGCAAGGTGTGGGGTTTTGTTTTTTTAAGGGAACAGGGTCTGTTTCATCTCACTGAGTTTATCTCATACAAATGTTGGGTGCTATTTGCAGGGTGATTCACTGAACAAAATGGAGTGTTACTCTTAAGCACCCCCCCAAAGGAGAGCTAAAGGTTACAGAATTTGAGACTTTGGGGTGCTTTCAAGCTTCCCTTTTCTTTTCCTTTTTTAAAGTAGATGAAGTATGGGGTTTTAAGAACACACTTTGCATAACAGCTCAGACTCATGTGCAAACCAAGGCAGTTGGCAAGGAAGCCTGGGGATTTTCTTGCTCTTCCTAGATTCTTCCATGAAACGTCATGTCCTTGCTCCCTTACTTTCTGTATCCAGTCTCTTGGGTTCCTTGTTTATTTATAATGACTCTCGTATCCCCCCTCCTCCACTGCTCAGAAATTTCACACACACACACACACACACACACACACATCCCAAAGTTTTCTTGTCAGTGGCTGGAATGGGGGAGTCTTTTCCTCAGGTCCAGCTTCCGCTTCAGTTCAGCTGAGGGTCTCTCCCCCCCCCCTTTTAACGCAAAGGGAGAGAAAACTTGGGAGAACAAAGGGCAGCAATCTATGGAAAAACAAAAGGGCCCGACTTGGCTCAGTGAAGCAAGAAACAGCAGATAAAAGAAGCTCTCTTTGGGAGCAGGAGCTGGGCTGTTTGGAATGTGGGAATCAGGCAAGGAGGAACCTTCTTGGGACCTGGGGGTTCATGAATGATTGGAGAGTGATTCTGCTCTGAGCATGACAAGACTTTCCCTGCCCCTGCTTTCTTGCTTTCCACATCTTGGAGTTTTGCTTTTTCCTTCTGTTTTTCAAAAAAGAAAATAGCAAGCAAAATAGACTTTGCTTTGTGATTCCAGCTGAAAGGACAAAATGCTGCAACTCCCTTCTTCATATCCAACCACTCCCCCCCCCCTTCTTCAACTTATTTTGGTTTGTTTGGCTACAAACTTGTGTGGAGAGACAGAAAAAATCCCTCGCAGCCAGCTCTCTAGAAAGAGTCTGGGAGACAAGCTTTGACTATCAAGGCTTTCAGTAATTTGATAGGCTCTGAGAGTAGAGCATGTAGGTCTTCAGGCCCTGATCCTGCATGGACAAGCTCCTCCGATTTTAATGGCTGCACAACAGGAACAAGAACAGATTCTCCCATTAGAATGGGAAAATGAACATGGAAAATCATACCTGGCAAATTTCCTTGCTGCAGAGCTCTTATAGACCCAGAAACTTAGGGGCTAATTACTCCGGGGCTATGTGAGCAGGATTGTCTCTACCTCCAATCCACTGGGAAGAAGTACGGTTGCTAAGATTATATCAAGGCACTGAGGGAGACTGCAGTTGCCTTGCCACTTTCCCTTGCTTCTGTGGCCTCAATGATGCAACCACTCCATGACAGGAAGTGGAAGACAAGAATGCATGAGAGCACCAGTGGAAGAGTGAGTGGCATCAGAGGAACTGTAGCTCCAGCCTCAGGGTTGTTGTTGTTTACAGCATTTAAAGCAGAGATGGGGAGCCTCAGGCCCAGGGATCTTAATGCAGCCCTCCAGGCCTCTGTATATGGTCCTCATGAATCTCCCAGGGCCACAGCTCTCACTTGCCCTGCTTTTTGGAAATAGGCCTCTTGTTAGAAATTTGCTTCAGTCATGTTAGGAAGATGCTGCATGAATGGCAGTGGAGGAGAGTTGCTGGATATAATCAGACCTGAAACAAGATGCCAGGATTTGTTTGGATTGTAGCTATAACCTTGATCTCGGAGAATGTGACACAAAGCCTGGATCAATTACAATATACTGGCTAATTGAGTTCACTGTCAAATTCTACTCTATGAAGTTTCAAAACCTCCACCCTTTCCAACAGGTACTGGTCTAGGGAAATATCTTTTATCAGTTAATCTCTTGTCAGACCAAGCAGAGGATTTGCCCCCTCGAAAAGTTGCCCATTTGGAAAGTTTACTATAATCAGAGATCCCTTAAAGACGATTCCCCTTTCTGCTAAACTGTATTCCTATCTGTCTAGAGCTGGAATTAATTCCTAAGCAACTCCCTTGTACTTTATACAGATAAAACTAACCTTTATGGCTCATTGTGGCCTTTGGAACCATTCTTATTGCCTCTTCTCTGACCTTTGCCAGTACTTTATATGTTGCCAGAAGCAGCCATGCAAGTTGCTTGGGTTTAGTTCTCTGAATATCTTGTCTCAGTGGTTCTTCTCCCTAGCCCCAGATACTCATTTTGGTGGGTCACTGACCCTTTCTCACAGTGTGAAGCCAAGGAACATTTTCAGCGAAACTAGAGAGTGACCAAATAATGGAGTTTCCACAAGATTCTTGTGAAATTTACTGTCTCGGGATAATGTTGGGCAGAACTTGGCACAATTTGCCCTTTCTTTGGTGGGTAGGGAAACTCTAAGTCTAATACTACATTTTCAGGGGATGTGACCTTTCCTCTTTAGTACAACAGATCTGTCATTGCAATGGTTGGAGATGAAGCCTTCCTGGGATAGATCCTTCCACACTTGCTCATTAACTAAATTGGGTTACCCTTTTTGTTTGGGCAGAAGCAAAATGCCTTTTCTCCCATCAAGAAGCCTTTTCAATATGTGTATATTATCTAGACATCTATATAAACAGAAAGAATAAAATATGCACACAACAAATTATACTGCTGTGTACATCCCTGTGCACAAATGCATCGGGCCAAGTGTTGTGCATGGAAGATACCCCTCTTCCCTTTCCAGCTTTTGTTGAAAGATTCTCTTTTGCTTCTGGAATACACCCTGATGCCCCTACATGCACATGACCCCAGCCTACGGCACGCACACAGCTCTGGTGCTCCCAGAGGAGGCACTGTCCAGATCCTCTGGAGCTGGCACTCTAAACCAGATGCCAAATGAAAGCAGCATGCCTGATCCTGTTATGCACGGGAACAAAAGGAATGAAGCCCTATATCAGCACTGAGCAGACCCCTCCCACCCCCTAAATGAGTCTTGTGCAGCCAGTCAGGGCAATTAACGCCAGCGTGCTAACATCTTGATAGAGGCAGTGCTGGGAGAGCCAGGGCTCTGTATGCAAGGGAGAAGCAGTAGTACATAGGACAAGAGAAATGGACTTAAATTATGGCCAGACCTAGTATGTGGTGTGTGTGTGTGTGTGTGAGTTCAGAGATCTTCCTTCTTGGGGGACAAGTCCACGTTCCTTCTCTAGCCTCTTTATTGCTCCAAAGGAAAATAAAAGCTGCTCAAGTATGCATTGCTGCATAAGTCTGCTACAGCCCAGACATATGGTCAGGTTTAGCCTTACAAATATTCACACAAATTACTAGCCTACCAAAAAATGTAGTTACCTGCCTACTTATACATATATGAATTTACAAGCCTCCTCTTAAAATCATCCATTTAATATAATCTGTAATAGGAATAAGTGATGCTATCTGGATACCTTTCTTTCCCTGTTAACCCACATTTTATCTCTATAGGGGCCGGCGCGATATCCAGTGGACTAACTTAGACCCCATTCAACTGATGGAGGAGTTGGGTCAGTTTGCCTCGCTGGAAGGATTCAAGGAGATGCTGGATAAGGCAGAGGTTGGCCAGGCCTATATGGAGCGGCCTTGTCTTGACCCCTTTGACCCTGAGTGTCCTACAAGTGCCCCCAACAGCCAAAGCCGGCAGGTAGGTTTGAGCCAGGCATGTTCCCCAACTACTCAGTGTATATGTATGTCTGGACTGGACTCAGGGTAAATATGTATGTCTGGACTGTTCTTCACACTGCAGATGACAGCTCATGCAATGGCATACTCTCCAGCAATAAAACATTTGGAGCTTTATCTAGCTTTCAACACATAATAAATATTTTTGTAAGAAAGCACATGCTTTGCATGCAGACAGTTCCAGATTCAGTCCCTATCATCTCCAGGTAGGGCTGCAAGGGACTCCTGTCTGAGACCCTGGAGAGCCACTGTCAATCAACTTTGACAGAACTGAGCTAGATGGACCAGTGGTCTGAATTCATGTAAAGCAGCATCTTATGTTCCTAAGGAGGAGAGTTCCATTTTATGGGTGTTTAGATCTGACATTAAGAGGTGCACTAAGACAGGTTGGACAGCTGCACACACAATGCAACCTTCTTGTAATAGCCTTTTTGAAAAGGAGAGAATTGTAATATTGCGAAGTGCACTCAGTAGGAATTCTGCAGAATGGACACAAAATTTGCCACATGGGCAAAGAATTTGGTAAATGATTAATCTTACCTGGGATCACAAAGCTAAAGAGATCTGCAAATTCCATAGATAAATGTGGCAAAAAGGCGAGTGCCATTCAGTGCTCCTAAGACATTCTAACCAAATAAAAAGGCAGTTTCCCGAATTGTTATACCTTTGCTTCAAGATACCTGTAGCCAAGATACCATAGGGGCTAACTCCTTTGCCCTCCCAATAAAATATTTGAGGGATCCCCGCGAAGTTGATGGGCATTGCCATTCAAATGGTGCGAGCATGCCGCATCTTGTGATCGATTATGCAGGGTGGGGCTTATTTTATTCAAGTTGGCACCCCTGAAAGGTACACACTAAATAGCATGAGATAAGACTGATGTAGCCAAAGTAAATGAACATTCTGGCTACAAAAAGTAGAGCTGATTCTCCGGCCTGGACTCTGGGAGGGGTGGGGAGGAGGCTCGATGAAGTCACAGAGCTCTTCAGATTGTAACACATGTGCAAAGCAACAGAATAGCTTCCTTGTGTCTTGTTGGAGCTAGGGACCTCTTTTCAGGCACCGTGTGCCCCAAAAGGCTGGATTCACTGTGGGGTCCCCCATTTGGTTAGCTTTGCCCTTCTGTGTCCAGGAGTGTGGGGAGATGTGGAATGCAAGGCAGCGTTCCAGAGAGGCACAGGCAGGAATGATGGTGCTGATCCGGGCAGACGCAGTGCAAGTGCTCACCAGCAGGTGGTCATAGTTGGAATGCGTCCCAGAACAGATGGCAGCTTCGGAGCTTTTGGAAGGTGGAGGGGGGAGAGAGCAGTGTGTGCGTACACACACGGAGCACATATGACCAAGGGCAAGCACAAGGAGCGGGAGGATGGAGTTGCAGCCATAATTCCACATTTCCTGGCTTGAAAGCCAGACTGTTATCATTATGGCTATCCAGTTTCTCTCGCTGCCACCACAGGAGCAGGAAGGAGATGCCTGTAGGATTGAAGGGAACACCCAGTGTGCCTGTGGGCAAGCACACGCACACACAGGATGATATACCAGTCAGAATGGATTCTGCAAACTCCTCAACCAAATGCAAATAGACACTATGATTTATACGCAGAAAAGCATAGTAGTTGCCTGATATAATACTGAGTCTTCTTATATTTCTCTTAGATGGATAAATATTATCAAGCATTAGCTGAATTGAATTCATCCATCTGGTATTGTCCAAATGAGCTGCTTGTTGTTGTTGTTGTTGTTGTTGTTGTTGTTGTTGTTGTTATCCTTGTTGGCTGAAAATGTGGCACTGCTGCTTTGCAAGGTAGATAGATAGATAGATAGATAGATAGATAGATAGATAGATAGATAGTATGTGAAGCCCTGATTGGCATGCTTTATGAAAGTGCTGTCCTCCAGCTTACAAGGTGATAGGAATTTTCCTGCTTTTCCCATTGCTTGATGCTTGTCTTATGACCGTGTGGGTGACTCACTGGTGATTGCAGGGCGACAGAGCCAGACTGATTTTGGGTCGTCATTCTATGAGAATACCTAGGCCAGGGGAGAACCAATGTGGAGCACTGTCACATAAAAGCTAGAATCTATCAGATCTCTTTGGCTCTGCTTGCTTTCCCTGCACAGAGATTGTGTGATTTATTATGTCTCAGGGTTCCAGGCATTATGATAATGGTGGCAATGCCATATGGCATGTCGCCGTCTTCCATCCTCGGCAATCAGGGAGGCATCAGGCTGCTCCAAGGAGTAGTTATTCTGACAGTTGTTAGTAAACCTTCTTAATTGTTCCAGGCCAATGTCACTGAACTGAAATGTGGATTATTATTGTCAGATGTGAGGTTACATAGCTAGGAGCAGAATGGATTATTTCCAGAGAGGATCTCAAGCCTTGCCCATTATTGTTAACCAGCAGAATATGCAATATTATTATGTTTATGTATGTGGTGTTTGCTAAAAGAGAGCTTCTGTCTGTTGTCTGCCTTTCAAGGGCATATGTGTATGTAGGGTCCCTATCAGCAAGGGACTGACCACCCAGGGCAGGTTTAGCCCCCAGTCCAACATTGTCCCAAAGAGCAGAAATTTACTTTTCTCCACAGAAGAGGACGTCAGCTATTCACTAATGGGTGATGGTAAAGAGAAGCACTTGGGCACCTCATTGGTGTTTGGGCTACACCAGCTCCAGCCAGTGAGAATTAAGCCTGTTCCTATTTGTATAGTTCCCTATAAGGTTCAATTTCTTGGTCACTTCTGGATGTGACAGAATGCTGGAATAGTGGTACGGAATAATGGGAAATATTCTTTGTTTTGTTTATAGAGACATGGATTGTTCCAGTAGCACGGTTAATGTCTAAAGTGCTTTACATTTTTTTCACTATTTTATTTCCATTTATTGGATACAAAACTGAAGCTAATAAATGTTGACTTTTCCAAAGTGCTCAATGAATTCATGGTTGAGCAGGAATTTAAACCTGTTTGGGTCACTCAAATTCAATATTCTGTCTGCTAGAGCAGGCTGCCGGTCCTACTGAGAATTTCGTGTGTGTGTGTGTGCGGTTTTTGTTTTGTTTTGTTTTTTACATGTGACATTTGCAGAGGAGCAACATTTGCCCTTGCTTTCCATAACAGCTGGGTTTTGTTTTATTAGCCAGCTAGTCAGGGCTATAGCATATAATCCCTTAGTCTTAAGCAGAACAGTTCTGCTTCAATAGTAGTAGTAGTAGTAGTAGTAAATGTACGCAGTGCACAAGTCAGAAGTGTGCAAAGATACTTCTTCCTCCATGAAAAGCAGGAGATGGGGCTATAGTGGTGTCCTTAATATGCATCTAAAATACCTGTGCTTACGTCTGGAGTTTGTGCTGCTATTTTACATTCCATTCTTGTTGTCTCCACCAGGAACCAGACATCCCCTCAGAGCTCACAGGTGGCTGCCATGGCTTCTCACGAAAATACATGCACTGGGAAGAGGAACTGATCCTGGGTGGCACTGTGAAGGATTCCCAGGGCAAACTGCAGGGGTAAGTGTGTGTTTGTGTGGTGTGTGTGCCTGTCAAGTCAGAGGTCTGTGGCCAGGAATAACTCAGTAGCTAAGGAATTCTTTATGCAGAGCAGATGGCTTTTCCCTGCAAGCAGGGCCAATTAAAAAGGATGGACAAAGTCATAAATGTTGTGTTTGAATGGTGAGGGGAGAGGACAGTGTGGCTCCTGGGAACTGCTTGGACTCTCACTGCTACCCCTTTCACAGTTGGGGGTGGTAGTAAACTGCCTCCTGAGCCAGCTTGTAACTTGATGCCACTGAGGTTCATATTCTCGTGGGTGCATGTCCGCGACCTGACCCTAGGAGCAACTGGCTTGGGCATTCCTAAGCCATGGGATTTATGTTGATCCCTGAAGCTCTGGCTGCCATCACCCCTTGCCTCCCGAAGCCACCTCCCCCCACCCCAATTCCTTCCAGCTGCCGTGGATGCTGGAAGACACAGCACAGACACCTGCTTGCAGCAATCCGCAGCCCTGATCCTAGAAAGGGGCTCAAATGCACATTGGGAGGTTGATTCCACACAAGTCTGCACTGTGCTGGCACCTGCAGTTATCTGTTCGACAGGTTGCCATACCTTCTGTTTTGGCATGGTGGGGCAGGTTCCGCATGCTGGTGGGGGCAGTGTCATAATCGGTGTCAGCTTTTAAAAACCATTGTTCTTCAGAGGGGAATTCTTGTGTCTCTGAACCCTTCCATATCTCACAAGGCAAAGAGCTGCAAAAATGGCTAAGGAATGGGCAATAGATTGGAGACAAGGGTTATTGCTGCTATACATCGCCTTGCTTTGGTTTTAAAACCCCAGGCAAGGAAGCAGCCAGAAAATGGGAGAAAAGATCCTCACCTTTTAAAGTAGGAAGGCTCAGGCAGAAGAAAGAGATGTGCTTCTGATATTACAGGGAGGTGCATCTGCAGCCATTTCCAGCTCTTTTCATGCATTTCTAGAACACAATACACGCAGGCTTTTCTTGTTGTGTATAGATTGGGATGTATACATGGTGAACTTTCTATGCAAATCATCTGCCTATTGGTTTTTCTCATGTTTTGTGTGGAACGTTAGTCAGTGACTTGTTTTCTATGGCAGCTGATCGACATGGCATGCATACCTTTTGCATACTTTTTTGATAGGGGTGGCTAGCCACCTGTTTCAATTGAAAAAAGCCCCATAAGTAGGCTTGTGAAAGAACTGTGCACAGAATGAGGGCTGACTGTGAGATAAAGAAAGCAGAAATCAGGCTTTTGGTTTCTGCCTTGAGCCTGGGCAGTGGGGGAGCAATGGGGCCTAAAGGCTCTAGTTCCAGAGCTGAAAGGAGCCCTGCCTCCTTGACTGTGAGTAGAAGGGTTGTCTCTCATCCAGCTTCTGTTTCCTGCAGAGCCGAAGCCCTACAAAGCATGTTCCTGTTGATGAGCCCACGACAGCTCTTTGAGCACTACCGGGATGACTATGAGATACACGACATCAGCTGGAGTGAGGAGAAGGCAGCTGCTGTGCTGGAGGCCTGGCAGCGGGAGTTTGTTGAGGTGAGATGGACAGGTTGGCTTGTGGCATCTCTGTGGGAACTCCAGGGCTGCTTGATGCAGGTGTGTGCAAGGGTGAAGACACAAATGTGTCTACAAAAGGCTGAAAAACTGTGTGCGTGGAAGGGAAGATGCTAGAAAGATGACGGGCAAAACTGCATGCAGGTCTGTCAGTGAGGAGCAGAATATTATGTAGGGCTGCATGCAAATATGCATCTGCCAGTGTAAAAAGGTTGGGTGCCACCATGAATGCTTACAAGCATGTAGAATGGCATGAAAAACAATTTATAGGGTGAAAGCATAGCCAGTTGTTCTTGAATTGAGTGTATGGACCCTGTACAGTTTTCTGTCTTGCTTGGTATTACTACATGACATGTATAGCAGCATATAGGCTCCTTCATGCCTATGAGCCTTCATGCCTATGCCTGGCATGTAGATGGATCCTGTGGATGCATTTATGTATGTGAGAAGGATCCCAGCCACTGAGGTGACTCTTCTCCTCCCAGTATCTCATGAGTCTTGCTTCTTTGCAGTTGGCCCAGGAATCCCTCCCTGCAAATTCCTCCCAGACTATCCATGCCTTCTCCACCACCACGCTCGATGACATCATGAAATCCTTCTCAGATGTGAGCGCTATCCGTGTGGCTGGCGGGTATCTGCTGATGGTGTGTAGCAGCTTCTTCCCTCTCCTCCCTCCCTCCTATTCCTTTATCTTCCATTGTGTACTAAAGCATAGCTTTTCCGTCTTCGCCTTTCTTCTCATTAATTGCCGTCTCAATTCTCCTCCACTTGCAGCTGGCGTATGCCTGTGTCACCATGCTGCGTTGGGACTGTTCCAAATCACAGGGTGCTGTGGGCCTGGCTGGGGTTCTTCTGGTTGCCCTTTCCGTGGCAGCAGGACTTGGACTGTGTTCTCTGCTAGGAATCTCATTCAATGCAGCCACGACCCAGGTAGGACACATTTTGGAGAGGTCTGCCTTCCCTAATGACCACCCTTTGTTCTCCATCAATTTCCCCTCCTCTTTGCTCAGCAAGCAGGAGAACTGTCTGCTCCATCAATTTCTCAGATTATGCAATGCTGAGGTTATGTTCTGCCTCTCTATCCCTGCTTGGCATTAGAAGATGCTGTGTTGTAAAGAGCACTTGACCTTCAGATGCATGGCTGTTCCTGAGGTTCCAATGACCATCGTGCTGCCTTCAGCACAATCAGATCGCTCTAGCTGCCTACATGCTGTTTCTTGTTCAGAAGTTCCAGAGGAATATACGATACTGTATATTCCCTAGTAGCTGAGTTTTTAAAAAAGAACAACTGTCCATTTGTACCGAGGCAGGCTAGGAGTATGCCACAAAGAGAGCCTTAGCTAAGGTGCCTGCAAGGCAAGGAAGGAGCCTAATAAACCAGGTGCAGGTGACTCAAATATATGTTAGCAGAAAGCAAAAGCCCGCCAGAGTCACCAACCAACCTGACTTTGGTTAACATGAGAATCATTTAGAGCCTGAGTATAACAGCAAAAGGAAGAATTTGTGGTGCCTTCCAGTCAGTTTGCAGCCTGAGACCTGTTTCTACTTTTGTGGGATTTGAGCAAGTCCTGGATGTGCTCCTCTAATTGGGATTCCTCCCATTGTGCTTTCCTCCATATCTGTATAGGTGCTGCCCTTTCTGGCACTGGGCATTGGTGTGGATGACATGTTTTTGCTGGCACATGCCTTCACAGAGACCAGCCAGCACGTTCCTGTCAAGGTAAGAAGGTTCCCTGTTTTCGCACAAGCCTTTGAGTCCCTATGCATTTCCAGTGCACGCTCAATCTGTCCTCAACTCTATTCTCACGGTTCCTCATTTGCACCTTTTCAATGCAGGAGCGGACTGGGGAATGCCTGCGCCGCAGTGGCACCAGTGTGGCACTCACCTCGGTCAATAATATGATTGCTTTCTTCATGGCTGCTCTTGTGCCCATCCCAGCACTACGTGCCTTCTCTCTACAGGTAAACCCCTCTGCTAGTTGCTCCTCCATGCAGGTTTGTCAGCAAACTGTGCTTATGCACATTTGCATTTTCTTTGAATCTCACTGCAGGCAAGCCTTCACTTCCACTCTGGAGGTAGCTGTGCCCCCAGTCTCCATGGCCTTGGCTGGAAAGCTGGGTGATCCCTCCCCTTGAAGGATAGATGCCCCTCCTTATACAGAGGGTGACCTGGCTCAGGATCTTCAGCATGTTTAATTGTTCTCCCTCCTTCATCTACTTGCAGGCTGCTGTCGTGGTAGTGTTCAACTTTGCCATGGTGCTTTTCATTTTTCCTGCCATCCTGAGTCTGGACCTTCACCGGCGTGAAAACAAGAGGCTCGATATTCTGTGCTGCTTCTACAGGTACTGTCTTAAGTGTGTCTGTCTGTCTGTCTGTCTGTCTGTCTGTCTGCTTGTTTGTTTGTCTGTAAATAAATATGTGTAGCTGCTGGCGGTGGAGGGGCAGTTGCCCCCGCCCCAAAAGAGTCCCTTCTCCTTTGGGGCAGTACTGCGCTCTCCCTGGCTAGGCTGGGCTCCATCAGATCTCCCAGGAGAGGAGACGCATGCTGCAATTGGGGGCAGTGGTTTGGAAAAGTCATTAAGCCCAAGAAGAGAGGATCAAATGCAGCTGTAAGGAAAACAGCAAGAGAACAAAGCCAGCTGCACAGATGGTAGTGCTCTCAACAACATTTTGAAAAACACATTTCTTTATTATGGTAAAAGTTTGTCTATAAGAACAAGTCAAAATGCACATCAAACTGCACATAAAATCAGCATACTCTGAGAAGCCCCTTTAAAGGCATTGTGAAGGGTATCTCTATCTGCTCACCAAGAGAAGTGGAACTTTTTGTGATAGTTATATCCAGATGCTGAGTGTGAGTTAGGATGCCTGGCTGGCTAGGGGACTGTGTGTTGCCCAGGAGTTTCTCAGGGTCTTCTTCTCCCCACAGCCTCTGCTCCTCCCACGTCATTCAGATTCAGCCACAGGAATACACGGATGCAAATGACAACCCCACGGCACCTGCTTTCCCGCATGGACATCCAGCACTGACTACCAGCACACGCATCACCACTACGGTTCAGGCCTTCACCCAGTGCGATCCCTCCGGGCGTCATGTGGTCACCATCTTACCACCCACCCAGCATGTCTATACCACCCCTTCCACTCTCCTGCCTGCCAACCCTTTGGGGTCACAAGTCTTCACCCCTGCCAGCTCCACCCGTGATCTTCTGGCACAGCTGGATGAAAACAAAAGTGCCCAGGAGTGTGTGCCGTTGCCCCTTTGTCATTGGAACCTCTCCAGCTTTGCTCGCGACAAATATGCACCTATCCTGCTGCAGAGCCAGACCAAGGTAGGCAGCTGAGAATCGCTTTCTTTGTGGGTGGCATCCTGCCCTATGTTGAAAGAAAAAAAGGGGGGGAGTACAGCATCCTGGGTAGCAAGTCTGTGATGCCAGCACTACAGCCAATGGAGAACTAAAGCTCCCTGTTCTTCTTGGAGATGAGAGAACTAATCTGAAGTGTAGTCATTGTGCATGTCATCCTATATGAGGACCATGGTGTTGCTCTCCCCTGTGCCCTGCCTTTCAGGGGCAAAGATTGCATGTCCCAAGTAGTCATTCAAAGAGCTGTACATCTTTCCTATAGTCTATTTTTACACATCTAGGAAGTTAGGTATGAAGGCTCTGCATCTTCCTTGGGTAATTCCAGATGAAGTGGCTGTGTCAGTCACAGATAATCTAGATGATCTAAGATATTGTGTGTGTGTTTACCTTCAGAGAGGGAGAGGGCCAGGTACAGAGTCAAAAGAACTATGTTCTCAAGATTAATATATATGTGTGTGTTATGTGCCCCCTTGCATGGAAAACTCCCTACCTGTCATTATTGATTCTCTTGCCTTACAAGTACGCTCCATACTCCCACAACATGGAACATTTTGATATAAACTCCATTAGGGGCAATTCATACCCTACAAGTAGGAAGTGGGGCTGGGTAGTTGCAGTTCCAGCCCCAAGCAGTTGTTTGCTTTTCTTGTGGGCTTCTCATAAACATCTGGCTGTCCACAGATTTTCTTCCATTCTCCCTATACTGTATTTGTTAAGTCAAGTCTCTTGACAGCAACAGAGGAAAAGTTAGCTTCTGCAGAAGAGATTGGGGTCAGAGTGCATCCATCTTCACTTTTTCCTTTCTGCATTTCCAGGGAATTGTTGTAGTCCTGTTCCTGGCACTGCTGGGCCTGAGCCTCTACGGTACAACCAAGGTGCATGATGGACTCTACCTAACGGATATTTTACCACGAGGCACAAAGGAGCACGCCTTCATTTCAGCTCAGTTCAAATACTTCTCCTTCTATAACATGTTTGTGGTTACAAAGGGTGGCTTTGACTACCCCAGCTCACAGGAGGCCCTCTACAGCCTGCACCAGGCCTTCACCACCATCCAGTATGTTGTGCGTGATGAGAACCGCCAGTTGCCGAAGATGTGGCTGCACTACCTCCAGGACTGGCTGCGAGGTGAGTCAAGGACATTTTGCCAACCCTCTCTCCTGTCCTGCACTGCCTCTGCCCCAAGAAGTGGGGTGGGATGCCCTCCTCCAGCTCTCTGTGCAGGATGCTTTTAGTACAAACCTGCTTGAAGGCTAGAAGATGCATGGGAGTTTGGATGAGGTGTTAGTGGCCAGCTGCTTCCAGGGAAGGAAAGCATCAATGTCCGTTTCACAACCATGTTCAGGATAAGTGCTAGAAATGATTTTTAGCTTCTAAGGAACCAGAAGCTCTTCATCTCACACAGTTTTCGTGTCTTATACACACATCCATTTAGGCAGACACTGTTTACAGCCTTCTCTGCAGTGGCTCCCCATCTGTGGAATGCTCTCCCCAGGGAAGTTCACCTGGCACCTTCATTATACACCTTTAGGTGCCAGGCAAAAGTGTTGCTTTTTAACCAGGCCTTGGGTTGATTTGATTGATACCTTTACCCTTTAAAAATGTGTTGGGGTTATAGGGTTGTTGTTTTTATTTTGATTATATATTTTGTAGTTTTTATATTCTGATTCTATTCTGTGAACCACCCTGGAATCCGTGGGTATGAGGCAGTATATAAATTCTATATAAATTCAATAAATAAATAAATATAAATGTTTGTGTACATTCTCACCTGCACAGTTGTACAGGTGCCCTTCTGTCTTCTAGGATTACCAGCTCTGTTCTTGTTCCTCTAAAGTAGGGACAGAAACATGCTGCAGGGGCTGAGAGATCTGAGTTAAACAGCAAAGGGGTGGAGGCCATGAAAGAGGGGAAGGGATTGGCATAGCTAGTGAGAGGACCTATTGCTTCTGGGCCTTGGGTTCCACAGATGGCACTCCCTTAACTGTATACCCCCCTGTTCTGCAGGTCTACAGGCAGCCTTTGACCGGGATTGGGAAGCTGGGCATATCACCAAGGAGAATTACCGCAATGGATCAGAAGATGGTGCCCTGGCTTACAAGCTCCTCATCCAGACAGGCAACAAGAAAGAACCCTTAAACCTCAATCAAGTAAGTGGGGGAGCAATCTAAAAGTTGGGAGTGGGCAGGCAAAGAGAACCCAGTGTGCCATGAGAATTAAGGGTGAGGAGGGAAGGAGTAGATAGATCCCCACTGCAAAAGAATGGAGAGAAGAGAAAGCTTTCCCACAGGCATTTGGGGTCCCTTGGAGATGGAGGAACACAGGAGATCTACATGGCTTTGGGAATGGCCAGCTGGTGCCCAAGCAGGGGCCTCAGCCCTATTTCCTACCAAATGATAGCACCTGTCTAGTAGCACCCTGACCGCTGCTACTACTTACTATCAGTTGCTATACTTCTTAACCACCCTGCATCCCTTCCATCTGCCTACAGCTGACAACTCGCCGCCTGGTGGATGAGAATGGGATCATTCCTCCTGACATCTTCTACATCTGTTTGACAGTGTGGGTGAGCAACGACCCTCTTGGCTTTGCTGCATCTCAGGCCAACTTTTACCCACCACCCCCAGAATGGATCCACGACAAATACGATGCCACTGGCGAGAACCTCCGAAGTGAGTTCAGGCAGCAGCCTCATTCTTGTTCCACTTTCCATCATGCATTACTGTTTCAGCTCAGTCCTATCCCCACTTCTATGGCAATTCCACAGTGTAAATCCTTAAGATGTATGTTTCCCACATTTGCAAGCCATGCCTGGCACATGGCCAAAGGAAGCAATTCATTTTTGGCCCTAGAGATGGGAGTAGGGGGTAGAAGGCCACTATATCTGATGGGCTGCCTCTCTTTCTGACAGTCCCTGCTGCACAGCCTCTGGAGTTTGCTCAGTTCCCCTTCTACCTCAATGGACTGCGGCAGACATCTGACTTCGTGGCAGCCATCGAGAGCGTGCGTGCTATCTGTGACGAGGTGGCCCAGACGCATGGTGTCCTCAGCTACCCTAGCGGCTACCCTTTCCTCTTCTGGGAGCAGTACATTGGCCTTCGACACTGGCTTCTACAGGCCATCAGTATTGTGTTGGCCTGCACTTTTCTAGTGTGCACCCTGCTACTCCTCAATCCTTGGACCGCCAGTATCATTGTGAGTATCCTCCTTCATGAGCAACAGGGTGTCTAGCAGTAAGGGAGATGTTTTAGCTCCAGACGTTATATGTAGTAGCAATATGGCATTGTGCAACAAGGGAAATGGTTGTCAAACACTGTCACTGTTAGTTAAATCAGTATTTTTGGCTCTCGTGCTTAGGACAGGAAATTTGGAAATAGGAGTGGGGGAGAATTAGTGCGATGCTTCCTGTAATCTCTGCACAGTTGCCTTTCTGTCTCCCTTGCCTTACATAGTGTCCTAAAAAGTTTTCCTTCAATACCAAAGACCATTTTAAACCATTCAGGTTCTGCCCAAACTCAAAATTTTGCAGCTGTACTGTAACACATTAAAAAAGACAACTTGCTGCAGTAGTTTGCAGAATTTATTCTGACTGCAGAAATTGAGTGTTTTGTTGCAAGTCTGTAATGTTTTTGTACCTTCTCATATTCTTTTTTAAAAAAACATGAACATACGCATATTTTCCCATAAACGTATTAAGGTTTGCACACAACAGACACCATGTACAGGTGTACGCACCAAGGAGCTGGGAATGAGACCAATTCCCACTGTATGCAAATGCAATGATAAACGAACATTTGCTACCAGATAGAGTGTAAAGTAGAGCTTTACCTTTGCAGCAAAAAGTAAATATCTTTTTCTCTCCTCAAGCTTCTTTCCACAGTGCTGAAAGGGTTAAGCTTGCACACTAACATGCAGGTGCTCTACTATATTTGCATCCTTATCCACCTTTAGGGCTAGTGTGTGCACAGCCCCATACCCCTACTGTTCACCATACAAAAGCGTATAATGCAGCTTAAACAAACATACATACATACATACATTTACTTACTTACTTACTTATTTACTTACTTACTTACAATCAAGGTATCAAACAGGCATGGTAGTAGTGGGTGGGTGATTACTGTTAACTAACAACCCGGTATTCATGTGCCACAATGAGATGTATACATTTTCTGAATTAGTTCTGAATTCAGAAATTACATACCTATGAGCATATGGATTTGTAGGTACCTATTCTTAATCTACCTGTTAACCACTACATTGGGCTTTGTCCATTGCTGTAATTGACATGTCCATAACCATAGCTTGCAGGTAAGATACTGAGCTGTCCCTTCTCTCTGACGTAGGTATTCGTTCTAGCTATGATGACAGTCGAGCTCTTTGGGATCATGGGCCTGATGGGCATCAAGCTGAGTGCCATCCCAGTAGTCATCCTCATCGCCTCTGTGGGAATTGGCGTGGAATTCACCGTACATGTGGCTCTGGTAAGAAGCAATTGTGTGAGCACAGCCCATTCTGCTATCATATCTAGAGCATGTGATTCAGTGAGACTTCCTCTTTTTGAAGCTCTGTGGGTCCATACTGAAAGGAACAGGGTCCCTGAACACCCTTGCAGAGCTCTTTTTCACACCAGAGAACTTGGTGTATAGTATTACAACCATATACATTCAAATAGCTTTAGTGGCACCCAGCCAGAACATTTAGATTATTGGGTTTTTATCTGCTGTATCAAACCTGATCAGTAGTGGAGTCTATAAGGGAGAATCAATAAATTGTGGGTTCATTACCCCCTTAATATCCCTTAATATCACCCTGTTGCAGTCTGGGTGGTCAGAGCAGAATTTAATCCATAATTGTGGGTGCAGCACCCAAGGGTTGGCAGTTCTTTTAATTAGTGCTGACTATAATGATATAGCTGTGTATGGTATGAAAAGCAGAGTCCAAGCTGTCATTTCGAGATGAGCCTGTTCCAGCTCTGGCAATACCAGCTGACTCAGTGCGCAAGAACAGATTTGGGCTTAGCTTCTTGTTCTTTCTCCCAGTCTGGTGGGCCTCCCAAGATGCAGTGTGGTGATTGGCCCCTTTATGAGGGTCTGCTTGGACAAGTCACTCTCTTTAGTCGTATTCTGACTGTTTGTCTTTTCTCAGGGCTTTCTCACGGCCATTGGCAACCGGAACCTGCGCACTACTGTGGCCCTAGAGCACATGTTTGCCCCTGTGATGGATGGTGCTGTCTCCACGTTGCTTGGCCTCCTTATGCTAGCTGGTTCAGAGTTCGATTTCATTCTGAGGTGATTGTCATGTGTCTCTCTTCTCCCCTTGTATACTTATTCTGGTGGTGCTCTGGACCAATGTGCTGGGAGCCATTTCCAGAGAGGTATCAGTAAAAGGAGTGGCTAGAAAATGGGAAATTGTCTTTCTTGACGTCTGTTGGGAATTTGGGTAACACCACATGGGGCAATAGGTCTGAAGGTCTCACTGATCAAGAATGGATATAAAGGCAGAATCTAATAGGGTTCAGGGCAGCCCTGGAGGAGCACTGGTACATTCTGCCAAATTTGGAGAAATCTCCCTGTTCAAGACCACAACTTACAACGGGTTGAGGGGAAGACATTCTACAAGAAATTTATTCCTTCTCTGACACTTTGCCATATGGCAGCTAAGGCTTGTGAGCTCTACAAGTCAGCTGGCTCAGAGAAAGGGACGCTCTTATCTTCTATAGGCAGCAACCTTGAGCTGAGACTGAGGGATAGCACTTGTCAGTGCATGGGTGTAACAGTAATGAGTGTGCAAGAGAATGTAAATGAATGTGTGCTGGTGAACTAACTCTATACTTGGCTGCCCTGATAAGAGGCTGAGATGCTTTACTGCCACCTGGGTAAATAAGTAACCCTCTCTCTTTTCACAAAGGCCGCAGAACTGTGCTGCATCTCAGCTTCCTGGGATGGGGAAGAAAAATATACAGAGCAGTAACTGATTCTCATCCTAAAGTTCTATTGTATGCAGATGATTTGCACAAATGACAAATCTGACCATTACTGACCACCTTGACCTCCCCCCCCAAAGGTATTTCTTTGCTGTGCTCACCATCCTGACCATTCTGGGACTGCTCAATGGCTTGGTACTGCTGCCTGTCCTGCTGTCTATCATTGGACCACCTGCAGAGGTAAGAAAACTTCTGTTTCTCATCAGCTTGCTCTAGTGGAGAACCATAGAGAAAAGCAGAAGGGGTCCTATATCTCACTGTCAAAACCCACTGCCAGATCGAGGTGAAGTGCTTGAACAGTCACACAAGTCATAATAGAACATAGGTCTTGGCTTTCACCTGCTATCAATAGATTTCAGGATTCACTACAATGAATGGAAAGCCTGTGCCACTCAGGGATCATGCACAAAGACCCTTTATTTGACACCCTGTTTTCTCAGTGTGCTTTCTGCTTTTCGTCATATAGGTCACACCAGCAGATAACGGTAGCCGCCTGCCGACACCGTCCCCTGTCCCCCCACCCATCAGCCACCACAGCTTCTACGTACAGCGGCACGGTGGAGCCTTTGGTGACTCCTCAGACTCCGAGTACTATTCAGAGAGCACAGGAGCATCAGACACGGGTGAAGATGACCGCAGCACCTACATCATCCCCCCAGCGCAATCACATATCTTGGTCAAGGCCAGCAAAAGCCCCAGCTTCCCCAAAATCACTGTAAGTGTCCATCAAGAGCCGGGGAAGCCAAAACTCTGGTTTCTCTGGATGGAGAGAGTGGTCTCAGCATTCAAAGGCAGCTAGATTCTAGTTCAAGTGTAAAAATAATGTCCCCAAATGAGTTGGGAGGCAAGGCAAGAAGAGAACCAGGAATTTTTGTTTCTGTTCTTATGCTAGTATGTCAATAGGCATTGGACTGGGGTGGGCATGTCTCTGTGAGACAAAATTCCTAGGATCTCTGGGGAAGACAGACCATAGCACCTTGGCGCATATCTTTGGGGTGCAATGTGGCTATAGTAATATATAATGGGGTAATAGGAGTCTGGCTTCTATTCCCAGGTCCCAGGAGTTAAAACAGATAGTGCAACCCCCTGTAATGCAGGAATCTCTGCTAAAGCATCCGTGACAGGTGTACAGTGGTTGAAGTCTCCTCTTTAGTACCTTAGGGCAACATAATTCACTCTCTTTGTGCTTCAGATTCTTCTTACTGAATTTGCCGCTTTATGGTTTGGAAGTTGCTGTCACAAGGACTCCATGCCAACTGCACTTGTGTTGTTGCCTTCTTCCCTTCCATATCCAATACACTAACATCAGCCTTTCCTTTCCTGGGCAGGTGGTGAAAAGCTACAAGACCAGCCTAGAATCGCCTCTGTCGTTGTGCAGCCCAGACTGGACCCAAACTGTGACCCCTGGAGGACATTTGCCACCCACTGTCACAGAAGTCAAAGACGCTTCACAGCAGCAAGAGCAGCCAAACCACAAACAAAGGCCTCGGCTGGCTCAGACTGCCCCAATCCCCCTCGGACCGACCCTACTGCCCACAGCACCAAAGTGCCGCCTCCTGCATCTGGTGGCACCTTCACCACAGTTACAGCCACTGCCTCAGTGATGCTGGCCTTGCACCCACCCCTGCCTGGCTCATGCCGGGGCTACACACACGAGGGCTTTGAATCTGATGGACCTGAGGAGCCTCGTAAAGACGCACCCAACAGCTTGGAACTGCAGAGCCTAGACCAGAGGCACTAGCATTTCACTTTTGCCAGGCCCAAGACCTTGGGTCTAGAACTCCTGCCTCAGGGATGGGATGTGCACAGTATCCCTGGTGGGGTCAGGGGCCCAGATTGTTCACACATACACACACCGCAGACTGTGAAGCAGGATGGATACCTGGAAGCTCTTGCACTGTGTTTAAACAACTGTAGACATAGACAGTGCCTTTGGGAACTGGAGCAAGAAGGCCAGATGAGCTACTGCCGTGAAAAGGTTGATGGGAGAATCTCTCAGCACCTGGTACTCCACTTTCCCATGTTTCTCTAGGTGTTATCTGCCACCAAAAACATGCTGGGTTTCTTGGTTACCAGGACTTCTGGCTTCAAAACATCCCTAGTTTGCATCCTTACATTGGACTGTGATAGCATTGTGCCCACTCACCTGCAGACAGGGAAAGTTCCAATCCCATCGAACCTGGAAAATGAAAGTGACAATTCCCCATATGCTGTGTGAACCATCTCATGGCTGTCATCGGGGCAGGGCGAGAGAATTGCCCAAACACTGACCCTCCCATGGAGAGAACAGGACTCAACTTGTGCGTGGGGAAACTCCTCCCACATTGTGCTGCTATTCTTTTATTTTTATTAATATTAATATTATTATTTTAAGCTGTATAAAAAAAGAGTCACGAACCCTCCCCCTTATAATTATAATAATTATTTTTTATTATTTTTACAGCTCCCTCATTAAAAAAAAAAAAAAGTGGCGTATCCCTTTAAGGGGAAACACCAGGGTGAGGTGGTAATGGAGAGAGGACCCCTGGGCGTGTGGAGTGGAGGGAGCATGCAATGGAGGGGCACAATGTGTCTTAGCGCCTTCTATGCAAGCTGTGTGGGATGGGCTGCACTCTGCTCCTGCTTCCACCGGCATGTCTGCCTATGCCAGCATTCGCCATCTGGCTGTTCCAAACCCTTTAAATTCCTCCCTGTCCTATCCCACACTACAAAAACCTTTCTGCCCTATTCTTTTTGCTTGCATGCCTCTTTATCAGTCCAAGGTAGCTCATCACACAAGTGTCCCATAAGTACTTCCTTTTAGAATTTACATTTTAAGCTTCATCATTTCCCAAGAATATCAGTGAGGAATAATTTGTGACTAACAGAAGATGAGAATCATTCAGGGCAGGTTTTTGGGCCCTGCAGGACATTTACCCCACACAGATGGAGATCAGAGCAGGGCTTTCTGGAAGAGCAGTTTATATGGGTTTATGTTTTTTCTGCTTCCATGTTTTAAGAGGTACTTCTCACAAGTGAGTTTGTAGTCTGAGACTGCTGCCTGAGTACAAAAATGTATGTGTACTGTGTTGGTTTACGAAGGAAGTGTTTCAAATGGAAATTTAAGCTTACTTTAATAAGAAAGCTGGGCGACCTTGTGGTAAATTCAGCCATTCATTGCCCTTGTTAAGGACAATGTACCGTTTTGAGTTTTTCAACACATGTTTTTCCTATACTGAGATTATTAGCTTCCTGACCTGCATACTTTCAGCACAAACATTCATGCTGCACCTTCACAACTGATGGTGTACAGAACTTTCTCCCCATCTCTTCACAAATATTTCTGTGTAGGAAAAAAAATCATGTGTAAAATTATCCTTTGATTCTCTCCCACCTAAAAACATCCCTATGTAGTAATCAGAGCAGAAAATGTTCAACGGGAGAGACGAGTTGGGCAAAACATTCCATTTCCTGCCCAAAAGTATGAGTGCTGTGGTTGCTTTTTCTGTTTCTGAATGATCTCTTTCCGGTTCAGCTTCTTTGGCTGAAAAACAAGAAATGAACTGTCGCTTGGCAGCAGGATTGGTTCTCAAGGACCAGTTCCATTTCCATCTGACATGCTTGGTTTCCACATAGCTAAGTCAAAATTGCTTTATGAAATGTTTCAGTTTTTCCATTCTGGTTCAGGACACAAATCAGAATTTTGCAGAAAATTCAAAGTGCAGTTTTCTGGCCAGCTCTGCCCTATGCATCAATCACAAAACAACAGCTCACAACCTAAATCCTGAAACACAATACTTTAAAAAAAAAAGTTATTTTCTTTCTTTCTGACCTACTCTAAAGTAAAAAGATGGCAGCTGGGGAAAAACTATTCTGTTTGTTAGGATTCTTGAGTGATTTTGGAACCTGATGGATGTGCCACAGTTTTCAGCACACACACATTTCTTTCAACAAGATGCAAGGTTTGGGACCAAATGTATTTTTCACCTAAGACAGTGAAATAACTTTAGGTACTCCCGATTGCAGGTTTGGAGATTTTGGGCTTCAGGAAGAGACCCCTCCAACTGCAGAAGTTGCTCAACATCTTTCTGCACTGCAATTATATACAGAAGTAGTTTGCCAGTTTCTCGGTGGCACTGACATTTGTAGTGGAATAACACTTTACAACTTTGTCTTTAGAATGAGATAAATTAAGAAGTGCAGATGTCTTCTAGCTGTTCTTTGCCAACATGGAGTTGTCCCTTGGGGGCTCTGTGTGAAATTCTGACCCACTTGGGCATAAAATTGTGTGTAGTTTTTGGGCACAGAGACTGACGCACCATAGCTTACTTGTGTGAGATAGCAGGGCTGATTCACCTTTGAATCCACTTCCTCAGTGACATTCTTCCTTCTCAACCGCAGGCACTTTATATTCCCCCTCCCTTTCGCCCAATAACTGCTGTAATTATATCCCCCAAAGTATGCCGGATTGCCTATTCACTTCTTGCTGCCAAGGGAGTTTCTGCTGAGATTTTCACATTTTGGTTGTGTGAACCCCCTTAGCAGCTTCAATAGGATTGGGCCTTCTATTAAAGTGGATTAATTCAGTTGATTTAAAACTAAGAACTGCTTCTAGAATCTGGAGAGAATTCCCTGCACACAGAAACTTGCCATGTGGCAGAGATTCCTCTGACCATTTAGATTTGTCCTGTTTTCTCACCACGAAACTATTTAGACCAGAAACCACTGTCAAAGGTAGAACCTAGCAACATTTGACATGTATGCCCCACTTCTCCCGCTCTCCTTTCCACCCACCCACTGCTTAAAAAACTGCTAAGTGCTTCTAGCTAACTCACAATAGAAATTGTGTTTCTCCTCCCCCCCCGTGCCCCGCCCCCGCCAACAAGTCTGTGACCAGCAAAGCACAGGAAACGGTGGAAAGGGGGACACATTGTGTGTGCATGTGTGTATCTGTGTGCGCGTGTGCATGTGAGTATGTAGCAGGTGTGCTGGAGACCTTTTAACCTGAAATGTTGTCATGCCATATAAATTATTTATATGAAAAGAAAAAAGATTTATTTTTGTAGTTTGTACAGACCTCTAGCCTTGCAATGGAAGTTTTTATTTTTAAAAGTAAATATATATTATATATAAACCTATCTTCTGATGGTGCCTGTGTGCAGTTCTTTGGTCCCCGCTTTGGAGTCTCTGTGTTTGTAGTCAAGAGTGTACCTACTAGATTGATGCAGGCTGTACGCATAGGTTTCTCTTAACAGGACAAATAACAGCTGGGGGAGGAAGCTTTAAGCTGGGAAATGGTGCTGGGAGAAAGGGTTAAACGCCTTTCCCCTCAGCACCACTGTCCTGGATCTGATTCTGACACTGTGTCTTGTTTTGCTCTAGACTTCCATCTTAGAGAAGTGTGTGTTGATGAACAACAGGAGTTTGTGTATGCATGAGTAAGGATGCACATTATATATAATTAATATATATGATGATGCATGCATAGCTGGACGTTCTTCTGCTTCCAGAAAGTTCAAATCCTGCCCCAAGAAAGTGCAGGCTTTGGATTAATTAGTTAAAGGAAACATTTTAATATAATTTGCATATTTGATTCTGACTAACCTGTTCACACAATTTAAAATGTATTTTCAAGGCCTGATAGAGCATGGAAAGTACTGGTGCAGGAGCTAGAGGGAACCATCCAAAGTTTACTTTTTTCAGTCTTCAGCAAATACTGTGCTTCATTTTTGTAAAAAGGAAGAAAAGATCTGTGTGCCTTGACTTGAGTGTTGTCTCTGGACATTTTCACAGGTGGTACTAAATTACTTTCGATCTGAATTTATGATGCGGGAATATTACTGAGGAGACAGAATAAAGCTAAAGAGAGATCACGTAAAAGCAAATGTACATTTCTACTTAGTGTAATTTTTCGTGCAATTTACAGATGCAGAAAATGTAGTCAAGTACAATTTGTGAAAATCAGCTTCTGCAACCAGCCTGTCAAAGGCAGCAGGAGACCCCAACAGATGAAGCTAACATGGCCAAAGATAGCGTGTAATATAAAGGATTGTTATACTAGGTTGTCAGTAACAACCTGTAAAAGCGTGAAATCTCTGCAGAAGAGGGAGACGATTCTGATGTAAGAGCTGGATTTTTTAAGTTGGTTGGGGGTGACAACTTAGTTTCAATTCTTTATAAACTTCAATTAATGTTAGAAATATGCACAGGTTTCCACAAACCAGCAGAAAACAGGTGTATGAAGTGGGAAGCAATTGTCCAGTGGGATAAACATTATCTTTGCTTCCCTGGAAAGTGCAGAGAGGGACTATGTAATTAGACACAACCTGTGTCTGCTTTCAACTCTTATTATGCTGGAAGTAAGACACTGTAAGTTCAGAAGTATGGAAAGGAGTCTGGCCCAGGAACAACACCCCCCAGCCCTGTATTGCCCTCCCTGGCACGATCAATTTCTTGAGCCTCCAACCCCATCTCAGCAATGGCTGTACTGCAGCTGCCTGGCAGTGTTTATTTTTCCAGTGTGTTCAGGAAGCCGGCATGGTGCAGCCCAGCCAAAGGGGGGTGGGCGGGCAGGCTAGGAGGTTGTCTTGTCAGCAGCCACAGGGACCACAGCTGAGCAGATTCCGCAAGCAGAGCAACAAGCAGAATAAAGAAAAACAAACCGAGACCAGAGCTTGCACACACACAGGCAGCATTGTAGACTCAGTAAGGGGCACCCTCTTCACAAAAGTCCATCAGACTTGATGGTCCTATTAGGTGTCCCCACAATTGCTTTGTATCTTGCCATTTCTTTGCAGAGAGAAATTGTCTATGGGAGCAACTAAAGCACTGGGGGGCAGGCAGATGCTTGAATATACCAATGTGCAACTTCTGTTCAAAATTCAGTGGTTACTCCCAGGGGAAAGAATGTTGGATTGGAATAATGGAGAGCAGTGGAAGAGAACTCTTAATCTTGCTAGTTCCAACCCTTCCCTTCTCAACAGGTGTGCATATCTATTAGCCCATTTAAAACAACTGTGGTCTGGGAATTAAAAATATGGTTCACTCAGCAGTTTGTATGGATCCAGACTTTGTGTCTGAGCATTAAACACCCTGCTCCCACTACCTGCCTCTTCTTTCCCCCTGCAAGATGCTTCTCAGCATGATATCACCACGTTTTCCAGGGAGGAGAAGCTTCTTGTTCAAGCCTATTGCACTTCTACTTTCGCTTTTGGAACTCTTCTATGAGATACTGCCACAATATTTTTCTTTTTTCCCCTTGTTCAAACACTTCTTGACATAGCAGATGCTCCTTGTCATGTTCTCCCCCTATGTTATAGCCATTAATTCTGCATGTTGCAAGAACCTGATAGAATTTACAAGTAGCAGCCTATGGCTTAGTCTTGAGCTCCTCATTAAGTGACTCATAATTACCACCATCTGCAGTCTTCCTGAACTTCTTCCCTCATCTCTTTCCGAGTTTATCTTATCTCTTCTTTGGCACCATCTCTATCTAGGTTAATTTTCTCTTTAACTTCTCGTTTTTGGCTATACATTCCTGAGTGCAAATACCCAGGCAGTGCATTAGTTATGAATAGTGTACAGTCTATTCCTTTCCTGACAGCCACTTCCATGTATATTTCAGGGGGCAGGGAAAAGGCCATTTAGGGACAAATAATATGCGGCCCATTGGCACATTTACAAACAAGACAACCTCTCATGGGCAGCATGCACATGCCACAACCAAGCACACACACTTCTATTGGCTACAATTCTTCAAGCATCACAGTGGGAGGAGGAAACAAAGGAAGGGTGCCAGGGAAGGCCTTTGTGGGTGGTGCATGTGTTCCTGTGCCATGCAGCATGTTGATGAACTCTACAGCAACACATTAGACCCTTTTCTGTTAACAAAGATGGCTTTAGAAAGCTCAATTTCCAGTGGAAAAATAGTGGGGAAAGGAATGAGTGCTTTACCCTTTTCTCACCTGCTGTTTTCTCATGATAAAATCACTCCTCCACTGCCTTTTCTCAATTTTATTACAAGGGCGTGTTTATAACGCTCGGGGTAAATTTAGAATAGGACAGTAAGCAAGAAATGTATGAAGCATCCTTTGCCTCCAGCTCCCTCATGCGAAACAGCAACCTCTCAAAGTTGCTTTTCTTAATAAAAATACATACTGAGGCAATGTTACATATTTTTGCCACTTGCCCTTTATATACAGGTGCATCACTGACCAATGCTGCACTATGTATTTTGTACTCCATGTTCAGTGGCTAAACTGTGAATTGGGCTTCTGTTACTCTTAGATAGACAGACTTCAGGAGTTCAATCTCTGCTTCTTTTCTTTTCCTTTCTTCAAGAAGCCAGAATAGTGCACTTGATAGTACATATTAGAGGTCCAATCCATGCCCTTAAAAGCTGATTAGTTGAGATATCATGTTGGCCCTGAACAGGTTAGTTGTGCTGTTAAAAGTTTAGAGAACAGACTCTAGTGTGTGGGCACTTGGCCCTCTTGCAAGAACATTTAACCCAAAGAGCAACAGAGAAGGCCTTGAAGGAGCAAGCTACACTAGTCAGAACACAATAGCTATTAGTGATGGTCTACTTCCAGTTTGTATAGGCCTGAGTTTAAAGGCGCTGGCTCATTCCTGCCTAGCTGCCCTACTAAATCAGTGCCAGTGGTTAAAGATGGTAATTAATGTGCTTATTTATTAAATTTCCATACTGCCCTTCATTTGACAATCACAGGTGGCTTACAATATAAAAGCACAAAAACGCACAACAGTGACAAACATAAACAATTTAAAAAGCCATAGATTGTTTAATTAGCCTGTGAGAAGAGGAATGTTTTAGCCTAGCACCTAAAGATATGTAAGGAAGGCGCCAGGTGAGCCTCCCTGGGAAGAGCATTCCACAAGCAGGGAGCCACCACAGAAAACACCCATTCGCATGTTGCCACCCTCCAGATCTCTCATGCAGGAAGCACATGAAGAAGGGCCTCAGATGATGATTGCAGGGTCTGGGTCAGATCATATGGGAAGAAAAACCCTTACACAGCACTCTTAGGCTGCAAAGCAAAAATAGTCTTCTACAGACCTAAAGAAAGCTCAATCTACACAGAAAACACAGAATGAAAGCACACAGGACCTGTGGGGCAAAAGAAAGAAACGTCTTTCAACTGTCTCACAGGCCAAGTCTTGTGGTGCTTCAGTACAATAAATTTATGTCACTGTCAGGTTGTTCAGATCTATTTTTTCTGAATGTGCAATTGGCACTCAGTTTTTTCAGTCTTACGTTTTTCATATCACACCAGCAGGTGGTGGTCGTTGATGGAAAACTTCCATGCTGAGTGTTTGGGCCCTCTCCTCAGTTACTACAGTCGCCCTCCACTACTGTTCTCTATTTTGGGTTCACACACAAGTATTTCTGTACCTAGGTGCATGCACCTTTTCCAAAAGAAATCACTGGAAATTTTAAAGAGTGAAAGAGCAAATGTTACCAGCCCTTGGCTATCATGCTTCAAAACTGGCAATATGGAGGGTGCTGCTTTTGAGTGGGGAGGGTGGACAGCATCTATTTCTATTTGGTGTTTTGTTTGTTTGTTGCTTAATGACAAGTTTTTGCACAACACCAGTATTTCACTGTACCAAAACTCTTAATAAAGAGTTACATTTTTGTTCCTTAACAGATTTTCTGCTGCATGACAAAAGCCACAATAAATGTGGAAAAAGTGCGGGCTGTCATCTCGATGGCAATGTTTTGGAGACGGGGGAGGGGGGGATCATGCTGGGACAGCACCGATTCCACAATAAACATCCGTCTGGAAGCACCCTTGGCTTGGCTGAAAGCAATCTCGGGTCTTTCACACATGGGCTAGACTACAGTGCCCCCTGCTGGGAATGCTATCAGTCACAAGAAGTCGGCTCGCGCTTGTTCTTAAGCAGCTTTTGTGTGAAAACCAGCCCAAGAGACCCCGAGAGTGACCCATTAACCAACCCACGACTCAACCTTGCTTCCTCAGCCGCGACTTCCCGCTCTGCTGCTTCCGCCGATGAAGCCGCTCGCGCCTCAGCGCCTCTCACCCCGTGCACCGCATAGTGAGGTCACGTGCTTGCTTAAAGGCTAGGCGCTTATGGCTGCCTTAAAAGGTGGCAGGTTGTCCTCACCTGCGGTTTAGGTTCAGCCAAGTAACCGCTCCCTGCCGAACCACGGGGTAGAGAGCGAGCCACATGCAACGGAGAGCAGGGCTCCGCCACACCTTTCACAGCTGAGCTGAGAATTTCAGCAGGTGCAACAGCTGGCGATGCAAAAGGCTGAAATTCCCTTTTTTGCACGACTTATTAAAGGAGGCGCGGGAGCCCTGGCTCTCCTTTGCACCTGCGAGTTGCGCGCTCGTCCTGCTACTCGGCGCGCGTGGCCTGGGGTCTCATCCCCACCCGGACCGGCGCGCAATGTTGAGCCACCTGCAGTTCCTCCCTCACGCATCGTGGCGATGTCGAGAGAGGACAGAAATGTATGTTCCCCTTTTGCACGACTCTCCAGCAGGCGCGCTCTGGAGCCCGGGGCGCGGCGGCGCTCTCGGTGCCCCTCATTGGCCTGCTGTGTGGTCTGTAATTAATCCCCCGCCGCAGGGTGTCGGGGAGTTACACGTCCTCGCGCAGCAGGGGAGCCCCGGCATCCCCGGCTAATCCCCGTTTCTTGTCGCTCTCCTCAGGGGGCCCGCCGGCACCTCCAGCAGCCCCTCTTCCTCCCTGTCAGATTCGCAAGTGGCTGTGCGCAGGCCTGAGACGGGGGAGGGAAGCTGCCATCGCCAGGGCAGGCGGTGGTGTTCGCCTAATTTACTGAGCTTAACCCTGCAGCAAAAACTGCACACGGTCCCGCTCGCCGCCTCCCCAAATTCCCCAAGGCTCTCATGACTCTTATGTGGGGAAACCCGGGAAGGGGCGGAAACGGCTGGGAGGGTTGCAAGAACCACGCCGGCCGAGATAAGAGAAAGCGGGTGGGGTGGAGGAGAGGAGCATTGAAGAGCAGCTCCGAGGTGCTGTGAAGTCGCGGGATTTAAGCTTCCCTTCCTGCCCCGCTTTGCATGACAAAAAGCCCAGCTGCAGAGATGACACCGTCCCTTCCCCCCACGCCAAATTCACCTCCCCAATTACCAATCAAGCCCATTATGCGGCTACAATAGCCTTCAGCTCCGAGGCCCACCCAGGCAGCCAACATACAGACAGTACATCCTCGACCCATGAATGGAGCCATTTTGCCAGAGTGTTCCGTCTCCCCTCTTCTATTAAACGCAGCCCATTGCTGTTACTGGGAAATAAATACTAGTAACTGCTGCTATTTGAGTAAAGTGAAGCTCGTGGCTTTTGAGGGCCACAGTCTCCATTTAGCATTGGGAGCAGGCAGACCCTGCTGTTTTGGAAAGCTGATCTTCAAAAAGTGTTTAGCAATCCCCCAGAAAAAAACGTATATTCCCGGTTCTGTATTCCCACCCCACCCCTCAAATTCTTTTCAGAATGTCAGAACTCGGCCTATCTTAGCAAACAGACTCTAACAGCTAGCCAAGCACAGTTCTATTCCCTCAGCCAACGCGGGACAGCTTTGGTGAAAGGCTTTAATGAAGGTGGTATCAGAGAAAGCCTAATATCAAATAGAAGCAGGGATTAGAAGGAGTGTGGCCCCTCACAGTCAGCAAAGCAGAGGAGGGGCTGACTTTTCCTAAACCTCAGCATCATCTTATGTTGCTATATTATCTCATGGGTGTAGCCAAGTGGGGGCAAGGTGGGGCAGCTGCCCCCCATCAAGTAAAACAATAGGAACACTTAACTAACTGATCAATCACATTGGTTCTGCCCCCCCAACAAAGTTCTGCCCCTGCCCAAAAAAATCCTGGGTATGCCAGGCCATGGGATTATATTGGGCTCCATTGTGCCATACCGATATGTTTGGACAGGTAAGAAGGGTAGCTGAACAATTTGAACAAAACAATATTAGAATTAAAATGGTCAGACCGCTCCTTTTAATTATGGTGCCATAATGCCCACTGGTGGCCAGAGCTGACCACTGCAACTGCTGAGACAAAAACAGGAAGACTTGGAAGAAGAAAAGTGGGTGGAGGGAGGGAGTATTGAAAACTTTGAACTGTAGTTCTGCACAGAAGCAGGCATGGAAATCACTACAAAGAGGAGGATCCTGAACTGTAACCTGAGGATGAAGTCATTAACAATGTTGGTGTGTAATGAGGAGACAGTGTAATTTAGTACTAAGAATTTATGGTGCTATTGCTTGTGGATTGAATATATCCCATCCCCCCCCCTGATTGAATAGATTTTTAGTACATTATGTGTGCTAATTAGCTTATCAATACCAAGATGTTATCAAGAACTGTTTTTCAAATTACCGGTACTGTATTAAGTACATAATTATCACTGTACTTTATTGCATTTCCTTTCCTTATTACAACCCTCCTCCCCAAACAATGTGCATCTAAACCTATAGGCTCATGATAACACTACACACATCTGATGCAGTGGATGGTAGTCCACTAGCTTATGCTAGTCATTATGGTGCTGTAAGATTCTTGTTTTTGCTGCAAAAAACCCCAATTCTCCTCTAGAATTTATAATTAAGCTGTGGCCTTCATGTTTATCTTTGGCTAGAAAGATTGACAGAGGAATCTTATAAACATCACCTCAGGTCCATGGGATTTGCTTCCAAGTAAGTGGGTTTGGAATTGCAGCCTAGGGAGAGGTACAGGTTTCAGAAGAGAATTAAGAATATTCTAAAATGTTAACTAACAACAAATATATTTTGCAGCTGTCTGCATTTCTTGTTTGACATCTTTCCTGAGAAAGAAACCAGAATTATTGAATTCTGGAATCCTACATGCCATTGTCCACTTGCTGGCAACTTGTGTCAGAAATGAAGAGTTTTTCACCATTCCCATTTTTTGTTTTGGGCTCACTAAAATCCAAGGGGGCAGGCTGTCCGTTTTATTGTATCTGTTTATCAATAATCTGCAAGCTTCACACTTGGTAATTTATTATATATACACATACATGCTTTCTGGATCTTGATAGTAAGAGATTATTGCATGTAGGAACTATGTAACACAGAAGAAATGGTTAACAAGACCTCAAAATAGACTCACTCCTCCCATGGGCTCACATCTGTGTCAATAGCCACACAGTTATAAGCCGCATAACGCAACTTTTCCTCGCAGACTTTGGCCCTATAAGTGAAAAAGAAGAATCACATCAACGTACTTTCTGGTTATCCCAAACTCATCTCTGACTCCCCAAGATGCTATGCTTCTGTAATTAACACCCCACATTGCTGATACTCCCATCTCCATGCATATTATTCTCAATGGCAGCCACACTTCCCAGTACATTAGCCTACTTCTTAGCCCTTCCCCATATCTCCCCCACCATAATCCGCTTTGCATTGCCGCACTAAAAACTGGGCATATCATGTCCCTGGTCACTTGGTGATACTCTAGGCACCTCGAACTCACCCGATATTCTTCCCATGTCACAGCCCCCCAAACCTTTCAGCTGCCTTTCCCAGGTCTGTGCCACAACCACTGGGATTTTGTCCGATACACCCTTGCCCAAGAGATTTATAGAACAAGACTTACGAAGCATAGTTTGGCAAAAAAAGTGTGCTGGAGCAGGTGGAAGATTCAGGAAGTGCATCAGTGGTTTCAGAGCTTTGAGAGAAGAGATAACAAATCAGTGAGATCTGTGGAGAAGGCTTTACCACACAACAGAAATACAAAATGGCTGCCAATCCATCATCACTCACTCTGCAATATGAAGCACATTAACAGACCATAAGGAGAGCCCTACACGTCAGATCAAAGGCCCATCTTGTTCAGCATCCTTTTCTCACACTGGGTAACCAGATGCCCATGGGAAGCCCGCAAGCAGAACTTGAGCACAACAGCACTCTCCCCACCTGTCTATTCCCACAACACTCACCCTAATTTGTCAGGATAGATATAAATCCGAGCAGGAAGTCGGCTTCTTCCAGTAACAAACCTCAGGAAGCGACTGCGATCCTCTGAGGGGAAGAGTACACAACCATCAGAAACTCCCAGGGAGATCTCACCAAAAGTTATTATCCACAACAAGCTTGCCCAGTATGCATGTAGGAATGAAAACAAGACCCAAGCTTTGACTGGGAGCCAGCCAATGTTCGAGGTGGGAGTAAAAACTGACCCTCCTAAACAGGGGGAACCATTCAGTCGGGGGAGCTGTTGTAATAGCCTGTAATAGCCTGTTTGGGGCTATTTTTCTCCATTCCCATCTCCCATTGCCACATTGCAGTTACTCCAAGTTAAGTCTCTTAAAAACAAAACCACTTTCTGGGAGTGGTTATGAGCCGCAGTGGGAGGAGCCTCTCAAAACCCACTGAACCTGCAATTCATAGCACAGATTTCTTCACATCATCACTCCACAACAGTGTGCATTTGCTAACATCTACTTACCGTTAGTAAAGTTGTTCAAGGCTTCCCAGAAATACTGAATTCTAGTATCTGATGGTTCAAAATCCTCAAAGCGAGCTGTGAGAAGAAGAAAAACAGATACATGGTCAGGTTAGGGGGAAAATATTGCTGGCACAGAACCAAGGTCCAACTGAAGGGGAGGAGGAAAGATGGTATGCCCATTATTTGGGCAGAACACATTAAGGAAGAATGGAATATATACCTAGGCACATGGATAAGAGGTGCGAATATGCTAGCTCAAAATCATAGTACAGTGGTACCTCGGGTTACAGACGCTTCAGGTTACAGAAGCTTCAGGTTACAGACTCCGCTAACCCAGAAATAGTACCTCAGGTTAAGAACTTTGCTTCAGGATGAGAACAGAAATCGTGCGGCGGCAGCACAGTGGCAGTGGGAGGCCCCATTAGCTAAAGTGGTACCTCAGGTTAAGAACAGTTTCAGGTTAAGAACAGACCTCCAGAACGAATTAAGTTCTTAACCCGAGGTACCACTGTACAACCCACTGATATAGCATTTGTACTGTGAATCTCCACTCAGTGCAGTAGCTGAATGTGGAGTCGCCACATGTTTTATGATGACATCATGCGGTATGTTACCCATGAAGAGTACAAGGTCTCCCACACTTACTGAGCTTCTTTAGAGCCTCAACAGTAACTTCAGGGTCACCACAGACCTTCTTCTCCAGTTCCTGCCAAGTGAGCAGATCCAATACTGCCTGGGGCACTACCTTGAGAAGTCCAGCCTGCATGGCCGCAAGCTGAGAGAGTCAGGAAAGAAGAGACAGATGAGATGGGGCAAGGAACCACCAGTCAGCACTAAAATCCTATTGCCCGAATGCTATACTCCTTGCTCTCATTTACCTGCTCCTTGCTCTCATTTAGCCGTGCCTTCTGCACCAGGCGGATGAAATCCAAGCGGTCCTCATAGTGCACCACAGTGCGAGTGCCACCTGGAATAAGCTCCACCATACACTGGTCGCTCAGCACAGTGGTGTACGTCAGCTCATGCCCAAACTTGAACTCAAAGGTCTCTTTGTCCATTCCTTCCATCATCTCCAGAAGCTTCACCTGAAAACAAGGAAAGGGATAATCTCACCTATGCCCAAGAAAGCAAGGAAGTGGGAGACAGGGATTTCATTAAAAAAAAAACCATAGCCATAAATAAACAGTTATTATAAGATATTGCCAAACACTTTCCATCACCTGGAAGCATGCATTATGTCTAAAACTGTGCAGCTGTTATGGTTGGAAGCTGCAGTATTTGTGTGTGGACCATTGCTATGTGTTCAACATCATGAAATGTTGAAGGGAGTTTACTTACGCACCCCTTCACCCTCCCCATGGGCAGTTTTAGAAAACAAAATGAAGCCAGCTGCTCTGCCATGCCAGTATCCAAATCCATAGGCCATGCAGACAAATGCTAAATAGAAATCTGCACCCCATGTTTCAATAGTGACTCCTAGATACACGTCCCAGTGACTCACCAGCACAGAGTCAACAGCAGGGAAGTCCTTGCTCCAGCTCACTTCCTCCCCTGTCAGTTGCTTCCAGACAAAGCCAGGCAGGGCCAGGACCTTAAAGATAAGAGGAAGGAGAGATGCAGCACTGCAACACATTGCCTCCAGATGTGGTCTTTTGTGTCCCACTATGCTCAAAGGAAATGTTCAGGAAGGAAAACAAGGCAGTTCCCAGATCTGATTTTAAAAGAATGCTTGCGATTATGAATGATTAGAAAACAATTTGGCACAGTTAGGAAGAAACAGAAGAAGAGTTTGGACCCAAAGGCGTCTCAAAGCGGCTAACATTCTCCTTTCCCTTCTTCCCCCACAACAAACACTCTGTGAGGTGAGTGGGGCTGAGAGACTTCAAAGAAGTGTGACTAGCCCAAGGTCACCCAGCAGCTGCATGTGGAGGAGCAGGGAAGCGAACCCGGTTCACCAGATTACGAGACTACCGCTCTTAACCACTACAACACACTGGCTCTCCAGGTGGAGAAGGAAAGTCTGGCTTCCACCACCAGTATCAAAGAAAGATACAGCCTTCATCCTATACTCCAGTGTTTCCCAACCTTTTTTGGGCAAAGGCACACTTGTTTCATGAAAAAAATCTTGAGGCACACCACCATTACAGCCCCGTGACGTCAGCGCGCAGCGTCACGCCGGGAGGGACGCACGAAAGTGTAAGATTCAATTTTTTCCCCTCCCCCTTGCCTTCCTTCTGTGCCAACCGCCAAAAAGCCAAGAATCGCGGGACCGCCGGCGGAGGGGGGAGGGCGAGCGGAGGCAGCGGCGAGCCCCGTTCCTCCCCATCCGCCCCATTCCGTGCAAGGAGCGCGAACAGGTGTGAGAAGGGGGTCAAACCTGCGGGTCGGCGCCGGGGAACCTCCAAGCTTTGGGGGTGGGGGGGAGGAGGCAGCAAAACTGGGAGCCGCAAAACAAGCCAAATGTAAATAACCACACATTCTTCCCCTTCCCCTACTCTCTCTCTTTTCCCTGAGTCTATTTCAGATAGCAAAGAGGGGTATGGTACCTCTCATATCCATTTTTTGCAAAGCACCATGCGCATAGAGGGCATTATACAAATTAATACATAGAAAAGTGTCTGTCCCTCCCTGCAGTTCAACTCCCTCTCTTTTTACTAACAGCACATATCCATTCCTTCTGCTGGTGCAACTTTCTCACCATTTCTACATAGCAGCATTTATAAACCAGTGCCAGAGAAACTGGGTGAAAGGAAGGTGAGAGGGAAGAGATATGAATATTTATGTGTGTACGTATATGTATACATACATACACCTACACAATTACAGGTTTGAAGCCAACTTAAAATAAAAAGAGCTGGTAAGCAAAGGAATCTGTGGCGCTTTCCATGGGATCCGGGGACATGTCAGCTAATACTCTTCCCTTTCTTCTTCATTTGCTTGTCTCTGCAGCAAATCTCGAGGGGGAAGGGAGAAGGGCAGGAATTGCATAGGCACGAGAGAACGGGGGAAATCCCGCATGCAGGATTTTGGTGCCTAACAGCCCTCTGGACCCCCTCCTCGTCCCTAACGTAATTCACCCCTTCCTCCCTGACAGGGAGGGCGGGCCCATTTTGTGGTTCTCCTCAGGTGCTCTCCCCTCAACTGGGCGGCCACTCAGAAGCAAGGCACGGAAAAGGATCCCGAAGCACCACCGCCACCCCCCCCACAAACACACACAAAAACCCCGCCCTGCCATTCCCCTCGAGCTCGCGCGCTCTCTCTCCCTCGCCTCAGGTGCCTCGCACGCGGAGCTGAGGAGAGCGTGGCCTGGGTGGGCGGCTCTCGAAGTCGCGCGGCGCGCGGGGCCTGAGGGCGGGCGGGCTGCCGCGACGACGAGAGGGAGCGCGCCTGCGTGTGGACGCGCCTATGTGTGGCAGCCGCCAGCGGTGGGAGTGGCAGCCGCGTCCACCTGGGGGGAGAACCGTCGCTGCGCCCTAGCGCACCTTCCTGCCACCGCCCTCCTCCTCTTCCTCCTCGCTCCCTGCACCATGAGGGAAGAGGCGCCGCCGTGAGCTGCTCGGCCGCTTCCTCACTGTCCTCCAGACGAGGCATCCCCCTCGTCGCCGCCGCCGCCCATCCCACCCTGGGATGAGCCATGAAGCCGCCTGGCAGAACTTCCCTCCGGCGGCAGAAGCAGCAGCAGCAGCCCTTCTCTGGCCGCCGCTGCCTCCTCCTCCATCCCAGCAGCCGCCGCCTCTCGAGCTCCGCTGCCGCCGCCACCTTGCTTTGTCCAGCTCGGCTGCCCAGCTCCATCCCCCTCCTCTTTCTGGCGCTTCTGCTTTTCTGCTCAGGGTCCCCGAGGATCTCCGGAGCCGTGGCAAAGGTGTAAAAGAGCCGCATGCGGCTCCGGAGCCGCGGGTTGCCGACCCCTGGATTAGGACCTAATTTGACTTTTACAAAAAAATAATAATCTTTTGAATCTTCCCCGCGGCACACCAGGCAACGTATGGCGGCACACTAGTGTGCCGCGGAACACCGGTTGGGAAACACTGCTATACTCACCAGGAACTCCTTGCCACGCAGGGCGGCTCCCATGATTTGCCCAATCCACTCATATTTTGTGAACTCTTTGCAGGATGGGTTGGGGACATACATGTCTCGGGCCTCTCCGGTACCACTGCCCTGAAACAACAGACAGTTCAGCTCAAATGTCCTGATAGGGACATAAGAATGAATGTTAAAACACATGTACAATCCAGTCTCTCTGCAGTAATTTCCCCATGGAATAGTGGCACACTAAATTTCCACACTGACCAGGACTAAGCAGAGGGTGGATACATAAGGAATAAAAGTTGGATTCTGGAAAAGCTGGAACCAAAGGATAGTGCTTTGGTGTCCATATTCTCCCTCAGAGAGCACTGCCTCCTAAGCACTTTCCTTTCTCCAGAGCTTGCCCGAATCTTCACGTTGACAGTCTCTTGAGACTCATGCTGCTCTAATATCCTTAAGAGGAGGAAAGGGTTAGCTTCATCAGGGAGCAAGCACCTGGTTGGACGTGCGGACGAAAAAAGGCAGCGGCACTGGTGTCTCAGCTGAACTAGGACACAGCTCCTCAGACATATCAGCAATGCTGTCTCGGAAACCGCCACCTGGGAGAGAGAGCACATGGAAGTGTGTGATCAGCTTTGCTATGTTGCCACCACCTGCTTGCGTTCCTGAATACATTAGCTGGATTTCAGATTTTCCCACTCCCGCTCTTGAGGCCTATCCAATTTTCTGTAGGATGCAGGAAACCCTAAGCGGACACAAGAAAAATATTTGAAACTATGTTTCCTCCCTGCCAAAATCTCTTCACACTTGGCATTCTCCCTGGTGGACACATTGGAGGAGCGGGGCTCAGGCCTCCGTTGAACTCTTCTGCTGTAACCAATACTTTGATCGCCTTCTAGAGTTGGTTTAACAGCCAACTCAAAGGCAGCAGCAGAGTTCTCAACACTGAACTGCTGTACTACAAATCACCATCCTTATTGTTTATGCTCCTAACCAGAACTCTGTTCAAATAATAACAATCTCCGAAACTGACTCAAAAGAAAACCCAAATTTTCAGCTTCAAACTGTGGAAACAGTCAGAGATCAAATTTCTATTAGCTACCATTTTGGACTACACAAAGTGCAAAACTTACCCTGATCAATGATGCCCTCAGCAATGAATTTACACTCCCACCACTGGTCATAACGCAGAGGCCACCTGAGATGAATGAAAAATGGTCACTTAAACCTGCCTGTGGAGGTTTGCAGGAGGCACTGCATTGCAATTATTCTAGCGCCTCTCTTTCCCAGTCGGAAATCTTTTGATATATTATTATTATTTCCATTTCATTTCTATACCGCTTTATATTTTTAAGAAATATGGTAATAGTGCCATATTTCTGTGTGGCCCAGAACCTACTAAGGTCCTTGAATAACTGGTGTGTTGCAAATATTTGGAGTAAGCTCTCATTTATTAAAATAAGGCTCTGTTTTCTTTCCAAGGATTCAGATTCACTTTGTGGTGCTTGGCATTCAGGTACTTAGGCTAGATACACCAAGCTGGAAGGGGCAGGGAAGACAGACAGGTGGCTGCTGGATGAAAAAACTCACCTGTAATCCAGGGCCTTCTCATACTTGTCAGAAGGTTTTAGTCCCTCATATACCTAGGAAAGCAGACAATGCAGCAGAGGCATTAAGAGAAGAATCCTGGGCAATGTGCTTACAAATAGCAAAGCGGGAATAGGCGTCCTCTGAAGGTCTTGATGAATTTGTTACACAAGGACTGGCAAGAGGCAACATGCACCAAAGATGTACAAGAAGTTCTTTTGCGCACTGCACAGTCAGGCAGATCCCTATCAACCACCAAAGTATGTGTAGCAAAGGACACACATTAAATTAAAAGGCTAGTGTGACAAAGTGGCTAGAATAGCTAGGGTTGGATGTAGGAAACCCAAGTTAAAACCCTGCTCAGCCATGAAGTTTATTTAACACACTTGGGCAAGTCACTAACCCCACAACATTAAGAATAAAAAGGTATAACCTCATTTATGTCAGCTTGAGCTCATTGGTGAAAAGACAGGATAAAACAAACAGTAAACAAGCAACGAACTACAATTTCCAGTTACCCCAATGCCTTAGAAATGAGAATGAACCATAAACACACAATTCCTGCAAATCTGAACTAACATACACCTTGAAATTAGAGTTCAGAGAAGCGTGAACTAATTGGTTCTGGGAAAGGTTTGAACCAGGTAAGTTAGTTATTTAATCCCATGTGAAAGAGAAAATAATAATCATTTTATCATTTTATCTGAGGTACATTGTGCATGTGCGTCACCAGCAGCCACTGCTGAATTTCTTCTTATATTATAAAGTGAAGGGCTCCAAAAACACACGGCTCCCATTAGCATTGTGCAGCACAGTAAAAGAGCAAAATGGCTAGGGAGGGGCGAAGCAACTGTGAGCTCCTCTCCCTGAGCCTGTATGCTCATGTAGTCATGCTAAGCCAGGGTTTGGGTTAGTGTGACATGTAAACCAGGCCACTGAGTGGGACTCCCAACCACACAGAAGCTGCATCACCCTGCAAAACTGTTTGCTGAGCTTATGGTCAGAGACGGATCTTGCTTTGAAGGTATAGGTTAAAAAAGCACTTCTGGAGTACAATAGGAGGAACACGTGTAGCAGGTTGCAAAGGCAGAAGACTCCCCCCATCCCTCTTGCCACAGAGTACCTGCTAGTGGGTGAGCTGGCCTTACCTGAGTGAAGACTGTGTTTTTGCAGCTGGGGTCAAGTGCAGGATTGTCACGATGCTCCATGGCCAGGCGACGGTTGATGTAGAGCCGTGGCATGAAGTTGGGCTTGCTAGTCTCTGAGTCCTTGAGGCACTGGGTGATTAGCACTGTACGTCTTTTGGACAGCAACAGGAACTGTTTGATGTGCTATCACGGGCAAAGCGACGCTGGGTCAAAGTCAGGAATATCCCGCATGGTCCTTCTCCTACTTTACAAACCAGCTGGCTCTACTGCCAACATCATTGCAAACTATTCTAGCGCCTCTCTTTCCCAGTAGGAAATCTTTTGATATATTATTATTATTTCCATTTCATTTCTATACTGCTTTATATTTTTAAGAAATGAAAAGTCTCAAAGCAGTTTACAACCTACCTTAAAAGATCAGATAATAAAACAATCCAGAATGAAATATTACTGAAGAAAGTCAAATATAAAGGAGACATTCAAAGCAATGGTTTATTTCCCCAAGATAGAAAATACAGAAATTGGGAATCAGAAAGTCCCTCGCCTCACCTTGAGTTGGCTGAAGGTGCCAAGTGTGTAGTCCCAGGCTGGAACAAGATGGTGAAGAACACTATCCAAGATCTTGATAAACCTACCCAAACCAAAAGCGCAATAAATAAATACCAACGTTGCCATTGCAGGTGGCGGCAGAGTAACCAGACGTGTTAAATTTGACTCCTACATTTCTTGCTATCCCTGTTGGCTTCCCTCCCTATTTCACCCGATGAGCTGATTAAGCAGGTGAGGATTTACAACTACAGGTGAAACAAAACAAAAGGAAACAATAAATAAATTCAATAGGGTTTTACAGCACGGACACCTGGTGCTGTGCCACAGTGCATGTACACGCACATGCTCAGCCCACTACCACCACAATGATTGTGGGAGCTCTCGCTCTTCATATTGCAAAACAAAGAAATGCTGTCAACAGCAACGGCAATGTTCCTCAGCCCTGCCCTGCTCCATACCTCTGGATGATCACAGCCCGCCGATAGAGCACATCAGGGTCTCTTCCCTCCAGGCGAGGATACCTCACCAGGTTGGCTGGCTGAAACATATCTGCATTGAGCCCCAGTTCCCGTTGCCGAGAAGATTTGATCTTTATTCCCCGTAGCCGAACATCTATCCCATCATCTGTATTAAAAGGGAAGAACAAAGCAGCTGAGGACACATCGGTCAAATAGGGAACGGTTTCTCCAGGAGGCGGGAGAGAAATACTGGGGGGAAGAGCAGGGATGAGGGTCTCTCTTTGGGTCACTTTAAGTGACCCATGGTTATCGCAAATTGGCGGGGGGTGACAACTGGAGAAATTCCAGGGCTTTATTCATCACTTGCCACAAAAACAGCAGACCTGTGGTGGCTTAAAGATTAATAAATGTATTGTGCCTTTGCTGTTTTTCCTAGATAAAATAATCACAAAAAGGCATCCACCAAAAGGGAAGCACCAAGGCAGCTGTCAAAGGAGACTCATCATCATCATCATCATCATCATCATCATCATCATTTATCCCCAGCCACTCTGGGCAGCTTCCAATAAAATATTAAAAATACAATAAATCATCAAACATTAAAAACTTCCCTAAACAGGGCTGCATTCAGATGTTTTCTAAAAGTCAGATAGTTTTTTATTTCCTTGACATCTGATGGGAGGGCATTCCACAGGGCGGGCACTACTACCGAGAAGACCCTCTGCCTAATTGTACTCTGACTCTAGATGGAACCTGCCAGGGTACGTAACTACAGAGGGAGTGAAATTCTAAAGTGCAGCATTTAGAGAAAAGCAGGGAGATCATGGCACCCCACCTCCCAGGGATTAGTAGGCGCACCCCCAAACTGACACCCACACACCTCTGCATTCCACAATGCGGATTTCAATGACAGGCAAGTGAGCAGTCATGTCTTCCAGCACACACACATCCCCGATGTAGCTCCTGGAGACACAAAAACATCTATTTCCTCTTGCACAAGGTAGGCTTACCACCCCCCTCCAAAATAGAAATCCTTTAATCTTACATGCTCAGGGGAAGTTACATCAAGGGGGATGTGGGAGCCAGAAACCAGAACTCCTGGGATCTGTTTCCAACCTTCTGGGTGCCCTAAAGTGATCCATCAATCGCCTTCAGATAGTTTTTGAAGGGAGCACAGGGAACTTTTATGCTCACGAAGGCAGTGGGTTGGGGTGAACCACACTGTATGTTTCTCCCTGAGACACTGTAGCACGCAATGGTAGGTTTATGCATTACCTCAGGAATATGAAAGATGCCAGGAAATGTCTCCTCATAGTATAGAGCAGAGATGGGGAGTCTGTGACCCTCCAGACTGTATCTCCCATCTTCCCTGATCTTGCTGAAGGACAACTAGAGAGCCACAGTTTCCCCATCCTTTGCATAGATAAGTATTTACCACACTTTAAAAAGTATTGCATTTGGGGATGGCACTTTACTGTGGACCTCCAGTCTGCCCTGTGTGTGGCTTTATGTTTTTGCCTTTTGTACTTTATAGCCTTGAGTCGCATTTGCATTTTGTACATACTGCATTTTACTGGACTGGTATAAACATGTGTTAGTTCCCCAGGTGCTGTAGTGTTTGACTGGGGTTGGTGGTTGGACTATTAACTATGTTCCTTGATGTTCACTTATCTCTGAGGTCACATACTGGGCTCTGATTGTGTGTCTTTGGGGTTATAAGGGTGTGTACACTTATATATCAGTTGCTATGGACAGAGGGAGAACTAATGGCAGAGGATGGATAAACTGGGAGTGTCATGGGCATAGCCAGGGGGGGTTGGAGGGGGCAGCTGCACTTGCCTCAAGCCAATAAAAAAAGTTAATAATAATAATAATGAGATTTTTCCTTCCTTGAAATTCTCTCTCCCCGCCCCCCCCGCCTCCCTCATCTGACTCACTCATCAATGCCCACGTCACTCAGCTTCTTCAGGTTATCCCCCTCGCCACCATACACAGCCACCCTCTTGGGCATGAAATTCTCATCTGTTGTGTCCACAGTCAGGAACAGCTTCCTGAGGGAGAGAATTAAAGGGTAAACGTGAGACAACAGTAAGATATAGGACAAGTTTCTGGCTTGTAAAACTACTTCCCAGAGCTCCTATGGACAATGGAGGGTCCAAATATGCTTAGAAACCTTCACTGCAAATAGCTGAGAAATGTGGGGAAAGCAGGGGGGGAGGGGCTTGGCAGGCGAGAGAACTGGCTATGAAGCTTCCCCCAGGCTGAACCTTTATGTGGCTTGGGGGAAAAGCTTAAACCTTCCCAGGAATGAACCAAAAAGGGCCAGAAAGACTCAGCCATTTTGTATCGAGAAGGGTGGTTTTTGTACATCACTAGTACCACATAGTGTGTTCGAAAGCAGTTCGAAAGCACCCCTAAGTTCAAGTAGATAAATAGGTACCGCTTTATGGCGGGAAGGTAAACAGTGTTTCCGTGTGCTGCACTGGTGCTGGCTCGCCAGAGCAGCTTCGTCACGCTGGCCACGTGACCCGGAAAGTGTCTCCGGACAGCGCTGGCCCCCGGCCTCTTAAGTGAGATGGGCGCACAACCCTAGAGTCGGACACGACTGGCCCGTACGGGCAGGGGTACCTTTACCTTTAGTACCACATTCTGCACAAACCTATGTGATCACAGAAATCTTACTTAACAGAAAAGCCAAGGTGGGGATGCCTTTGTCTGCCATATGGAAAGGAGAGGGCCGATTCAAACAAATATTTTGCTGCAAACCTCAAAAGGGTGATTCTGAAATTACTCAACTTTCAGTTTCATGGCTGTGGTGGAATCACAGTGGTATAGGTGAGAAAAGATAATTCCTTTGTTGTTGTGATGGAGGCACAAAATAGTAGTAGCAGTATTAGTTTAATTTTCTACCCACCCTTCACCCTGAGGTCCCAGAGTGTGAAACAACCATTTAAAATACAGCACTAAAAACAATTCTATGAAGACTTACAACACCTTATAGAAGTGACACCAAAGAAGGATGTTCTTCTCATTATAGGGGACTGGAATGCTAAAGTAGGGAATCAAGAGATAAAAGGAACAACTGGCAAGTTTGGCCTTGGAGATCAAAACGAAGCAGGGCAAAGGCTAATAGAGTTCTGTCAAGAGAACAAGCTGGTCATCACAAACACGCTTTTCCAACAACACAAGAGACGACTCTACACATGGACATCACCAGATGGGCAGCATCGAAATCAGATTGATTATATTCTCTGCAGCCAAAGATGGAGAAGCTCTATACAGTCAGCAAAAACAAGACCTGGAGCTGACTGTGGCTCAGATCATCAGCTTCTTATAGCAAAATTCAAGCTTAAACTGAAGAAAGTAGGAAAAACCACTGGGCCGGTAAGATACAATCTAAGTCAAATCCCTTATGAATACACAGTGGAAGTGACGAACAGGTTTAAGGATTTAGATTTGGTGGACAGAGTGCCTGAAGAACTATGGATGGAGGCTCGTAACATTGTACAGGAGGCAGCAACGAAAACCATCCCAATGAAAAGGAAATGCAAGAAAGCAAAGTGGCTGTCCAACGAGGCCTTACAAATAGCAGAGGAGAGAAGGCAAGCAAAATGCGAGGGAGATTGTGAAAGATACAGGAAATTGAATGCAGATTTCCAAAGAACAGCAAGGAGAGACAAGAAGGCCTTCTTAAACGAGCAATGCAAACAAATAGAGGAAAACAACAGAATGGGAAGAACCAGAGATCTGTTCAAGAAAATTGGAGATATGAAAGGAACATTTCGTACAAAGATTACCATAATAAAAGACAAAAGTGGAAAGGACCTAACAGAAGCAGAAGACATCAAGAAGAGGTGGCAAGAATACACAGAGGAACTATACCAGAAAGAAATGGATGCCTCGCACACCCTAGGTAGTGTGGTTGCTGACCTTGAGCCAGACATCCTGGAAAGTGAAGTCAAATGGGCCTTAGAAAGCACTGCAAATAACAAGGCCAGTGGAAGTGATGGTATTCCAGCTGAACTATTTAAAATTTTAAAAGATGATGCTGTTAAGGTGCTACACTCAATATGCCAGCAAATTTGGAAAACTCAGCAGTGGCCAGAAGATTGGAGAAGATCAGTCTACATCCCAATCCCAAAGAAGGGCAGTGCCAAAGAATGCTCCAACTACCGCACAATTGCACTCATTTCACACGCTAGCAAGGTTATGCTTAAAATTCTACAAGGAAGGCTCAAGCAGTATGTGGATCGAGAACTCCCAGAAGTGCAAGCTGGATTTAGAAGAGGCAAAGGAACCAGAGACCAAATTGCAAACATGCGCTGGATTATGGAGAAAGCTAGAGAGTTCCAGAAAGACATCTACTTCTGCTTCATTGACTATGCAAAAGCCTTTGACTGTGTCGACCACAGCAAACTATGGCAAGTTCTTAAAGAAATGGGAGTGCCTGATCACCTCATCTGTCTCCTGAGAAATCTCTATGTGGGACAAGAAGCTACAGTTAGAACTGGATATGGAACAACTGATTGGTTCAAAATTGGGAAAGGAGTACGACAAGGCTGTATTTTGTCTCCCTGCTTATTTAATTTATATGCAGAATACATCATGCGAAAGGCTGGGCTGGATGAATCCCAAGCTGGAATTAAGATTGCCGGAAGAAATATCAACAACCTCAGATATGCAGATGACACAACCTTGATGGCAGAAAGTGAGGAGGAATTAAAGAACCTTTTAATGAGGGTGAAAGAGGAGAGCGCAAAATATGGTCTGAAGCTCAACATCAAAAAAACGAAGATCATGGCCACTGGTCCCATCACCTCCTGGCAAATAGAAGGGGAAGAAATGGAGGCAGTGAGAGATTTTACTTTCTTGGGCGCCATGATCACTGCAGATGGTGACAGCAGCCACGAAATTAAAAGACGCCTGCTTCTTGGGAGAAGGGCAATGACAGGCCTAGACAGCATCTTGAGAAGTAGAGATGTCACCTTGCCAACAAAGGTCCGTATAGTTAAAGCCATGGTCTTCCCAGTAGTGATGTATGGAAGTGAGAGCTGGACCATAAAGAAGGCTGATCGCCGAAGAATTGATGCTTTTGAATTATGGTGCTGGAGAAGACTCTTGAGAGTCCCATGGACGGCAAGAAGATCAAATGCATCCATTCTTAAGGAAATCAGACCTGAGTGCTCACTGGAAGGACAGATCGTGAAGCTGAGGCTCCAGTACTTTGGCCACCTCATGAGAAGAGAAGACTCCCTGGAGAAGACACTGATGCTGGGAAAGATGGAGGGCACAAGGAGAAGGGGCGACAGAGGACGAGATGGTTGGATAGCGTTTTTGAGGTTACCAGCATGAGTTTGACCAAACTGCGGGAGGTAGTGGAGGACAGAGGTGCCTGGCGTGCTCTGGTCCATGGGGTCACGAAGAGTCGGACACGACTAAACGACTAAACAACAACAACAACAAAAACAATTCAAAGCAACTTACAGTCACAAAAATAGTGTGGGTCCCAAAAATATGCATCTCAAGTGTCAAAGGCCAGTTTCATCTTCAGCACCAAACTTAAAGCCTCATAGCACCTAACTAGAAGTCTTTTCCATGATTCCCTCTTTGGGCAGGAAGAAGCCCAAGCACAGAACAAGACATGGGCATTAACATGACCCAGCTGCTCTCGATGCAGCTTTCACACTCAGTGAGAGCAGAGGAAACAGGGTTTAACTACAATAGTACTTATAGGAAATGGCTGATTAGGCCAGGACAGCGAAGTGTCTGCCAGTGATGTCCCCACATATAAGGAACAGGCTAGTAAAGGATAGGGAACTCACTTGATAATGGTCCCTTTCTTCATGTTGAGACGGACCCAGTGCTGACCCTGAGACCCATCACTCTCCCAGTAGGTGTCTGCATGGTTGTCTGTCAGGCATGAAACATTGAATTCTTCCTGAGGGAAGCAAAGACAGACTGAGGAGAGTTAGAAATATCCACTTAATAGCTTGCTTTCAGGCAACCCACAAGATCCCTCCCAAGAGGATACCAACTCTAGAACCTCAGACAGGAACTTTTAGTTCCAGACACTCAGGCATCCAGCTGCACCTTCCTACTATCCCTGAAAATAACTCAACACATCTTCCTCCCTCAAGGCTTCCTGGATTTTTACCACACTCCATTCACCTAGGAGAGGCAACCTGCAGATCTATGAAGAACGATAGAGGAGACACTGAGCACAGTGTCCTAGCACTGATCAGGGTAGTTAAGCATTATCAAATTTCAGAGAAAGACTTGCTGAACACTAAAATCAACAGGTGGCCAACTTAATCTGAAAGTTTGCAGACCTATGCCAAGACAACACAGAATTCAGAAGTGTATATATTCCTACAACTATAAAAGGTGATCAAGTAAAGCACATTATTTCACACATTATTTTATTTCATTTTCTGGACAAGAGAACAAATGTCTAATAACCCATTCCAGGGGCCAGTGAAGTTCATTTCATGGGTGGAGCCCTACCATTAGACAGAATAAGGCAGTCGCCTCAGACAGCAGATTCTGGAGAGTGACAAGATTTTGGAGGACAGAGCTGTGTGTGTCATGTGGCCTACCCTGTACCCCCAAAGCTAGCCTGCTGCCCTCAAGTGTGGCTGGCCTGTCCTGTCCCCAGTGTTAAAATAAGATTCAACCGCCAGTCTAGTTGTACATAGCATTGGAAGGGAGTATCATTTTATCCTTTGCCTCAGGCAGCAAAATCTCTTCATTAGCAGCAAAGAGACACCCAGAGTCTGTTTACACAAATAAGTTATCCTGACCTAACAAATTCTTAACTCAGTTCACATTTAGGTTATAGATATCAACCAGAAGTTATCTGTTGTCACGATCTGGCTGGCTCCCAGGCTTAATTAGCAGCAAGTAGATGTTGTCAGTTTACAAGCAGATTTATTAAACAACATTATTGTACTCAGAGCAGCTCCCATGGGCTACTGTCTCTTTCAAGATGTTGAGGCATCTGGGCTGTGATTTCAGCGCCAACAGGAAGCACGCCAGAACCCCGCCTTCCGCTTCCTTGATTGATGCCTTTCCCTGACCCTCGTTAACCTACGGGAATGGGGAGATTCTGGCTGGCCTCCTACCTTTTCCTCTGACGAATCATCCCTCCCCTATGTTGTTGCTAGGGTCCACTTATCAGTGACTTGGGCTCTCTCCAGCCCCCTCTTCTCCGGCTGAGGAGAAGGGTTTGTGGGTGACTGCCTTCAAACCGCTGAGAAGGAAACAAAACTACTCCTTCCTTCTCTGACTCTCTGTCCCCCTCATCACCCTCATTGTCCCTCTGGGGAGCCCTGTCCCTGACATCTGCCTCTGCAAACCCTTTAATATTAGCAAATGACGGCCTAGTGGTTCGGATGCTGAGGCAACCAGGGACAGTATGCATGAAGGAGAGGTCTCTATGCAAAGGAGCCTGGTTGATAGTGACACTTTACCGTGTAGGAGGACACATCAATGCTGTCCACATATTGCTTGATGCTGCCCAGATTCTCATCTTCCTTGCCAATGTGGTCATAGAGGAAATGCACCAAGTCCTCATCACATTCGTAGCTCCAAGTGGGTGGTACAAATCTAAAATGGCAATAATTGGTGTTAATAGTACAGGATGAGAGAGGGCTGGGTTTACAGAAATTTACATCCCTGATCATGCTCTCCACTACCCAATTATATCCTCCAGGATATTATTTTTACTCCCACTTCTGCACAAGCACTACTCCCAATAGAATTAAGTCCTCAGGCATACAAAGCCTGGATAATATGTAGAAACGTCCAGTGCTGCGGGCCCAGTTACCACTTTCAAATTAAGTGCATTGGCTGCCCCACTTTTTCTTATTGCTGTAAAGGAGGTTGCATGCCCTTTACCGGAGTCTCTCTACCGCAGCTGCATCTGGCTCCATGATTTTTGGTTTTGCTCCAAGACGGAGGGAATATGTTAAATCCACCACCTGCTCCCATCTGGAAAAGGGAAAAAGGCAGAATTAACAACTATAAACTTCTGTGTAAGCAAACAGAAATAAAAAAAGTTCTAACTGCATTATTAGCTACTAAAACAAGGCATAAGTATCTAAGAATAATTCAAAGGGTTGACATATAGCCCTTTGTTTAATGCTACAGAGGATCTAATTTATAATGCTTATAGTAATAATAATTTTTGCTGCTATTAAAATGAAAAACCTTCCATTAATTAGATAAAACAACAAAATGGACACACAAAACTTAACACATCTTAGACTTACTGATAAGGTTTGAGCCAAGTGATGTGTGTGTTTGTGCATGTTTGCATACATTTTTGACACAGTTGTGAATATCCCTTTTTTACAACTTTGGGAGCTATGGACAGGAGTGACAGTGTTTGCAGTGCAGTAGCTGTACTCCTTGTTCCCCCAAAAGACATTCAAAGTGAGGGCAACACTTCCTACTTTCACTCTGAATTGGCTTCATTACATCACCACAGTCTAATCTGATTGGCTGTTTTCCACTGTAATGTCACTACACGGCTTATTTGATCCCCAATTGGCTACAATCCAGAAGAATAGAACCTCTCTCCCCCTTGGCACACAAGCTGTAGATCAGAGGAGGAAATCAGCCATCAGGAAAGAAGCAAACAAGAGATGAACCACCTGAGAACATATGCCACTCCCCCCCCCCGCCAAAAAAAATCTTTGAAATTTTGGTACTGATACAAGTTTCTATTAGAAACTAAGAATTGAATGTAGGCAAAGTGCTCTTGGTTGATTCCATTAGCAAAATGATTGGAAGCTACTAATTTAGCTTGCAACCATAGGTATTTCTGAATGTCACACGTTCATTGATAGTATTATGTATTTGTTTTGGCCACCTCATGAGAAGAGAAGACTCTCTGGAAAAAACTCTGATGTTGGGTAAGGTTGAGGGCACAAGAAGGGGACGACAGAGGACGAGATGGTTGGACAGTGTTATAGAAGCTACCGACATGAATTTGACGGCACTCCGGGAGGCAGTGGAAGACAGGAGTGCCTGGCGTGCTCTGGTCCATGGGGTCACGAAGAGTCGGGCACAACTAATCGACTAAACAACAGCATGTATTTGCTTACAGCGAGTGCCTTCCCCAATGGTCCTCCTCAAAAGCCAATCAATGCAAACAAAATGTAGAGATGGTTTTCAGTACCTGATTACAGGCTTATAATCCACCCCAAAGAGTTGCTGCTGCCTCTGGATTCTCTCCATCGATTCCACTGGCACCAGCCTGTCCCCACCATCTGCATGCTTACACATGAGTACCCAGCCTTCCTCCAGATCACAGCCAATCTTGAACTCCTCCAGCTGCTCCTATGAGGGAAGAATATGAAATCGTATGTCCAGTACAAAATACGACATTGGAGATAATTAAGAAATCCAAACAGTTTATCAAATCCTCATACATCATACAAAGAGATTTACACAGATGGTTAGGAACACTGATTATCCATAGAGAAATGCACAGCTCCTACTAATTGATTAAAAACCAAAATGCATGTCTTTAGTCTGTGCTAATGAGTGTCTAGGGACACGGGTGGCGCTGTGGGTAAAAGCCTCAGCGCCTAGGGCTTGCCGATCGAAAGGTCGGCAGTTCGGATCCCCGCGGCGGGGTGCGCTCCCATTGCTCGGTCCCAGCGCCTGCCAACCTAGCAGTTCGAAAGCACCCCCGGGTGCAAGTAGATAAATAGGGACCGCTTACTGGCGGGAAGGTAAACGGCGTTTCCGTGTGCGGCTCTGGCTCGCCAGATGCAGCTTGTCACACTGGCCACGTGACCCGGAAGTGTCTCCGGACAGCGCTGGCCCCCGGCCTATAGAGTGAGATGGGCGCACAACCCCAGAGTCTGGCAAGACTGGCCCGTACGGGCAGGGGTACCTTTACCTTTACCTTTAATGAGTGTCTATGACTACTTTTTCTGGTCTCTACAGACCAACAACACTCCCCTTTCTCACTTGAAAGAATGCACATGCATGCACTGTCAACAAAACGGTATTATACTGTCCTTCCAATTATAATTATAAGAAATTTGCTGAATACATGCATAGGAATTACTGAGGTTTACTAGCACATAGCCTTTGAGGGCCATGCAGTTATCAAAAAAATCTCCCCAACTATGATAAGGAAGATTGTTGGTATTACAGCTGTTTGCATATTCCTTACTGTTGCTATTTCCCAAGTGCAAAATGTGGCAGCCAGTTTATTGCCACACTAATACTAAAAGGAAAAATGATAACCAAGGCAGAAAAAAACATATGGGCCAGGAAAAACTGAAAGGCTCTTCTGTCAGCTAAATTCGTATCAAGGAACCATAAAACTAGCTGATAGTAATCTATGTCTGTAAACAGTGCCAGTCTCTGAGAAACGTAGGAATACTTGTGCCCTGTGACACCATCCTTGAGTGCGCATGTAGGACACAGCCCCAAAAAGCAATGGGAAAGAGAGGATGAGATGCCTATGTTTATCTCTGTTACATGTGTCTTAAGCCTCCATCTACATTTGCTCTAGCATGCAAATTATGTAAGTTGGGGGGGGGGAGGTGTCAACCCTAAAACATTTGAAATTGTAATAACGGCTCAAGTGCCTCTGAACATGGGTAGAGTGCATTTCCATCCTCTTCAAAAAGCATCCCGGCTGGGTTGCCAGTTCACACCAGGAATTAAGGACAGCAGGAATCATTACACGGAAGGAGGAATGTGGCGCTAGCTGGCTGGAGCCCTGGCAATTTACCCTCCTCGAAACTTCCGCGTTCAGCGGGTGCCCGTGCGCTGCAGGCCCCGCCGGAGGCTACACCTTGCCACACTCACCTTTGTCAGCTTCACCCAGAGCCCGTGCCCGTTGCAGTATTCCTCGCCGCTGGCTCGGATGCACGAGCCCTTGCGCAGCTCGATGGTGCCCCTGCCCAGGCCCTTCCTGCCGCCCGACCCGGAGCCGGCGCCGGCCTTGCTGGGGTTCTCCCATACCGACAGCAGGGTCCGGCCGGAGGCCGAGGCGGGCCCGGGGGCGCTGGGGTCCTTGCAGATCTTATACTGCACCTCGCGGGGCACGTAGCACAAGGCGGCGGGGAGCGGCTCCGCGCGCGTCAGGCACCCGATCGCCTCGCTCAGGAAGCGCAGCCGGCCTAGCAGCTGGTGCGGCGACTCGCCCGCCGTCGGGGGCATCATCCTGGCCGCCTGCAGCCGCCGAGGCGGGGTTGGCCCAGAGGGAGCAGCCGCCGCAGGAGCAGCTCCGCCGGTGGCCCCTTCCCTCCCGTCCCGAGTCTGGCAGCCGGCGAGTCTTTCCCAAGCGCAGCGACCGGGAGGAGGGCGGCTGCGGCTGCTTCCTGCTACTCTCGCCCTCCTTCCTCCTACGTTCTGCCGGGTGTACCGTAAAGCAGCCTCTATCGGCGGACGGCTGAATGAGCAAGCCTAGCATGCAAGAAGCCAGGGGAACCAGGCAATGGGAATGGGTCGGCGGCAAGCGCCGGACCCCGCGAGGGAGGTTTAGGCCTAAGGTGAAAGTGGCCAAGGAAGGTCGACGCGCAAGATCTCTGACTGCGTTTCACTTCAGTTCCTGGGCTCATGTGAATGGCTGGCGATGAGGCATATCGTAAAAGTTCGCGTTTCCAAAACAAACAACAAGGCAGGCGGAAGGATCTCTGATCAGGTGCCAGGGAATTGACACTAGTAGTAATATAAAGAATGGCCTTAAACTAGGGCTAGGGGACCTGCGGCCTGCCCCGCCTTGCTGGCCTAGATCACAACTCCCATCATCCCTGATCATTAGCTATACTAGCCTTGGCTGATGGGAGTTTGGAGACCACCAGGTTCTCTAAGGCATTTAAACATGTTCTCTGTTGCTGAGTTGTGCTCTTTAGATGTCACTGTTCCTTGGAGCTGCCCAGTTATCTAGTGGTAAATCTGCTTGGTACAATCTTAACACTTTCACCTCTGTATCTTCTCTCCCAGAAGGACCTAACACTGTTTCTCACATCGGTCTTGTCTGTCTCCCTCATCATTAATGTTCTATGGTGATCTGGAGTCATATTGCTTCTTAGGCTTACCAGTGTTGATGAACATTGTTAAGCAACACTACAGTACAAGGATCTGTGAACACAAATGCACAACCCACATGGGATTAAAAAGCCAAGTGGCTTCTGGAAACTTCTGCTCGGCCTGATGGCAAATTTTGCTGTGGAGGTTTTTGCTTGTTCTTCTGCCAATCTTGGGGTCTCCCCGAGCCTGCTAATACTTCCTTCTTGCACATATATGTTGCACCTTTGGTTACATAAGGACTGGAGCTCTGAGAATTGTGTTTGCTGTTAGTGTATGTATATCATGACTGAGCTGTGGATTCGCGAGTAATATGTGAAATAAGGCACAGACAAAGCAGCCTTTGGCAACACCTTCCCACATTTTTATCTATTGGTCCCATGTGGTGCTGTGGTTAGGATAATTTTTATCTCCAAGCAAAGAGCACAATGTACCGAAGGAGGAGGTGGTCCAAAGTTTTTATCAGCCAAGCACAGGGAGTGGCATTTATCGGCTAGGACAGGAAAATACCACATATTTTATGGATGTAGAACTAGTAGCAGATGTACTAACCCAGCTTCTTAATCATTCCCCTTGGCTGTGAATACGGGGGGCTACACGAGGGCAGTGGACTTGTGGGGAAATGAATGCGTATTTCTGTCTTTTAATTCATTTCTGCATGCACAATGGCTGCCTTGACCCAAGGGTTTGGTGCATTTGTCTAGCTCCCATGAACTATATGGGTTGTTGCAATGCTCTCTGTACTGTATTTAATTTAATTAGGAGTTCTAATGCCAGTTACTTGTTGGATGTCTATGCTCAAAATAGACCAGAGGGGTTTTTGCTGCCCCACCACTTGGGCGTCTACGAGCCCTGCTCCGCGGTGCTGGTTCTGCCCTCTCTCCAGCGCCCCAGACAAGCGGCGGCGCGTGTGCTGTGCGCCTCCCGTCCTAACTTTTCCGGGAGACGTGCTACAGCGCACATTACGGTAATGCCGGTCCTGCCCCGGCCACGCCCAGCGGGAGCCGTGGGTGGATCCCACAAGCACCAATCGGGGGAGCTGGGGAAGGAACCCGGAAGTGGGGAGGAAGAGGCGTGTTGTTCTCGCCGCCAGGACTCGGGAGTAGGGCGGCCGCAGCAGCGCGGGCGGGATGGAGAAGAACGGGCCGGTCGTGTGAGTGGAAGCGAGAGGGCAGGCATTGTGCGGTCGTGGGTTCGTGGGGTGGGACAAGGGACATTTGCCGCTTGTTCCCTTGGCCGGGCTGCTGGGTCTTCAGCTGCTGCAGGGAAGCAGCACCTCAGCCCCTGACGCCCTTTCTGACATGCAGGTCCACCCGTGCAGTACTTGGGGTTGAGCTCGTGTTGCCGGTGCAGGCAGGGCTGACACGGTGCCGAGTTGTCTGCTTTGCGCCGAATGTCGGTTCCGCTGAGCACCAGTAGGCAAAGTTTGGGTTAAGAAGCGTTTCCACCTTGCTTTGCGCTGCTTTTGTCCATTAGACATTAAGACGCAGTGCTACAGAGTATGAGGGAAAAGGAGGGACTCCTTTTTCTCTTTCCCCCTTCCGGCCCGTATTTGAGATGATTCTGCGTGCTCTAAGCAGACATTGCTTGCTGCAGTGAGAGTCTTTCTTTCACCTGGGTTGCTCTACTTCAGCTTCTATGATGGTATTACTCTCATTGTGGCCAGCGTGAAAGCACGTAGGCCACGGTGGGCTTGATGGACTCTACTTCTGAAGTACTGTAATATACATACAGTTGTGCTTGCACATGTGGCCATGGCAAACCAGGCTTTTGAACACACTGCAAGGGCTAAGCCCAAATCTAGCTCTGATCCAAATGACACAGCGTAAAGCAAGGGTTCCCAAACTGTGGTCTGTCAACGTCATTCAGGTGGTCCACAGCATGTCTGTTAAATAAAATTAGAAATAGTCCCCCAAGGGACTAATATAAATATAGAATGTAGAACCTGTAGTTGTAACTAGCTAAGAGGGGAATAACTGTTCCTGTATGGCACTGATAATTTAATCCATGATAGTTCCATGGACTGGACTGGTGTTTGTGTGTCTTTTCCCCTCCGGCTTCCCTCAGATTGTAATGCAATAGTTTGTTTGATAAAGTAAAACAGACTTCACCCCTCTTGCAGCAAAGAATACCGCAACATGGTAGTGAGAGAGGAAATAGTCTGTAAATATTTTTTCCAAGTTTTAGTTAGTGAGTGCCACTTACTACCTTCCCTAGTTGTCAATTTAATATTTGAAAGGGGGAGGAGGTGGAGAATCTTCTTTCACCTGGGAGTCACATTATATTGGATGGTTTTTGATAAATGGTCAAACACACCTCTTCACCCAGGCCTTTGAATGAGTGGCTGTTTTCTGTTCCCTGATAAGTCTCACAGAATTCCCTGAACTGAAGAATGATACCTTCCTCCGAGCAGCACATGGAGAAGAGACAGAATACATCCCTGTTTGGTGCATGAGGCAAGCAGGAAGGTACCTCCCAGGTAAGTGAAGTGACTGAGGTGTTTGGGGCAAAGATGTTTGGATCTTGTCTTCATGTCCTTGGGACTGGGAAGGCCTGCTGGTTGGCCCTGAGTTCTGAGAGAGGAGTACAATTACCTAAAAATGAGTAGGAGGGAGAGGGAAAGAAGCTCTCAAGACCAGAGCCTTTGGAGGATTCTGAAAGCAAGAATCCAGCTACTAGTATCTGTCCAGAAAATGGATCTGGGAGAAACTTCAGCTCTGAAAAGCATTGACAGATAGTGTCCTGTGCCTGGAATTTTTTTCCTTGCAACACCTCTGTGATTGACATAATTAGCCTTTACCCATTTTCGAGGGCGGGTTCCTTTAGTCCACAGATGGAGGGAATCTATGGCCCTCCAGATGTTGCTGGAATCTGACTCCCATCAGTACCACCCAGAATGGTCAGTGGTCAGGCATTATGGAAATTGGAGTCCAACAACATCTGGAAGCGCCTAGGTTCCCTGCATCTCTCCTCTAGGTTAAGTTGCATTCCTTTTGAGAGGCATCTACCTTCCACTCCATTTTCTTTTTTTGCAGAGTTCCGAGAGACGCGAGCAGCTCAGGATTTCTTTGCTACCTGTCGATCACCAGAGAAGTGTTGTGAACTTACTCTGCAGGTGTGTTGTGAACTTATTCTGCAAGTGTGCAAGGTTCCAGGAGGGAGAGTTCTCTCCCCTCCCCCCCATTCACAATTCCTGTTCTGCAGACTGTGGCAGGAGCTGAATATACCCCAGAGTATAAACTGTGACATTTGCTCCCACAAGATGGTCAGCAGCATAGTTTTATGAGAGGCTCACCAGACTCACCATCTCATCTGCCTTTCCCTAACCAATTTCATTTGTCTCTTCCGTCTAAATAGCAAAACTAAATAGCAGTTATTGATTTGGGTTTTAATGTCCTCCTTGCTGCATTTGCTATTCAGTTGCATGGGCAATTTATATATTTAGGTCACGGGTGGAGAACTCAGATCCAGGGACCAAATGTGGCCTTATCTGTCCTTTGGGACTGTCTCTGCTTCACACCCTTCTTTTTGTCTGGCTGGAATGTGTCATGAGCTCTGATAATGCTTCTTGCTTGCCTGGGTGGAGGAGAAAGAGGGGTGTGTAGAAACTAGCTCATTGTGCAAAGGGAAAATTTACATTTGTTGCTTTGCCCACTTTTGCCTCTGCCTTGTGACTCCTGGAACATTCCCCTGGAGGGAATGTGGCTCTCAGGCTAAAAAAACACCACCACCCCAGTTTTTAGAAGCATTGTAGACTTCTTCATTAGATGTATCTAAGCATTCTTCAGGAAATAATTTGGTATGTTATTCTACACTGCTCCTTGAATATAAAAACAATAGTGTCCATGGGTGGAATTCAAGATAGTGAGAAGGAGGCTGTTCACAAGTGGAACGAGGTCCGCTTGCACAATGGGACTTCCCTCTAGCTCCCGTCCACATGCCCTCTAAACCTGATCTGGACTGTTCCCCAATCTTCCAGAGCAGGTTTTGAGGGGAGTAGGGGAGGGAAAGTTCTCATTTTACTCATGCAACAACTTAGCTGAATTCCACCCCATTTTGCGATGAATGTGTTGTCTCCAGCAGCCACAAATGAAAGTGCATCTGTTAGCTTGAAATATGAAAGAGGGATTGTGATAAAATATGAATAGATATATAAGTAATAAGTTATTGCCACAAATGTAAAATTACTAACAGAACATTATAATTTTGATAAGTGCACTTTTGTGTTTCTTTCAATGCAATATAAATATTTTAAAAAGAAATACGAAAGAAAGAGCTCACTAGCTAAAACATGCCGTGGTACCTTGGTTCCCGAACGGCTTAGTTGTCGAACAAATCGGCTCCTGAACACCGCAAACCTGGAAGTAAGTTTTTCAGAAGCTGAACGTCTGACATGGCTTCCGCACTTTCTGCTTGAGTGCAGGAAGCTCCTGTAGCCAATCCTGTAGCCTTGGTTTTCAAATGGTTTTGGGAGTCAAACGGACTTCTGGAATGGATTAAGTTTGAGAACCAAGATACGAAAGTCTTGGCCACTCTACTAATAGGAAACTGATATCTCCACTGTGACTATTACGCTTTCCCTTGCACAGACAGTGCTTGGCTGAGCAATAATGTCTCTGTTGGGTGTTCCATGTAGCAGAAAGGGTAGCAGGGTGTGTGAATGAAGCCTCTGCTCCGGTGTCACTACATGTTGGCTCTATTCTGAAGGCATTCATTTGAACTTGCTTAAAACATCCATGACTGGAACCCTGATAAGGCGGAGGTCCTGACTGCAGGGAGGTTTCTCAGTGCATTCCTCTGAATAAGAACGTAAAGAAGAGTCATGCTGGGCCAGCCAATGGCACATCTAGACTTGCATCCTGTTCTCACGATGGCCAACCAGATGCCTGTGGGAAACCTGTGAGAGGGACCTGAGCTCAAGAGCACTCTTCCCTCCTGCAGTAACTGGTATTCAGAAGCATTGCTGCCTCCGACCATGGAGGTAGAACGTAGCCCATTGTGGCTAGTAGAATGCCCTTAGATCTTCATGCTCAGCTTCCAAAGATGATGATGATGATGATGATAATTAGATCTGAAGCTTCCACATGGGGATGGGGAGGTTGGAGTGGGGGTAACATGCAAGGCCCCCCACCATACACACCGTTTTGAATGCCTGGGAGTGGTCTATTGATACATGTGCATCAGATTGCCTAATTCAAAATGGAAGCATTTGATCGGACTCGGTGTGCTTTCAAATGCACAAAGGCACGTCGTACGCTCTGGCAATGTCCTGAAAGACAGATGATGCACGATTGTTTTCTAAGACCCGTTTCCTTCTCAAATAACATACATCTGTGCAGCGTGCTTTCCCTTTGTTCTTTTAGAATGTGTCTACTTCTCGGACCTCCTCCCTTTTCTCTGCTTTTGGCATTTTCATGGGTCTCTGATTCCCCACCCCCCACCCCCATGTTCTTTTTCACAACATCATTACAAACATTTCTATTAAGTCTATTTTAGTAACATTCATTAACACACCCCTCCGCACAGCACTGTCTTTCTCTTCAAAAATGTTATTAATGGCATAACGTTTGTTCCTTTTTGTTCAGTTGTAAAAGAAACCCCAAAATTCTATGCAGCTGACTGCTTGAGGAACTCTTCCACCTCTTTTTTTAAAAAAATAAGTAAATAAAAAGACTGCATTTATGCAATGCTTCCTTCTGTTTTGCCTCACTTCGTTATACAACCTGTCAATATGTTTTTCAGTGTTCATTGTCCCACTGACAGCACACCTGTAAACATTCCTGTATTTTCCCCCCCAATGTTCATAACTCTTGGTCTCTCCCTCTCTCCCCCCCCCTCTCTCTCTCTCTCACACACACACACACACACACACTTTCTCTTTTTCTACACATTCTAATCTCATTCTGTTTTGGACTATTTTAGCTTTTGAGTCAACTTGAACAGATTATCGTTTTGGTTCTTATTATCTTTGTAGTCTTTTCCTGCCATTTTTTTTTTTAAATCACAGCTCCTTTATTTTTGCAATTTTGAATACTAGACTCCTTTTCTTTTAAAAACATTGTAATAGAATTTCCAAGAACTGTGGGGTTTGTGGACTGAGAACACATTATTTGAGCTCCAAGCCCCTCCCCCTGCCCCCATATCCTGCCTTAAGCCCTGTCTATCCTGATGGGAAGCAAGCGGCAAGCAAGTTTTGTTTTATATGCATAGCCATTGTCTGCCCTTTTTTGGGTGGGTGTAGAGAGAAGCTCCACAAACCAACATTGTCCTGCGTATTGATGTAGTCTGTGTATCAGTGCAGTTTTCCTACATATCTGTACTTAAAATGGACTCTGGGAAAGACAGGAATGGGTTCCTGCATATCCTCCAGCGTACGGGAACCTATTTATGCCTTTCCCCGTGTCCCATGCTGTGCTCCTCATACAGCACACCCACTTTACCTTTACAGGAAGTTATACTTCCTCACTGGCTGAATCTGAATATTTCAGTAATAGTATAGTGGTGGTAAATCAGGGGAGATGTGGACTCAAAGGGCCAAGAAGGCCAGGCTGTGGGAAGATCATCTTGTGCAGTACACAGGTAAGACTGTATCATTGTCTGCTGAAAATCTAGGCTGCAGGGTTCAGGCTGCCTATTGGAATGTCTGCAAAACCACTGCCTGGCATTCTCTTTCGTGAAGGAGGGGCTGTAGCACACGGTTAGAGCACGTGCCTTGCACACTGACGGTCCCAGGTTCAATCCCCAACATCTCCAGGTAGGACTGGACTCCTACCTGACCCCTGGAGAAGAGATTCCTGATAATATAGATAGCACTGAGCTAGATGGAGTAGTGGTCTGATTCAGTATCCTATGCTCTGATTCAGCATCCTAAGGCAGCATCCTATGTTCTAGTGTTCATACGCTACGTCTATAGTGCACTAGCTTTTGGGCCTCAGCAGAAATCTTGCCCTTCTTCCCCCCTCCAGTTTTTCCTGGATTTTGAGTTTTCAGGCTTACTGCCTTTGTATTTTCAAATATTTCCTCTCTCCTATGAGAGGGTGGTTCTGTGAGAGTTGGAACTTAACTGGTTAAGTTGTTCCCATGATGCCTCACCATTCTGACGTCACTTTTGGAAGCTCGGGAGGAGCTTGAGGCAAAGTTTGCCAGTCCCACTATGTGAGCTGTGGGGAAAAGGATGCAGTGGTGTGATGGCTGCAACTAGCCCAGGAAATCCCTGGGGGAATGTCGGAATAAATGCTGTAAATAGACGAACTGGACTCTGTGTGTTTGTCTGGAAGCTGAATCAAGCTGGTGACAGTTCTACACCGCTGTGTGAAGCTCTGCTGAGTCGTGACGGAGTGGCGCAGCTGAGGGAAGCGCGCCGGGCAGCCATAAATCGCTAATCGAGGTTCGTAAATCAATTAGCGGGGGTCACGGCTAATAACCAAAACAGCACAGGTTATGGGTCCATAAATAACCGCTTGTAAAACTGTCGCGGGAGCTGTGAATCTGCGGTGTCGAGCAGAGGCGGCAGAAGGTGCAGACGGAAGCAAACAAGCAAGCTGCGAGACGCAGAGAACTGCCTGTGTTGCTGAGAACTGCAAAGAGCTGCAGAGACGGCAGGAGGCAGGAGCCAGGAGCTGAGAGCAGCGGGAATCGTTTCTCCACGCCAGAAGAGCTGGAAATCTTGTGAGTACAGCTTGGGGCCCCTTGGGAGAACGGGAGAAGATGGCTGAGAGCCAGGATATACCTGTGGGAGGCTCACTTTAAGAAGTTGGGCAACCTGGCTGCTAATCTGACGTCTACTGTTCTGGGTGCCAGGAAGCCAGAGGCCGTTCAGCGCTCCAGGGTGTTTGTGAGGCTGGAGGCGGAAAGCAAGGGCCGGGAGATGGCTGCTTCAGAACAGAAAGACAAGATGGCGCTGATCACCCACGTGAGAGCCGGTGCACAGCTGGGAAAGGCTGTGGGCCCCAGGGGGGGGCAAAGGGACTCTTGGCGCTTGGAAATGTACTGCTGTGTTTGCTGTGAAGCTTCAGCAGGAGGCCAGAGCCCTGGAGAAGGACTACAAAAGCCTAAAGATGGCTGGAGCCCCTGTCCCTGATGCTTTAGCCACAAGGAGTGCTGCTGAGCAGGTCGGGGGGGCGGAAGGTTTCCAAAGGCACGTTTAAAGTTTTCCACTGAACCTGCTGGAATGAAGAGCAGCTTCAGGGGGGGCGAGGCTGGTGGGAGGCGCCGTTCCAGAAGGAGGAGGGCCAAGCCAGCTGGGAGCCCCGAGCAGTGTTTTTCCACTGGAGTTCGTCATTGCCAGGCTTCAAGGCCAGCCATCTGCTGCAGCGGAAGATACGTGCTGCAGAGTTGTCTGGGAACTCTGAGATAAGTCCAGTCTTCAGAGCAACGCAGGATGTTGCGGTTTTCGGACGCTGCCAAGGACAGAGGGGGCAGCGGGACGTTTGTTGCTTCTATGGCAACTGTGAGAAACAACTCCAGCCAGGACGCGATGACACGCTGGGTGTTTTGGTTTCTGCTATCAGGCAGCACCTGATAGGCAAGCTGCGGAACTGCAGGGCTGTTTTCAACAGGAACAATTGTTTTATTGGCTAACGTGCTTTCTTCTCTCCTTCACAGGGAGGAGCAAGAGGTCTGCGTTGTGCCGGGACTGAATAGTTGTCGGTTATCTGTATCTGCTCTAATGAAGCAGGGGTTCAAAAATGTGCTTTGAAAATGACACCTGTTCCATTTTCAGAGGGGGGCGACAACGGGTCAACATGGCGAAGAGCAAGAACAACGTCTTTGTTCTGGAGTCACCTATGGAGGGTGGTGGGAATGCTGAGAAAGCACAGGTGCAGTGTGCTAAGGTTCCCAAAGATGTGCAAAAGTTGCACAGGTGCACAAGAGGGTACAAGCTCCGGAAATGTGGGAGGAGGTCCCAAGGGTGCAGGGCATGCAAAGGTGCAAAGGTGCTTGGTTTTCCCGGGTTTGGGAGGGTTACCAAAGAGCCCTTTGAGCTGGTTTACACAGATCTGTCAGGACCCATGAGGTCTGAGAGTCTGGGTGGGGCCAGGTATGTGCTGTCGCTGACAGGTAACCACAGCCAGGTTGGCTGGAGTTTCTCTCTCAAATCACAGGGGGAGGTGGCGCAACTGATCCAGGATTGGGTTGCGGAGGTGGAACGAAGGTTCTCCACCAGGGTGCAAGGGTTCAAGAGCGACCGAGGGTCACAGTTTACTGGGTCTGCTCTGGAGAAATCTTTCAAGGAAAAGGAAATACGTCACCAAGTGACGGGTGCAAAGTCTTCTCAAGGGAGAAGGGAGGCTGTTGCTGAGCCCGGTGACGGGGATAAGGTCCAGAATCAGGGTTCAAAACCCGGTGATGGGGACCAAGTCCAGGGTCAGGGTTCAGGGCAGGTTTGGGCATCTCCAAGGGTTGTGAAAGGAGTGTCCAGGTGTGAGGCTTCATCTCCGGGAATGGAGAAAGCTCACGGAAAGGTTGTCAAGTCAGAGGGGGAAGAGTCTGACGGAGAAGACACAACTGCTGGACCTAATGGGTCAGTAGGGTATCAGGTCACAGGTGCGTGGAGAAGTGTCGCACAGTGTGATTCTGGGAGTGTTGAAAGGGTTCAACAGGTGCCTGGGAAAGATGCCGGGAGGGGCACAAGGCAAAGGGGAAGGTGTTGAACTCAGAGGGTCTTGTCAGAATGGGATGCAAGAGGGGGTGTGAGAGTTGGAACTTAACTGGTTAAGTTGTTCCCATGATGCCTCACCATTCTGACGTCACTTTTGGAAGCTCGGGAGGAGCTTGAGGCAAAGTTTGCCAGTCCCACTATGTGAGCTGTGGGGAAAAGGATGCAGTGGTGTGATGGCTGCAACTAGCCCAGGAAATCCCTGGGGGAATGTCGGAATAAATGCTGTAAATAGACGAACTGGACTCTGTGTGTTTGTCTGGAAGCTGAATCAAGCTGGTGACAGTTCTACACCGCTGTGTGAAGCTCTGCTGAGTCGTGACGGAGTGGCGCAGCTGAGGGAAGCGCGCCGGGCAGCCATAAATCGCTAATCGAGGTTCGTAAATCAATTAGCGGGGGTCACGGCTAATAACCAAAACAGCACAGGTTCTCTTTCTACACACGTGTCATTTCTAGCTTAAAAACAGGGCAGAGCACTCTCTACAAGGTCTGTGTTTTCTTCTTCCTTTCAGCCTCTACGGCGCTTTCCTCTCGATGCTGCCATCATCTTCTCGGACATCTTGGTGGTGCCCCAGGTAAGAGATGCTGGACGTGGGGAGGGGCAGTGGCTGTACCACTTATAGAAAGAAATTCCTTAACATCCTGCTGCTTTCCTAGGCGCTAGGCATGGAGGTGGTGATGGTGCCTGGCAAGGGACCCACCTTCCCTGAGCCACTGAAGGAAGTCGAGGACCTGCTGAAACTCCGCCAGAAAGTGGATGTGGCAGCAGAGCTTGGCTACGTCTTCCAGGCCATCACGTTGACCCGGCACAAATTGGAAGGGAAGGTGCCCTTGATCGGCTTCTCTGGCGCCCCGGTAAGTATAGTTCTTTGGAAATGGGCGTCTCCCAAAGAGACTGTGTGTCATTCCCTAAAAATGCTGGTGGGCGCTGGGAAATGTTGGGGTGTGCTGGCCATCTGTGCCGCTGCATGAGGCCAGGTGGATTCTGGGTACCGTGGATTTGTAGCTGCAGCATTTGACAACCTCTGCAGAGGAGAGAGTGTCATGGGGGGTGTCACTTACAGGCTGGCGTAGTTCATGCTCTCTCCTAGTAAGGCTGTTGGGTCCCTGACTCCCTGCCTTAGCTTTCTGCTGCTCAAACATTGACTTCATAGGATGATATTTGTGGAACTAACTGATGGGTGGCAGGTGGCTGAGAGAGGCGGCTTTTCTATGCCTTCCTTTCCAGCATTTTCTGTTGGGCAGGGAAGACTCACTGGAAAGGGTGTGCCAAGTACAGTGGTACCCCGGGTTAAGAACTTAATTCATTCTGGAGGCCTGTTCTTAACCTGAAACTGTTCTTAACCTGAAGCACCACTTTAGCTAATGGGGCCTACCACTGACGCACGATTTCTGTTCTCATCCTGAAGCAAAGTTCTTAACCTGAGGTAATATTTCTGGGTTAGCAGAGTCTGTAACCTGAAGCGTCTGTAACCTTAAGCGTTTGTAACCTGAGGTACCACTGCATCTCCTTAAGATATTGCTTAAAATAAGTATGCTGCATTTCATTTAGGTGAACATTAAAAATTGTCATGCATTTGACTGATTACAGTTGGACAAAAGTCAACTTAAGAGCGGAGCATCAAAGCTTGGGCGTTTATGTTTTGGGGCAGGAGAGGCAATGCATGACATCTTTAGAAGTGAATAGCATCAGTTAAGGCAAATACAGCTTCTGGTTTGTAGGAATCCATAGGAGTTGAGGCCTGGTTCTGAACTGAACAAGTAACCCGATATGTGAACCACCCTGAGATATGCAGCTGAAGGCTAGTATGTAAATTCAATAAATGATAATAGTAAATAAAATAAGAAGAAGAAGAACAGAGCTGCTTCAGTTTCTGCAAGAACCACTTGCCTTACAGAAGCTGGCTTGGGCATAGTGAGGCGTTGGAACAAGTGCTTTTGAATTCATGCCTGCTTTCACTTTCTGCTTATTGTCTGCTTCCTAGTGGACACTGATGTCCTATATGATCGAAGGTGGCGGCTCCAACACAATGGCCAAAGCCAAGGCCTGGCTCTACCGGCACCCTGAGGCCAGTCACCGTCTACTCACGTTATTGACTGATGTAATTGTGGATTACCTGGTGGGGCAGGTGGCTGCAGGCGCTCAGGTGAGTGGAAGAAGAAAGTGGCATCATCCTGCTTGAGAAGAGCTGTAGACTCCTGGGCAGCTCCTGCCCACAAGCTTTCAGGCATAGCTGTAAGTTGGACAAATTTGCCACTCATTTTCCAAGGCACTTTTGAGATACCCTTCGTCTTCTACAGCCACAACCCTTAAGACAAATGGGGGAAAAGCTTACTTCAGGAAGGTAAAGGGTGCCGGCCAGAAATCAGTAGTACCATGCTGCTAATCATAATCTTATCATGTAACCTTTTATTACAGAATCCAATCACTTTGTTTTTAGGAATAGGCTTTTAGCCCTCGTGGTTGCAAATAAAAGAAAAGGAAAACAGCTTTCCTCCTTTGGCAAAATTGCTGCCTGATGGCACTCTGCATAACACAGCAAACTTCTCCTCCTCCCCAAGATCATGCCAGCTGGCTTCAGCCCTCCCTGGTTTTATTCATTCAGCACTAAGGTGACACTGGGCTATGCATGTGATTGGGGAGCATGGCAGGGTTCCCCATCACGGGGACAAGCACTGTGCACCAGATGCTCCCTCTTGCGTTATGGGGAATGCATGGGAGGTGGGGTCAGCTGGTGCGATTCCTACCTCCTCCACACATTCACATAACTTACGGCTGGAACATGAGAAGTAGTAGCCTTCCAGCTGATTTCCTTCGCTTGTGACAACCTCCTAGAGCACAACCTTTTAGATGATGGTGATGAGAATAAGGTCTGTAAATTAACACTCTGATCTTATTCATATGTACTCAGAACTAAGCCCCACTGGCATTCTTCCGCCCCCGTGTGATTTACTTCCAAATAGGGGGTTTAGGATGGCAGCCTAAGGCAGTTTAATTATAGCATTGGTTCCAGTTGAAGAATTCGAGATTGTTTACTGGAATCGCTTGCCTTGTGTCAGGAGAGATTGGATTAGGGGGGGAAATGCATTGTTCTATGCCAGGCGTGGGCAAACTTTTTGGTGCCAAGGGCAACCTTTCCTTGGGGTGTGGGTGAGTGGAGGAGGCCCACTTGTGTGCTATGGGGAAGGAAGAGTCCTTTCTGATATTTGTAGAAGAGTTGCACTTAAGAGGGAGAGATGTCAGCCAAGAGGGATGCTGATTCCTTGGTGCTGTCTCTCTTGGCAGGCTCTACAGCTTTTTGAGTCCCACGCAGGACACCTGGGGCCAGAGCAGTTTGCAGAGTTTGCCCTCCCCGCCATCCGTTGCATTGCCAAGCGAGTGAAGAGCAAGCTACGGGAAGATGACCTGCCTCTGGTGCCCATGGTAAGAGACAGATCTCTTGGGTTCCTTGTGGGATTCATAGGATCAGCAGATCTTGGAGCTGGAAGGACTGTTGGAGTTTTCTGTTCATCCTAAAAACAGATACCACATGGTGATATTGAAGCAGCAGCCATGGAAGGCCGCTCCATCTGTCCATACCGAGGGTAGGACAGAAGGCCTTTGGGAGCTGCCTTCCAGAAGAAATATAGATGGGCAATACTGGTGTATGTGTGGGCATCTTCTCTAGTGTGCCTTGTGCACAATTAAATGCAGAGGACCATGGTGCCACAAGGCTGAAAGGAAATTCTTGTAGAGTCAGAAAGAGAGCAGAGGATAAGGTGAGTGCAGGACTGGGTATCCTTCTCTTAAGTCAGGCTCCTACTGTAAGAATTGGGGAGCAGGAAAATTCTACCCTCTCTTTAAAAAAAAATGTTTCCCCCAACTCATCCTGATTGGATGAGGTGGGCTACAAACTTTCCTAAATCCTGGAGAAGTTTGGCTTTTGGCATCTGTTTACTAGTACTGTACACACCCATGTGCTGGAGGTTACTCCTTAACACACTCAGTACTCAGTTTGATAATCTGGGACATCCCTACCTCTGCACTGGGAAGGAGCATAGCTCCATGATAAAGCTCAGGATATGCACGTGGGAGGTGCCAGGTTCAAATCCTGGCATCTTCCATTGAAAGGACAAGGTAGCAGGTTTCCAAGTCCTAAACGGCCTCTGCCTAGTATACCTGAAGGAGCGTCTTTACCCCCATTGTTCAGCCCGGACACTGAGATTCAGCACCAAGGGTCTTCTGGTGGTTCCATCACTACAAGAAGTGAAGTTACAGGGAACCAGGCAGAGAGGGCCTTCTCGGTAGCTGCGCCCATCCTGTGGAATGCCCTCCCATCAGATGTCAAGGAGATGAGTAGCTATATAACATAGAAGACATCTGAAGGCAGCCCTGTATAGCAGAGCTTTCCAAACTGTGTTGCGACACATTAAGTGTGTCAGGTGCAGTGTGTATGTTTGCCGTGCATACACTCCCCACACTCCTCCCAGGGCTGGAAAGGGGTTTCGTTTAACCTCCGGTTTGCTAGTAAAGCTGAATTACTGTGTCACAAAACGATTCATGTCTAAAAAGCGTGTCACCAACATGAAAAGTCTGGAAAGCTCTGCTGTACTGTATAGGGAAGCTTTTTAAGGTTTAAGTTCTATTATGTTTTTATGTTGGAAGTCACCCAGAGTGGTTGGGGCAACTCAGCCAGATGGGCAAGGTATAATAATAATAATAATAGGAAGGAAGGAAGGAAGGAAGGAAGGAAGGAAGGAAGGAAGGAAGGAAGGAAGGAAGGAAGGAAGGAAGGAAATCTGAGACCCTGGAGAGGTGTTGCCAGTCATGGAATATGGTGCAAACTAGGTTTGACCTGGCTCATGAGGCATGTGAGATAGCAGGAACAGCAGTATTGGCCAGAAGTGAAGGAATCCTGCAGAAGGAACTTCCTGTGCTCCTAGATTATATACCAAGCTGTTGACTGCTTGGAGGGAATCTGCCCCACACAACCTCCCTTGAAATCACCTGCATTCCAAGCCAATTCTGGGATGGCAGGAGGGGCGGTGATGGAAGATATTCCAGGCCGGAGGTATCTCTTGGTCTGTCTGCTGCCTGTCCCCATTCCCTGTTTTCTGTCTTTCCTTTTAGCTTGGGGCTGATGTGTCTGTGTTAAGGAGAACCCCCCCTTTTAAAATAAAAGCAAAGTACAAAGTTGTAGTAGTCGTGTTTCACCACTAGAAGGCAGCCAAGTAATGAAGCAATGCCAACTGGGCAAGCCAGAGCGGTCAAGGACCTGCCTGCAAAGATCTGCTTGCGTATAGAAACTTCTCCGTTGTCCTGTTCCCCCTTTCCCATCGTGCATCAAGAGAAGCTCTGCTTGTTTGTGGATGTGAACATCTTACAATGGAGGAGACATGTTGCCCTCCAGATTCTGCTGGACTCCTAACTCACAGGAGCACTAGTACCAGCCAGGGATGATGGCAAAGGTGGCCAAACTGCATCTGGAGGGCCACAGGTTCCCCATTCTTCCTTTGGTGCCAAGCACGCAGCCCTGCCCACCACGTTGTCCTGTTGTTTTGTCTCCTGTCTCAGATCATCTTTGCCAAGGATGCACATTATGCCCTAGAGGATTTGGCACAATGTGGCTACGAGGTGATTGGCCTGGACTGGACCATCTCCCCCCAGGCTGCTCGGTGAGAAATTGACTGGCCTTCCGTAGGGACTGTTAGGAGGGTTGGTAGGATTTCTAAAGTGCTTTTGCCAATATCAGAATCCTTTCATTTCCCATAAATTTTGCTTCATACGGTATTGTGGATACAACAACTACTGGCTAAGCGGAATGGACTGGGGATAGTAAATAAGAGGCTCATGTAAAGTACTAAGGAGCCCCCAGTTTATAGGTGCAGGGAGCTCCTCCATTGGATTGCTGCTATGAAGAGCTAAACCCTGCTCACATGCAGCAGTTGGGAAACAGAGAGCTGATTGTTTCATACGGCTAGAGCTGAGTGAGTCCCCCAGCCAAGATGATCTTTGAAACATCTTCTAAGACTAGAGGCCAGTTTCCCAGGATGATGGGTAGAAAGTAAGACTGTGCAGCAAACGGGGCAAAATGTCCCATTGTTCTGCCTTAGGAAATTAGTTCTCTCCAGCTTTTCAGAAGCAAGGAAATGGTATTGTTTTGTGACCTAACATGATAGCTGTCTTCCAATATCTGAAGACTAGAAGACTCTCAGGGTCCCTTTCCAACTCTACAGTTCTATGGTTCTATCACGTGTCAGTGGAACAAAGTAAATTTCACTCTACTGTTTCAGGAAGCAGGGCTAGAAGGAATGGGTGGAAACCACAAGGAAGCAGAATTTTGGCTAAATCTTGTTAGAAATGTCCTAATGGGAAGAGCTGGGCAGTGAGCTCTTCTTCGCTAGAGGCTTCCAACTCCAATATTTTATGACTTTGCAACATAAGTACGACCTGGATAAGTTTAATTAGGTACAGCCTTCTAACTAGAGCTAGCCAGATACATCAGAATTAGACCCAAGAGGCACCTGGGACACAGGTGTCAAGTAGATGTAGGCAACCATCATTAGCTCTTACGGCTTCCAACCATTGCTCTTCCTGTTTTAAAACCATCTGATTTCGTAAGTATCTCATATTCTTGTGATGATGAGGAGCTACATCTTGCTCTGGTGCCTACAAGTATCCCCCCCCTCAACCTCCAGAGCAGGTACTGATGTTTTATTTTTTCTGTTGCAGTCAGAGGATCGGGAAAGACATTACCTTACAAGGGAATTTGGATCCATGTGCCCTCTATGCACCAAAGGTAAAGAGGCAGGTGTCACAAGCCCCCTAGACAAATGTCAGGGAACCTTTCTTAGGGCTAAGGTCACGTTACTTCAGTGGAAAGCTGTTGGTGGGAGGGATGGACACATTTCAGTAATGGGCGAGGTTGGACCCAACACACAAAGCCACAGGATGCTCCTAGTTAGCAAACAATGGTTGTAAGGACTGTCTGCACTGAGTCTGTCAAATACGCTCTCCCCCCCCTTCCAATACACTATAAGTTAGCCTAGGTTGGTTGCTTCAACTGTCTTGCCCTGCTGATTCCTCTTCACTTTGGTCAGGAGAAGATTGGGGAGCTGGTGAAGAAGATGGTGGAAGGCTTTGGCTCCAAGCACTACATTGCCAACCTGGGTCATGGCCTGTATCCTGACATGAGCCCGGAGCACGTGGGGGCCTTTGTGGATGCTGTACATAGGCACTCTCGCCATCTCAAGAAATGTTCCTGAAGACTTGGGGAGCCACATGGAAAATGGACAAAGCATCAAAGAGACTGCAGCAAGAGAGGATCATGTTTGCGAGTGCTGGAGAGCCAGTCACTAGGACTGAGAGAAAGAACAAGGATGTGGGTTTGTAATAGCGCACTATTAAAATGCTTTCCACATTTTAATGGCACAATGCTTGGGGTGGTGGGTGGGTTGTAGAGGGGGAGAGAATGTATGTGTCTTGGGCACTTCCTGAAGCACTCAATGCTTTTGATCCTGGCTTTATCCCTACACACTACAAAGCTTATCTGAGAAAGGGGTGGATCCTTTTTCTTGCCCCTTCCAACCAGTGGCTAGGTGTGGCCTTTCTTATGCTCTGTCCTCCACAGCGGAGTAAGTTTTTTGCCGTTTAACAATAGAAGGTGGGTCAGGGTACCTTGTATCACCCAATTGCTCAGTTTGGGGCCCTCTTTAGCAATAGCCATGTGTCCTCTACGAAGTGATGGCCATGCGCCATACCGCAAAGTGAAGTATTTACAACAGTTTCCCATCTGGATTAACAATCCAGCACATGGTGTTTAGTTAAATGATGGAATCTTCCTCTGCTTTGGTGCTGCTGTTCTGGCTTAGTCAAGGTCTGCATATGCACAACCCACTCAGGAAGGATGAGCGACCATGTCCTTGCTGCTGAACAGGCGACCCAGGAATAAGTGGGAAAGACTCTTGTGATGTTTATTCTCAATATGAACATGCTGTGCTACACTGCACCTCACTCACTGCTGTTCATTATCCAGCAACAGCTAAGCAGGTTCCTCCAGAAAAGAAATCCAGCCTTCCTTTTCCTATATCTCTGCTGCCATAGTGGTGTCTGTGTCTGCTTCAGCATTCAGGCTGGTTGCATCTGACAGTTATCAGCTGCATGTCATGATAAGGAAACATGTTTATAGAAGACACAAGCAGCACTACCCCCCTCAGAAAGTCTGTTACTTGTGTGTGATATGTAAACAGACCAGTGGATGTTTTTCTTAGAACTGGAATAGCATGGGAGGAACTGTGGTTAAGGCAATGATCACTTTGTTAACAGGTATGCTACAGTGGGAAGGGGATGCTACAGTGTTGAGGCTGCAGCTAGTAAAGGTGGCATCAGCAGCTAAGAGAGGAGCAGGGCTCTTCAGAGACCTGTTAGTTTTTTCTCTACACTGCTGTTTAGGTCTAACATAACACCACCACCTCCAGCGGTTCAGATAAAAGAACAAAACCAAAGAAGGCATCATCAGCTAGCAAAAAATAAAGCTCAAGCCTTAAAATTGAAAGGATGAGAGTCTGACTCTTCAGTCATATATGGAAAGCAAGTGCCAATAACATTGCTTTCCCTGCCTGCTGAACCACCCTCAGGGATGGCCTAGTTTTACCTCCTTTGAGAAGGAATTCCTCCAAAGTGCTGCCACACACAAAAATCTTCTGTTGGCAGGACGTATAGCAGGGCCTCCAAAGAGGATTTCAACCTACAGCCGTGTTCCGATTGCGGATTGGGGGGAGAGAGAGGTTTTTTCAGGTTTCATTGCCCTAAGCCACGATCATCACAGATGTTACGCCAGTGTATTCCACTGTACATCAAAGATCCATACTCGCTTTATAGGATTGTTTCTGCACAACAAGTATATTCCATCTGAGGCAGGGGGTACTGACATATAAATATTTGCTGGTGAAGTAACTGGAGACTCAGTACAGGAAGAGGGAAAAGCCACATGTGGTTCTTTCCAGACCAAAAGGATGCAAGGCTGGTGGTTTAGAAGGTTGCATTCACTCCCATCCCTCCCATCTCAACAACTGCCTTTGAACTGCTGTCTTTTTATTCCCTTTTAATTGGCAATGCTGACAACAGAAAGGGCTGGAGTGATACAGAAGTGGTATGAACATCTTCCTTCTTTTTTATTAAACATTGGGTCAAGAGGTTGTACACAAAATAAAATAAGTCAGACGTGAAGAATGATACTTCTATGGCAACAAATACTGGGGTGAGCTGGGTTTCCCTGGCCCAGTTTTCTCAGAGTATTGTGAAAAACAAAACTGGAGTCAGACAGTAGGTAATTTTAATCCACATTTTCTAAGCTACCCTTCAGCCCAACCCCTGCCCCACCCCACCCCATTCCCTCCCTGCCCCTTTTAAAACTAGGACACACTGGAACAGGGGAACACAAAGACAAGTGGAAGAGCCGTGTTGCTCCTGCTTCCTACCCCCCCCACTTTATTCTTCATTGGAAGAAGTTAAAAAATTAAGATGAACCACTTAAGCAGTGGTGGGAGGTGGAGCAGCAAGAAATGGGACCGGGAAGGCTGTCCTCCAGAGGGCACCAGACTCTGCAGGTGCCACCAAAGGCAACGGTTTAGAAATGGAGTTGAAAATAAAAGACACACAAGCAAGAGAAAAATGTGTTCCCTGCTCCCCATCTGCCAAAGGAAAGACACATCTTCCCACGCGCATATAGCATGCAGCTCTTGCACGCATCTATCCATAGGCATGTGGAGGAAGGCCAAAAAAATTGATTATTTACACTATGGGCTCAACTGTTTCACAGCCAACAATCTGGCTTCCTGGGGTCTTTGTATTCCATAACTGGAACCACAGCATAAACCAGCAGAGGCAGGGCGAGTGCTGTGGCTAACAGCCCATGGGCCAAGTCCACGCACCCTGATGGTGGGCTTTGCCTTTTCCACCTTGGTCTCCTCTCTTCCAGGGCTGTTGTGTCGCGGTAGTTCTGCATGAACTCTTGGTCCATCCTCTCTACTCATCAGACACCACCCACCAGCCCCTCTTCACCAACAGTGCTGGCGGAGCGGGGAACCTGAGAAATGTTCATTTTTTCTCATGTTCGGATATGCTTAACAAAACCAAAATCCCCAGCCCACAACACATTTCAAGTATCCCCCAAACAAAAAGAGAATAATTATAAATAATTAGAACTTTACGATTTAATAATCGACACATATACTATCGTATTTACAGTATCATAAATGCTTCTGTTACTTTTAGTAAAGCAATCCCTGAGAATAGTTAATGTTAGGTATTTTTTTCAGTTAAGGATCTTCACAAAAAAGAAAACGGTGAAATGTGCCCGTCTTGGCAGGCTGCACCTCTTACAAGGCCACCAGCCAAGAGCCAAGGTGGCAACGCAAGAGGCTGAGCGACGCATTACCATGCCTCCTTCGAGGTGGTTTGCTTTTCAGCCTCCATCCGCCATGCCCTTTGGGAAAGAGGTATTCAATTTTTCCTGGTTAGCTTTTGGTATTGCCGAGGTGTTTGCGAGTGGGTGGGAAGCAAACCCTTCCTGCCGTGCTGCTTTTGGTTTACGTTCCTCAAAATAATAATAATCCAGGAATCCTCTCTGGATGGAAAACATAGTCCGTCTGGCCCAGCAGGCATGATTCCACCAACAGGGATCAGGGTTCCTTCCTTCTTTCCTCCTCCTTTTTTTCAACTAATGCAGAAGCTCATCCAAACCGCTCCCTCACTAGCAACATGAGCTTCTTCTTGCCCTTGTATATCTGCTTGAGGTTGTCTATGAACTGCGCAAACTGAATGTGGCCGTCCTGAGCCAGGAGGAAAGTCTCCCGAGCTTTGCTGAGAAACTCTATGAACTCCCCGTAGTGCCGTGGGCTGATGTGGGTGAGCCGAGAGTGCGTCGTGTTGATGTAAGCGCTTATCGTCGCGTCCAGCAGTTGGCGCAAAGGCGCTTTGTCTGTGGACATCAGTTTCCCAGAGTTCCTGCGGCCAGGAATCCCTGCAAGGCCCGGGGCTGTCATGGTGCAGCGGCGCAGGATGTCGGACAGCACCGTGGCACAATGCACGCTCTTCACCACCAGTGGAATGATGGCCGCCAGCTCGTTCTTGCCCAGAGAGTGGCTGAGCGCACATGCCCAAAGCACGTCGTTGATGGCCGGGTGCGTGTCCTGGTTATAGGCAAGGTTGAGGTGGGTCATGGCGAGAGATGCCAGCTTGAACGCCCGCAGAGGGTACCCACGGTGCTCCATGTACCGTGCAATGGTGAAAAGCTGCGAGTAAGTCATGCCTGTGGAAGCAGCGTCTATCACAATTTGGTAGGCAGTCTCAAAGGCGATGTGGTCTTTCTCGCAGAGGGTCAGGGCGGAGAGAGCGCAGTTCTGGGGATCCTTCATGGCGCACTGCAGGGCCAGTGTGCGGGCACAGCTGGCCAGTTCTTCTCGCTGCGGGTAGTCCAGGCTGAGGCGCAGGATGGTTGTGTGGGACATCACCGTCGCTGCTACTATGCTGGTGGCTTCAGTCGGGGTGAAGAGGGTGTACCAGCTCTGCAGGATGCTGACTAAGGCTCGTACACCTGCAAGAACGGAGCACAAGCTTTTCAACCAATAGTAAAGTGGCAAGCATGATGTTGGAGCACTTGAGTATGTGGCAGTGGCAAAAAAAGAGCCGAGTGACTGCTTCAAAACAGTCTTCATTAATATTATGGTCATTGGGCTCTGCAGTGATACAAAGGTGCAGGCTAAGTCAGCCACACCCTAACCTCTTAGTCTGTATCCTGGAAGCTGGACATCACTGCTAAATTTGGCAAGGCTCACAATGAAGGGCTGTGCCAGTAACCAAAACTGCTATGATCACAGGAAGCTTAGTGTCTGGCTTAACATTATAGGTGGAAGGCCTCTGGTTTATGTTAGCCAAAAAAACAGATGTTTTTAAAAGCTGAACACAATGGTATCTTCCTTAGTATAAAATTACATTTATCTGTTGCTGTTGTTTTGCTAGTGCAGGGATCTTATCACATGGGAAATGGCTACATTTGTGGATGTTTGGGTGGAGATGCATGTAGCCTTCAAGACATGGAGCAATGACTCAAGATGTCCTTGATTTGAATCTTACCTCTGCCACAAACTCAGCACGAGTTCTCAGGCAAGCCCTTCTCTTTCAGTCCTCACATTTGAGACATGGGGATGATCAGTGCCCATCTAACATAATTGTTATGAGGATTTCAGCAAGATGTGAAGTCCTTTTAACACTTGAAAGTGTTGTCTTAAATAATATTATCCTTTGTGTGAGCAGGACCTGCCACTGGCTCATCAGAATGTACAGACTCGCTTTGGGCTGCAGTCCTCCCTGCAAGATGTGTGAATGAGAGATACCAACCCACTTCTGTAGCACAGGTCACCAGCCATCGCACCATTTCCCTCCGTCTCCAGTTCAAGGTTGATAGGGTCATGCGCATTACCTGGAAAGGCAAATGAGTGGACAATGATTATTTCCCAGAGACAGTCACAAAGCTTGCACTTTCCTAGATCAGTATAACCCTGTATAACCCAGAGAATGATATGAAGACTGGATGTATTTCTGCTGCAGAAAATAAGCAGAACTGGCTTCATAAGCTCCTTGGATGAAGTCTACCTTGGATGAAGTCTAAGCTGCTTTGAACTTTTCAGGTGGTCGGTAAATTCTGTCCATTAATTAACAGGTAGAGTTGCAGGTTAAGAGTCCACCCTAAAAGCAGCAAGAATGCCCAAGTTCTGAGCCAGGTCCAGACTCTACCACTGGCTTCAAGGGAGGCTTGCCATAGCCCTGGAAAGATCCCCGCTTTTCCTAGCGATCGCCTCTCTCCCTTACCTGCAGTCCCAGCTCCAGGGCCACATTGAGCAGGGTTGTGTCAGAGTTGTTATCCGCAGGTGTGGCAATCTTGAAGGCATCCTGGGCCAGCTTAAAGATCAGAGAGGAGGAATGGATGTTCTTTTGAATGGCTTCCAGAACCGTACGTAGGCGCAGCATGTCGCCTGGATTGGAGACAGGAAAGAGCTCACCTACTGCCTGGCAGGTTGCCAACTCCCTACTAAGACATCAGCATTCTCACAATTAAACTAGACAGTACTGCACTCCTAAACATCTGGGAGCAGAGCAGAAAAGTGGATTCTTCCTTTCCCTCACAGCCTTGCTGGCGAGAATTGGGATGAAGTGTACATAAAAGGGACACCTTGAATTTCAGATCAAAGCCTTCTCGTCTGCTCTATTAAGTGTTCACTTGACCCCTCCTCAACCCCCAAATTCTACCCACTTCAGCCTTTCTCAACTCAAGCAAATATCCTGTGGAGAACAACAACAAGAGGAACAAAGGAATCTGCCATATACTGAGTCAGACCATTTAGACCATCTAGCTCAGTATTGTCTACACTGACCAGGGGCTCCTCCACACTTCTGCTTGTCCCATGCCTTGAAAGCATGAGTCCAAGAAGTTTTCCTTTTCACCTGCACTTTCTAGCCACAAGTCCCAAGTGGTTTTTCCCTCACACCGCTCCTTTCCAAGGGAAAACATGCTCTTTAGTGCTAAATCAGAGCAAAGGTCAATCCGGAGAAAACCTGAATTGCCCTTTGCTCCGACTGAGCGTTAGAGAGTGGTTTTCCCCAGGAGAAAGCAGTAGGACAGGAAGAAATGTGGATGAACCCTAGTGGTGGCTCTCCAGGGTCGGGAGCGGGATGCTAGACATTTGGTCTGAGCCAGGAGAGCTCATCCTACACGCCGCAGACATCCTAATAAAGATGGAAATTTAGTAATGGGAGTTTTAAGTAATGAAAGCCAAAGCCCTGACGATAAACAGAGGCCAGAAATGTTGCAATGATCACATTTCTCTATAGGGCATGCCCCAAACTGATTAAGTGAGCGCCTGTAAATAAAACTGGAAGTCCTTGCTGCAAGGTCAAGGAACAGAGACAGCAGTTAGCTGGAGCCTCATAAAACCAGTTCTCAAGGAAATGCCATGTGGGTGGACTGTGCGTAGAAGAAGAGCGCAAGTTATGGGGCAGCAGAGATAGGAAGGGAGTGCTCACTGAGGCTACCTTGTCCAAGGACCACCCAAAACGTATGAGTCAACCCACCCACCAATGGCCAAAGCTGTCCTTCATTGATTTTTTGAACCACACTGGCTTTCTTCATTGCACAGGTCCAAATAGTGAGCAAGCCAGCTAGTGTTTCTGGTGGCTACAATCCATTACGCAAGGAGTCCTTCACCCACCTTTGGCTGCTGTCAGCATAGTGGAAGCAAGTTCACACTGTTGTGATTCCAAGTGTCCCAGAGTAAACCAGCGCGGGTATCTGCTAGGCACCACTGAAACAATATGGTGAGGGTGGGTGACGTCGCCTGAGGCCGTCGTCTCCAGAACGGGCAGCCTAGGGAGAACCAAACCAGCAATATCAGGCCAGTGAAGAAGGGATACCTGCCAGGGGTCGAGTCAGTCTAAAAAATTTTTTGGCCTTCTTTGTCCATGGTATGCTGTCTGTAACAACTCTGTAGTAAACCTTGAGGTCTTCTACAACATATGGATGCAAGACCGGCCTTGAACAAAACTTGAAAGGCCACTAGAGAGAACTAAGGAGTGATTTATAAACTTGTAAAGAAAAATATAAGTTTAGAAACATCCCCCTCTTGTGCTTTTATGTCAGAGCCAAGCATGATTTGCACACAGCAGTCATCTGGTTTTGCTTAGAGATGACGGGGAAGGGGGGCTGTCTTGCCCCAGGGCATCTGCTGCAGTTTGGAGCTACCTGCTCACATGTTTCTATTTAAAGCCTCCCCCCCCCAGCCTTCTGGAAACCAGAACTCTCCCTCCCAGACCAACCTGTTTGCTGGGACACACAGCCACTACAACACCTGATGGCTTCCTGCATTTCCTGTTATGCCCTTCCTGATAAGAACAAAGGTACCACCCAAGAGACCAAAGGCATTGCTCTATCCAGTCCTAGCCTGCTTACTCTTTTCAACACACTACACAATCTGGTTCACACGACACAACAAAACAAGCTATGGCTCCGTGAGACTCCGTGGACATGCAGGGCTCCCACACTTTGCAGCTGCTTTTCTCCCACCCCCCATCCTTCCTACTGCCAGGCCATAGCTGAGGGTTGCTGCTCATGGATAGTGAGGAGAGAGCTTAAGCCGGAATCCCCATTCCAACAACATTGTGAGCCATGGTGCAGCAGCCAAAGGCCAGGATGAAGCAAAGCCTCCTCTCCTGGGATCTTGCATGTCCATGTGTCAGCTTGGTTGTGTCATGGGGACCGGCTCTTCTATCTGGCAGGAGCAGCTATAAGCAGACTCTTTGCATTGGTTACTAAGGGTGTTATGTGGGTCCCCATCAGGGAGCATTCCCAACCCTCCAGTTCTGTACTCCATCGCTACAATTTGCCTGAAACCCATGTGACGATACTAGAACTACTGGGTCCTTAGAATTTCAGAATGCTGTTCTGACTAAAATACCCGTTTTCAAAAACAACAACAACACCTATATAAGTAAGGAATAAACAGCCTATTGATGAAACAAACCAACTGCACCTGCTAATCAGTAACTTTGTCTTTGCATTCCTTTTTAAAGGAAAATGCATATTAATTCTTCCTTGAAAAACCTGCCAGGAAAATAAATAGTACTGTAGCTAACTGGATGCTGGAGAAGTTTGAGGACAGAATAATTGAAGACGCAAAGCAATCTTGGGGGGGGGGGGACACTTGCCGTTCAGACCTTTGTATTGCAAGCTGCCTTTTATTAAATGAAGAAAGGGGAAACGCGGTACCAACCTCATGGAGCGCAGTGCCAGCTTGTAGGCCAGGTCAGCGTCGTGGGGCAGCAAGGCAGAAAACAGGTACTTGGCAAAGGTGTGCATGGGGACGCTTTCGCGGTGGATGACCTCGCCAAGGCCACTGAAAGGGCCACCTAGTCAGGAGCAGAGCCATGTCAGCATCTATCCTGCAACCAGACCCTTTGAATTTAAGCCAGAGAGTTTTGCTGGCTCAACAGTCCCGCAAGCAAGAGGATACCTCCCAACTGGCCTCTGTTACATAGTAGAGATTCAGACCAAAGAAGCTGGGTTCCTAAGTATCGGGGAGGGCCTACTTGATTCTGAAATTGCAGACCCAAAGAAATCAGAAGCACAGACCCTTTAACCATCACACGGAAGGCCTGCTGTTGCTCCCCTTCTTCCTGATGCACCAGAAGCTAGCAGGGGGCAAAAGACACTCTCCCTGCCTCCCCCCCCCCCCCGTTGCTGCTCTGGCCACACACTGAACTCCTCCTCCATATACGGGGACTGCAGAGGTTTGAAAATGCTGGCCCAGTGGAGAGCATGGGGAGAGCAGAAATTTGCAAGAGGCTGACTTGGATTTCCTTCTCGACACAACTGCAAGTGGGGAGCCTTGCGACAGAGGAGCTGCAATCCCCAATGCAACGGGTTCCTTTTCACTGAAAAATCTCCTCAAACAGCACTGTGTGTTTTAAGAGGGTTTGTGAGTGTAGAGGAAAATGGGGGAAACAACCTGTATGGAGAGCATCAAGTTAAAGCATAAGAAGAGGGGCTTGTTTTTGGTTTTGGTGGGATTTCTAGTGCTCAGGGAAGGGTGATATCTATACTGAGATCCTATCTCATTATGGTCCCAACCCCCATCCCATAATACATACATTGCTCTGATCAAATATCCTTCTGACCATCCATACATGATTGGTATAAATTATTGTGATCAAGAGGGATTTTCTGCAGAATATACTGCTTAATGCAGGCAACTTAAGACTGTTTCAGGGTGGTAGGTCCAGCCTCCTTCCTCCAGAGCGGTTTAGGGCAGCATCTCAGTCCTCTCACCTTCCAGGAGCAGGATACACTGTTTCCGTAGCGTCTGCACCAGCACAGCGTCCAGCTGCAGCTCCTGTAAGCGGGCAATGATTTGCTCCTCGTTGCGCCACACTTTGTCTTGAGCATAAAGGCCCTCTGGCATCACCCGCTGCTGCCCCATCCCCATCAGCGCGACTTCCAAAGCGAGGGATAGGTAGGATTCCCCGCTCTCAGGGGAACTATTGGCCACAGGCACATGTTGATACACGGGAGGCTTGGCATCACCAGCATCTGATGGAGAAGAGAGTTATCAATAAGATGGGCAGTGCAGCCTGCAGGTAGGGTCTCCCTCCTGCCTCCTTCCAAAATTCATAGCCTGATTGGCTCCATCACTGCCATTGGTCCTTCTTAGCCTACTTGCTTTTAGAAGACAGCACAGTGCCTGCCTCCTGGCACTGCTCACGTGACCAGATGTACTGGGCTGAGCTGTGTTGAGCTTCACAGTTCTTTAATTCATACCGGCACTGGGGAGCTGCAAGGTAGGAAGGCCATAAAGCACCTGAGCCCCTCAATTCACCTACAGCAGGGAGAGAAAACTTATGACTTTTCAGCTGCCATTGGCCTTCAACTCTGGCCATGCTGGCTGGGGTTGATGGAAGTTGGACACCAGCAATATCTGGAGGGCTACAGTTTCTCCCTCCCTGATTGGCAGGGTATGTTGGGCCAGAGGCAGCTGAACACTCAGACAGTCTTGTTTCTGGGACCAACAACTGGCTTTTGCATATTTCACAGAAACGGTTTGCCCAAAGACCTCTTCCTCTGGTCAGCACAGGGTGTCCCACAGGAATCCAACCACAACAGAATAAATAGCCTCTTCCAACTCTATAGACTGCAACAGCATAAACTTGAAAATGGCTCCAACATGGAAGCTCAGGGAAAGAGCAGAAACTCTGCTCTGGGCTCAGGGTTTGGCAGTCTGGGGCTCTCATATACTCATACCTGAAATTTCAAGGCAGTTTTCATCCTCTACTCGACATGCTTCTGTCAAAGTGAGAAATAAGCAACCAATGGGATTGAGGGGGTGCCCCACCCAGCTCTCCAGATTTGTGATGGTGGTTGCTCCTCTCTGCAGCAGTTCTGGAGTAGGCAAATAGAATAAGGGAGTGGGGAGAAAATCCCACAGTAATTACTTATGATCCTTCCTTTCTGCCATAAGAGGCATAATCTCTGGTTCCATCTTCCAAGGCACAAAGTTTCACAAGCCTGGCAGAGGACAGTCAAGACTCCCCTGTATACACCTCCCTTTCCATTTGCTGTGTTGGTACCATGTTCTTCCATTGCGACAAGACTGAGCTTACTATTAGGCAAGGTGAGCTGGTCACTGTCCTGGCTCCCAACCTCAGACAAAAGACTTTGACTCTCGGCTTGGGAAATTCCCAAAAGCTTTATTGGTATAAAGTCAGCACAAAGTTTCAGCATCAGCTGTAAGGACATGATAAGCAGAATTCTAGGATGAGCAAAGCTGTTGTCCCACAACTTGACACACCCGTCTTACGGGGAGCTGTTGGATCTGTTCACCCTTGATAATGGGACCAGAATCCTACCCTCCCTCCCCCTCCATCTCAGCTGCCTCTGCCAATTCACCAGCTGCCTCTTCAGCTATCCAGGGACTGGTGCTCTCAGGAGGTGGAATGAGTCGAAAATGTTGGAAGAGGGGTTTGGGGGCTGTTGTTGTTTTACTGTTTGGAAAAGCTCTAGGCAGCTCCTGCTGGGCCCTACAATGCTCATAAAAGCACCTAACTATCCTTCGACGGCCAGCCTAAACCCACAACAACAGGCCAACTCATACCTTTCTTTTGATGCTTGTATATCTCCAGCTGCCTCTGTTGTTGCAACCTCAGGGTGTTGATAATAGCCACCGTTAGGCGGAGTGCTTCCTTAGGATATCCATGAGAACGAAGGGCATCGACACGGGCACAGGCTGTGGGAACATGTTCTGTGGCATAATACAAACAGTGTGTGCAATTAAGCCGGCAATATAGGCAAATGGTATTGTCTATGTAAGCAAATCAACTCTATGACCAGGAGCTTGGGATTCAATTTCTGTATCTAAATTCTCTATTTTGTTGCCTTGTTCTTTATTAGAACCAAACCATGTGTGCATAAATATTACGTGGGGTTGTTGTTTTACATAAAGGAATTTCCAAATATACAGTCCTCCACCTGTAATCTGAAGTGGCAAAGACCCAGGTGGGCTGTCCTATGTTATTCTGATCACACGGTCTGGCTCCTAATCCTGCCAGCCCGCAGTTGCTCCTGCCAGAAACAATAACGGACCCACCTCTTACTTTCCAATGCAACCAAGTCCACCCATCAAGTTAAGGGGAGGGCTCAGTAGAAGAGAAGAACATGCTTTCTATGCAAAAGGCCCCAGGTTCAATCCCTGCTAGTCCTGGGAGAGACCCCCGTGTGAAACCCTGGAGAGCTGGTGCCAGTCAGTATCAACAAAGCAAAGCTGGATGGACCAGGGGTCTGACTCGGTATACAGCAGCTGCCTATATTCCATCAAGTGAAACTAGTCTTTGTGCAATGGCCAGACACTTTGAAGATGATGGCTGATTCCAAACAGGCAGAAACAGCATGTGGTGCATGTTGTTCCTAGAATTCCAACTGCAGGTGAGGAATTGCATGTTAAGATGTTTCCTCGTAGGAAAGACCTGTGTTTCATAGGGAAAGCTGCCAAGTCAAGGATAAGGTTTTCAGCCTGGCCTTCTCCCTGGCATGCTGGATTTCCATTGGAACAGAGGCACCTGCATTTGCTTTGTATAACTGGTGCTGAAAATGTTCCCCGCATCCAGCTCCATCCTAAAAAGGGCCACACTTAGCTATTCCACCCCTCACATCTCTCAACTCTCCTTGCATCTCATCCTGCAACTTGGGCTCAGCTCCCTGAATCCCACACTGGAAGCACTTCTCCACCGAGTGTGCATTTTGCGTCATTCCTGAGGATCTCAATTACTCAGAAACAGCTTGCCCCTGTGAGCAACACCATTGTGTGGCACAGAAATTCATCTGTTCCTGCTGGTTGATCTCCACCTGAAGTCACAGTTGCTGTGGAGAGGATTGCAACTCTGAGGGAGAGGTCATAAGGGGGAACAGACGACACGCATGGGGGTCGGGGGGAAGCAACAAAGGGCCCACTCCTCCGCAAATGTCTCTGCTGTGGGGAAACGTAGAAGCCAAAGCCAGAGGAGCATGACTTCCTCTAAAGGAAGCATTTTCTACAAGGTCTCCAAAGGCCTTTAAAATGCAGCTATACTCCCTCCTCCAAATCTCCTGCTATTAAAGGCTACAGATGAGCAGAAGGCTTGAGGCACAAACATTTCAAAAAGAATCTCTAGTGATCGTGCATCACATAAAGCACGGCATCATTCAAATGCTGCTGGCAAATCAAAAGCAATTCCATGGTGCTGCTGATGTCCTCTAGGAGGAGCTCCAAAAAAACCCAGAGAGTGGGAAGACAAGACAATAACATTTCAGAATCACAACGTGTGGGATTAATTCCTTTGGCAAGTCAGACATCTCGCAAGCTAGGGAGGAATTTATGTAAACCACTGAGGGCTGAGGAGCAGGATAACGCAAAGTTTCATCCAGAACTTTTTGTGGCTCCAGACGGTTGTTCCACATGATTCAAATGGTGCCACTCAGGATCTCTTGCATTGCTATGGATGCCAGGCTGTGGTACTTGAATTGTGCCCAGGCACATCTGCTGCAAGGGATGAGACAGGTGCACCCCTCAGCTTCACTGGCGCGCCTTAAGATATTGCCACCCCAAGCAATCACTTGGGTTGCTGGTGCAGTTGGTTCAGCTCTGGTGGGGTGCTAGAGAGTCCCTGAACTTCAGTACTCTGAAGAGCATAGCAAATGTTGCTCTTGATGGTGCAGCCTGAGTACTCAGCTGTAGAAGCAGAGACTGTGGGAGAAACTGCAAAATTGTCTTCCTGTGATGACCACACCTATAGCACTCTGACAACATGTGACTAAGCACATCTGCAGTGTGAAGGAGCTTGGGTATCTTGGTTTTGGCCTTGCTGACACAGACAGACAGACAGACACACACACACACACACACACACACACGTGTGTGTGTGTCACACTATCTTCTTCCTGTATAGCTGCTACTGAAGCTTAATGTTTGAACCACAGATGTGGAGTCTCCTGTTTAGTGTCAGGCAGATAACCATCTTTGTTGGCATTACAGCCTTGGACAAACTTCTCCAAGGCAACGGCCTTAAGTTACTGTGCAGTATAAGGCTTTTCCCATCCTGAAACAGAGAAAGTTTCAAGAAAGGAAGGAATTCAGTGTTGTGCGATATGACCATTCCATCAGCACGAATATTTCTGCTTGCCAGATGGAACTATCTCCCCTCTCCTTCCCCCGTGTTCTGTTTGAGGGGTTCTTCCAACCCCAACCACAAGCCAATTTAAGAGGTGCAGGGAAGGAGAGGGAGGAGACCCTGTTGCACTTGCGGGACTAGTTACACTGGCTCCTACCATCACAACTGCTTAGATTAATCTGTCCCTTGGTATCCCAAGAAAAGGACCAGAGGCCAGGTAAGATGTCTTTGAGGCTAGGCACAAGCTTCCTGTTAAGGGACCCAAGTCTGCATAGGAAATGATTAGATGCCATAAATTCTCAGGTTCCCCAAGGTGAGTAGATGATGTGTTCTTCCCTAAAGTGACCACAAATGTGTACTTTTCTTATTTTACCAGAGTAGGATTCCAAATTTAATTTTCCAGTCATCTCTTGAGCAAACACAATATTCTTCCTTCAGCATACTGGAATCCCCAGAGTAGTGTGCTACCAAGCAAGAACATAATGGCTGCTACCAAGAAGAGTAACAACTTACCCAGCCACAAAGGCTGTCCTTGTGAGTTGAAGAGGAGGCCCTCACCCTCCCTTTGATAAGAGGGAGAGATGTAGAAGTCGCTGCTGATTATCCGCTGGAGGTGGCTATCCTGCCAGTGCAGGTCACAACCTTCAATGGCACGAGTGAACACTGTGCGTCTTGACCTTGCTAAAGAGCCTACAAGGAAAAGAGCACACAGGGTAGCCAAGTGTGTTGCATGGACTTGGTTAATGTTTGCCACCATGGGTCTGACCACTGAGGTGCTCAGCCATCACCACAACAAACCACACCACAATAAGCAGAATTTCCTGTCACCATGTTTTTAAAATTTAACCATATCCAAACAAAGTAATTCACTAGAGATTTGCTACCACGCATGTCTAATATATCCCTCCTGCTTGCAGCAGGACTGCTGGCAAGCAAAGACTTGAAAATCCCAGATTGTACCACTGCTATAAATTAATTAGGGCAAATCAGCATGCATTCAATCTAAATAGCTGTCCAATTTAGAGATAGATTTGAGGCCAAAGGGTGAGGAGGGCTGACAGTTAAGGAGCTTTGGGTTTTTAATCCAAACTGTGGGAGCGTTCGCAGTTTAATGGGAGGAGGCTTCCAATAACTAATTATGCTTAGAATTGCTAAACGCCCTACAAAACAAAACGGATGCAGTTTCCTCTCTCTACAAGGGTTGCAATGGACTCTTCACAATACAAAGTACACCACTGGTGCTTGTGCAGACTTCACCCTAAGTTCCAGCTATACGAATGGGCTTCATCACAATGAAATGCAGCCCAGGGGATATTTGAGGACACTGAAAGGATTCACTGAACTTTAACGTCTTCTTTTTAAATGTATTGGTTCTTGTTTGTAGTAGTAGTATGCAAAACGACCAATCCTGCAGCAGTCCCAGCCCTCCCTGGATAACCATTCCTCCCATGACCCAAACCCAGCAAGCATGGATAAAGAGAAGGATAGCAAGAGAATGGATGGGGTGGGGAAAGCATGAGCCACCAGAGATACCTAGAAATAGAAATGGGAAAAGTCAGTATTCCGAAAGCTCTAAGAATTCAAGCCAGGCAACATTTGCATTTCAGCAGTTTCCCTCTCAATGAGCTATTTTCAACAGAACATGTATGAAGTGTGTAGTGTGGAAGAAGCCCTACTGATAGGGCTGCTTGTCTCCATACTGTAAACATCACCCTGGTACTTCCATAGAGGAGTCTACCAACTGGCATGCAGAGACAACAATAGGGATAATCTCTCACCTGAGCAAGCTTTTATATTTGAGCACAGTCGGGGTCTTTCCAGATGTTTTTTGTTTGTTCAACAGCTTGTTATAACACTGGGGTTCCCCGGTGTGAAAAACATTACATAGCAGAAGACAAGACACTCTCACCCCCCACCAACTTACTTTGCCTGTGACTGGAGCTCTGAGTAAGTGCACTAGTGATGTTGGGAAGTTCGTTGCCGTAATTCCCATCCTCCAGCGGGCAGACATCCATATCTCCCCACTTCCGCAGCTGTCGCAGCCAGCATCCCTTCTCTTCTAGCGTGCAGTGTGGATTTAACACCACACACACCCACAGGGCCCCTGTATGAATGAACCAGGTGCAGAAACGCAGAGGAGTTATTCACTGCTATCTTGTGTAAGCATGCAGCAAGGTTACCCCCAGCCCCCACATTGTTTCCCTGCCTGGGGAATTTTTTTTAAAGAAACATCCACATCTTGCTTCAAAGAAATGCACTGCACATTGGGAGGGAGGATTTATAAAAGCAAATAAATAGCTAAAGTCAACATTTTTCCATACAGAAACTCCACTGTATTCTTGAGAGATGGAAATTGGGAGACAATAATTGCGTATGCATCTGAGATTATTTCGATCTGCCAGGACAAAATTCCTGTTTGAACTGCACATCAAAGACTGCTTTAAAATACTGCAGCAAGCCCAAGAGTCAGAAGTTCTGAATGATAACCTGATTTTTACCCAGTAAACGATTGCTCCACTTTAGAAAAGAAATATCACAATGGCATTTCATCTGCCATTGTTCTCCAGTCTATTTACATTGAAGAGGTTTTTGATGTTAATTTCTGAAAACTACTCCCTCCAAACTTGAAGTTTTCACAGCATCCTGCTGGCATAATACTCCTTACTGTGATCTTGGCATAGCTGTCAAACAAAAGAGTGATCAGAATGCATAGAAGAGGCAAGAAAGAGATAGTTATGTAAGTTTTTGGACTACAACTCTCATCATCCCTTACCAGGAGCTGATGGGAGCTATAGCCCAGCAACATCTGGAGAGCCACAGAATAGCCACATCTGCCCTAAAGCAACATACAATGCCTCTTTGTTAATCATAATAGAAAGTTTTGTGGCACTTTAAAGACTAACAAATTTATTATGGCAAACATTTTTGTGGACTGTAGTCTACTTCATTGATGCTTTTATTCTTAGTTACAGTCAAAGGCAAGACAATTTCAACCATACCATACTAAAAATAGTGTCAAGCTTTTGGTCCAGTGGTACAGAACCTTATTCCAGCCAAGGAAGAGAATTCAGCCTTCAGTGAAAGCTCTATAGCAGAAAGCTGTTTATGCTAGTCCTAAAGCACACACACATGCATGCACACACAGTTATATGTTTGACTGGGCCAATTTCACGTCCTGCAGGAGTTCTATGTAACTCAAAAACCTGCATACATTTCCACCAAGAGAACATGCTGTAAGGAAAAGGTATCATTATATCCAGAGCTAATCTTGAGCTTTGCACAACTCCAACTAAGCAGGCTGCTCTCCTCTCACAACTGGCACTGACTGGGACTCTTCCTGCTGGCTTGGGAAATTACCAATTCCACTCGCAGCCAGAGACTGCAGCAGGTCTGCATAATATATGACCTACTAAGCAACACAGAGCCCACCAGCTATGTGTGGGGCTACCAGGGGCTCTGTAAACCTCTTGCACTTGCCTGTTTGCTAAAACAGGAACTCTGCCAAGGACCTGGTGGGCTTCCACACACAGATGGTGGGCTCTGTTCAGATCTGGTAGGCTGCAGGTTTGGGCTATAGGGCAGCAAAAGCCATCCATGTCATTCTGTTTTGTTCATCTTGCCCTCACCCCCACTTGAGAGTCTGTTAATCTCCTTCTCCAGCCTTCTTTTAAGCGGCTCAGACTTTTCCACAAATCTCTGGAGAACGAGCAGGACTTTTTTCCGCCTCCAGAGCATTCTGAACAGCAGCGGCATGGAACTGTTTGGGGGCAGTTGCTGGCATTTCCTTTTGGGGCCCAACCACAAATACAGGGCAGCCACCCTTGAACTTCTAAGAGTCTCTTTCCCTTTCCTCATACAGGGTAAAAGAGTGCAGCTCTATAGATCTGGCTTTTGAAGTCTCCCAGCCGGCAAGTCCTCCCATGGAGTTCAATGGCCTGCAGCAGGGCTGTTTCCCCAACGCTGCCAATTTAAAGAGTCAGTTCTTTTGATAAAGGGCTGGGAGAGTGCCACGATGCTCAGCATAAAGTAATTCACAGAGCTGGCTCCTGGGTGGCAGGTTTCTAAACTCTCCTTTGGGTTTATACAAAACAGCTGATCTAAACCTCAGGCTGCTGGAAGTGAATGACAGGGGAGAGACCGCTCTCTAATTGCCCTGTTCTGAAATCTGATACTAGTTACTGTGTTGGGGAAGGGTAATAAGCTACACAGAATTTGTGTCACCAACATATGACTTAACACAGAACCCTGGTCAGAGCCCACTAACATTGCGGTACTTCCTTGAAGTACTAAAGCACAAATAATTCCTGCACAATTATGTTTCTTGGACAATAAATGTATAATTTGCTATTCATTCATATCAAAGTTGTACATCTCTCTTGTGGATGCTGAAACTGCAGCAGTGCCAACTTGGAAATATGCAATGCTTCCTCAAGATACCATAGCCGACTTATAGAATCAACAAAAATAGTTTGTCAACTTGTGTGGGAACAGCAGAAACCTACATTGGCACTGTTTAGAATGTCTCTATTTCAGCAGATATCCAACTTCAACTTACAAACATTGATATTTTTATATAGACAGAAATATGATGTTAATTATAAACCATCATAGCTATCCGGTGTGAACAAGGCGGGCTGGGCCTATGCCTTTCCTCTGGTTGTGTCCACACCAATTTGAATATCTATTTACCTCTTCATAAGTGATTTGTTGCATGAATGTGCACTTTTGCAGCAGGGGACACGATGAGAAAAAGAAAAAGAGAACTTTATTCAGATTTGGAATGACAGAATCCAGGAGTTGGAGTGCAGAATTTGTTTCTATGCATAGATGGCAAACTTGCATGTGAGAACTGTATAGGAATTTGGTTAGCTAACTGACAAGCTACACATGTCCCTAAGATCTGCAAGACCTATTTGATGCCCACAAAAAGTGGCAGCAGAATTAACTGAGTGTATTCCATCAAATGAGTTAGATCCAAAGGATTACAAGTGATGATAGCAAACAGATCATAGTTAAGGAGAACAAACCTTAACCATGATTCCAGGTTTCCTTGGCTTAGCTGCTGCACTGTTCTAAAAAGACTAGAGAGGAACAAAGCAGGTATGAGTTCCTCTCCACGAACAAGCATCTTTTCACAGTCCTGGTAAGTCATAGCTTTGTCTACCATGACATGCAAATGAAACCACTATTACACAAGTTTGATATGCATGAACTGCCACTGAAGTGAGACTTAGAATGCTTTGCTACCAGGAAGGAAGGAAGGAAGGAAGGAAGGAAGGAAGGAAGGAAGGAAGGAAGGAAGGAAGGGGATCAGATTGCACTTGCCCATGCTTGGTTTCTGAAAAGTGTGCAAGTAATAACAAGACATCCCTGACCTGAACTCCTGAATCTGGCGTATGTTCAATCCTCAATAGTATCCTACCTCTTGGACAATACCAATGCAAAGTAAGCTTCCAGATGTCCACCTTATGTTACCTTTGATAGAGGTCCAGATGGATATGCTTTGAAGGAAATGGAATGAGAATCAGTATATTCTGTATAGTCATTCTAGCGCAAGCCCTGACTGCTGCTGACACCATTATTTCAGAGCCTAAGAGCAATGAAAAACTGACAACCTGTATGGATGCTGTGCTTTGCATGTTCTGCAGCAACTCAATCTGCAAACTAAGCTTACTCTGCAATCTGTGGTAGCCTACGATGCTTGGCCTGTCTCTAGGTCTGCAGTCTTCAACTGCCCTGCCCTCACCTAGCCTCTGTATGCACGCTGAACACTTGATTATTTGATTTAGGGGACTAAGCTTTGTTTGACCAATTTTTAAAAAATGTTTTAGTTGATTCTCATATGAATGATGAAGATCCACCCTTTCCAAAACACAGGTAGATTTTAGCTAAAGTATGTTTCTCTCTTCAGACTGAGAACTCATGGAATATGACTAATGTTATCAATGCTTGCTTGAGTTTGAGACATTTTTAATGTTATCACATTCATGTAAGAGCTGCCGAAAGGACATCTCAATGTGGTGTGTTTAAATGCTCCATGTCTTGTGCACCACCCAACTGTGTGGGCATATCCTTGGAGATGTCAGTGCTGGTGTGCATGGGCACTCTATCTAATCTGAAAATGTTATACCTTGCCTTTCAGACTACTTTCCAATGACTGGGTGACATGCACGATGTAAGCAGTATTTAAATGTTACAGCTTCACAGAAAGCACCATGGAAAAGGACACAGCAGTGTTCACATGGGAGTGGTTAAGTCTAAAATTAGCCCAAGTGGTACATATACTAAAAGCCCTAGTAATCAGTACTGCTATTTATGTCACTGCACAACTGGCTTTTCCATATCACCTTGAAAAGGTGCATATATTAAAATTGCCCATATCATCTTGAACACATGAACTTGCCTTCCAGTGCTGGTTCATCTATCAGTAATGTCCAATCCACCCAGAATAATTCCTTGTGTCCTTTTTTAACCTGGAGAGGGATCCTGGGATCTTTTAAGCTATAGCCCCACTTAAAAATATTAAATAGACACAATCCATTTAAAACAGACACAATTCCAGAAAACTGTCTTACCGTAAACCCTTTAGCTGCACTTTATAAAAAAGCTGCTCCTTCCACTCAAAATAGTATACTGTTACCAATGTATTTATTTATTAAATACATTTTCATAAAATCTCATTAAAAAATTCTTAGCACAACCTTCTTCTCTCTTTCAAAATCTCTCTCGCATAGGCATACGTATACTCAACTATTGTCTATCCTTTAGATCTTTTTAAAAAAGAATTTTTATCAGGATGATAGTAGATTAAGAAAAGGAAAACTTTACCATTTTTCTCTTAAGACCACAGTTTTCCATGGCCAGGATTTCACAGATGCCTATAAGGAGTTGCACAAGGATATTATTTGTAATGGCAGAGAAAGGACTTGTCCATGCATAGAGTAGCAGCTTAGACCACCCCCTCAGGCCTCACTGGTGCTGACACAAACTGAGAATGTGCCTAGAAACACACTCTCAAGACCCTCCGCAATGTGCAGATGTTTCTGAGGACAGGAATCTTGAACACCACCATCATAAGGAGAGACTAGAGGTGACCACAGTGCCACTGACTGAACTGAAACCAAGACCCAAAGTCCAGATGTAATAATGCCAAACCATAATCTGGCACTACAAGAACAAGCCTTGGGCTCACACATTCCCTCCTCTTCCTCTACTGACTTGAGTCCAAACAAAATGGCAAATTATAGTTTATGGAAAACCAGGAAGTGTGGGAGGTAATTGGAGCTTGTGGAGCCTGAGGCTTGTTTGTTTTGTGTTTCATCTGAACTAAGCCTATTTCCCCCGTCATTTTATTCTCTCTACCCCACCCCCCTGCAAACCTAGCCCAATCCCCAACTGTAAACAAAGGAAATACATAAACTGTCTCCAGAGAGATTAAGGTCAAGCTGTAGTCCAACTGTTTTCAATCTACTTCTCACAATTAGAATCTAATCTCCAATAGTGCACTGCAGCAATTAAAGCTCCAAAGATTCTCATGCAATGGCAATATTAGCTTTGCTCTTGTGTTTCAACTGGCAGAATAATCTGCACACACCATTTGTGCTTTAAAGAAATGTCCAACGTTACTGGGAATAAAAGCCCTCCTTTCCGTGAACCATGGATCTGAATACCAGTTGCTGGAAAGCAAAATGCAGAGAGGGCTATTGAGCTCATGTCTCGCTTTTGGGCTTCTCAGGCTAGATGAACCTTTGCTGATGCTGTTATGCTTAACATAGATCTCAGTTCACACTGCAAACTAGATAGAGGTTTTCAAGTGGAATAATTCAGCCTGAGCTTGAAAGCATGTAGTTCAGGACGGCCAGCTTTCTTCTTCCTGCAAAGATCAGTAAGGCCTTTCTGGAATATAAAAGAATGCTTTCTAACTTGGTGGCCCCCACCCCCAACCTATAAAGGAAAAGGTTGAAGTGCCTCACTGAGGGGCAGTGGACCAGTGTTGTTTACAGCCTTTAAAAGGGAGATGTATTCTTTGGCTCTGGAGAGAAGGAATACATAATTTTCATAAGGTCCGTAAGAGGCAGAGCAGGGTTGGGACAGCCTTGCTCCACAAACCTCTGGCTCACACATTCCCTCCTCTCTTGATGGTCCTTGCCTCTCTCTTTATGTTTAAATAGTTGGGCAAACACATGCGTGCGCACACACACCACAGCAATGGCATAGTGGGGAAAGCGCTCAGCCTCCAAATAAGGAGAAGAAGCCTATGCTGTTTGTCACCTAACTGATGTTGTGAGCATGATTTAATATGTACCTGCAACACTCTTGCGACCATGCTCCACACAGCCCAAACAGACATGGCAGCTGAGGTGGGGGGCTAAGGATAGGAATTGTCTGGCTTGCCCAAAAGAAGGGAGAATGACAATCTGCAAACCATCTCTAAAAGGTAGCAATGCATACTTTAAACCAGAAGTGCAAAGAACAGTTTCTTCAATCCTCATTATGCCTTTCCATACAGATAACCCAGACTGCTTTGGGCTGACAGGTTTGCGGTCCCACTTATGAAGTGTTGCTTCCGCAGGATTTTGCTGGATCTGGCACAAACCTTGAAAGACAGACTTTCTCTCATGAATGCAAAGAAAACCCTGAAAACATGTAGGCAGTATATGCTAAAGACTTAGAAACAAATTGTGAAAGGGGAGTCTGGACTTCAGAGCTCCCTTCAGGGGTCAGTGGGCACATATTTCCTTGCTCCAAGGCTCTCAGTCCTTCTTTCCCTTGCCTCTCTGTGTCCCCCTCTCTTACTGCTATCCCAGCCAAGATTATACATGAAAATATACACATTTATACTGACGAGTTGCACTGAGTATTCCGATATACAGAACTGCACTCCTGGTCTCTCTCTCTTTCTCTCTGTTAAAGATCAAATACAATGCTGGGTTCAGCCTGGCAAGAATATTCCTCTCATCACCTCTAACAGTACAAACTCGGCTGTACTTCAGGCCTGGGCTGCAGCACTATTTTCATTTCAAATCGGGATCAAACACTACTCAATTTGGCCGATAGAAACAGCAGGCTTCTTGGCTTGAAGGATAAATACTAGCTGCCCTGAGAGATATAGCAGTTGCATTTGGACATCATAATAAACACGGTTTATTTGATCAACTTTATTATGACAGGAACAATCCACAATTCGAGTTCACACACTCCCCATTACTAGCAGTCATGAAGAGCTTGGAAGCTTCACTTTTGTTTCACATTAACCAAAACTTGTCATTTTGTCCCAAACTGACAAATTGTGGTTAATCCTAACCATGGTTTGTTTGAGACAAGCCCACTTCAAAGCATTGGTTAAACTGCAGTCAGTGAAAAATGGAAGCTGAAGCTTCCAATCTCTTTCTTGCAGCCCGGCCAGGCGGGGGGAGGGCGAGGCGAAAGAGCGCTAAAGGCTCACTGCAGCTCTTTCTCATCAAGATAAACCATGGTTTGTTGTGACATCCAAACTCAACCACCATCTCCCAAATAAAAGGCTATGGCAGATTGTCTTGGAATATAAATCTCTTCCCCAGTTTTCAGCCACAAGCAAAGTTCAAAGAGGCTGTTTGCATGGCAGCCTACAGGCCTCTATTACGCTAACTGACAGTGGCAGGCACTTGCCCTGGCTGCTAAAAGGCAAAGATGTGGCCTGCAGGCAAGCTAGCTTTCTATGCATTACTCATTTCCTATGCAGATAAAGAACATGAGGGCAAAAGTTTCTCCAAACTCAGATATTAAATTGCAATTCAAGCCTGTGAAAAGGGGACAGGGACAACCATATCTTGGGGAGGCACCATAGTTTTAGAGCATATGCTTTGCATAAAAAGCTTCCACATTCAATTGCTGGCATTTCCAATTAAATTAGAACCTGGCAGATGATGAGAAAAAGGCTTCTGTCAGAGACCCTGGATAGCTGTGGAGAATACGAAGCTAGTTGGACAAATAAACTGACCTGGTATCAGGAAGTTTCCTGTGTCGCTAAATCTGAAAGGAAAAGTTTACTTCTTGAATCAACTTCCCCTCAAAATAATTCTTTCTCTCATGTACACAGTTGCCTATGGAATGCTCATTCCTACCTCTGTACAGTTTCTAGCTGCCTCCAGAAGCCACTTGCCCAGAGCAGACCAGCAAATGTCATGCAGCCTTCAGACATGTTTTCCACAAGGACTCCTTCTAGCTTCTCCCATCACAAATGGTTGGACAAACTGGCCTCTCTCTAATGGGACACACAGAGACACGGAAACTCACCTAGCTCATCCCAAAGCTGTCGGCATTTGTCCGTCATGCCAGTTCCCTGCTGTCTCCAGAGAGCAAGCCGTGGATCTGCCATGAACTGTTCAGTTATTAGTGTAAGCATCCTGGCGCCATTGGAATCTCTCATGCGCAGCATTTCACGGACCTAAGGCAGCGGAGGAAAAGAGGTGTTATTTCAGTTACATGCAGAATGCATTTAGAGATGGGAACTATATTTTGCATGCCTGTGGAACTACATACTTCTATGGGCCAACATGCTACCTTAAATAGTTGTGAAGACACATCACTAAGAAGCAAGCCTCATCTAACCTGAGTCTATTCAGGTCTCGGCCCAGTATACCTGAAGGAGCATCTCCACCCCCATCGTTCTGCCTGGACACTGAGGTCCAGTGCCAAGGGCCTTCTAGCGGTTCCCTCACTGTGAGAAGCAAAGCTACAGGGAACCAGGCAGAGAGCCTTCTTGGTAGTGGCGCCCACCCTGTGGAACGCCCTCCCATCAGATGTCAAAGAGATAAACAACTACCTGACATTTAGAAGACATCTGAAGGCAGCCCTGTTTAGGGAAGTTTTTAATGTGTGACATTTTATTGCATTTTAATCTTTGTTGGAAACCACTCAGAGTGACTGGGGAAACCCAGCCAGATGGGCGGGGTACAAATAATAATAATAATAATAATAATAATAATAATAATAATAATAATAATAATATTACTATTACTATTATTACTATTATTTATTCAAGGGCAGCTGGACAATCCAAACTAGGAAATCTCTCCCTTGAGAATCAAGAGAGAGGCACAATCTGACTTCAACAGACGAAATCTACCATTTATCGAATCCTAGGATGTTCCTGCTTTGAAACTGGCCCATTTCTTTTGCCTCACCCTCATTCCCCACTTAGCTACCTGCAAGAGGAAAGTAGATGGAGCAGTTTCGGCTCCATGGTCTCATTTCTAAGGGTGGCTTTGCTTCATTCTCTACAATGCAATGGTTAAACAGGAAGTATGAGAAGCAGTGTGGAAGACCTGCACAGTGGGAGAGTTTGGATAATCATATCTTGGCTTAATAAGCCAAGAAATGGATGAGGCATTCCCTCCAAAGCATGAGTAAACAAACCAGGAAGTTTCCCATTCAATATAGTTTCCCATTTCATCTAAACAGGAAAACTACAGTCAACACCTTTAGAACAAGTCAAGATATTAAGCCGACTTCACTGGGAAAGAAAATCCCTAAGAGTTGAATGAACAAATCTAAGTTCAGTTTCAAGTATTGTTGCTGATTCAGCAATATGGTGCAATACAGGAAAAAGAATGGGCTCTAGTTGAAGGAAGGAGATTCAAATGGATAAAACGTGGCAAAGGCACCATGCTAGATGGAGAAGAGGAACCTCTGGAAGTGGAGGGCTTTCCTTGCCACCACAGCACTGGGCTGGCAGCAGCTCCTCATACCCCAGTGTTTCAATGGGAGGGGAAACTGCTCTCTCTGCTCTTCAGAGTTCGCTCTCTGAAAACTGATCTTTGAAGAGCACATATAGTGTTTTTCTCTTCATAGCACCTCAGGGACTGCAATGGAGAAGACCACTCCCAACTTCTCTGCTGATTGGCAGAAGTGCAGGGATGGGCTATGTCTGCCAGACCCATACACCAATAGATAATTCCAGGACTACATCATCATCTATCTAAAAACGTACCCAAAAATGGACTGTTTTCTTTCTACCACCAACTAAGGGCTCTGTCAACCCAGTTTTTTAGAACAGCAGAAAAGGTATGTGTATGTAATGTATGTGTGCTACACATTCATCAACTCAAAATGACCTGAATATCATACATCAGGCATGTCCAACTCCCAAGAGACTGTGATCTACTCCCAGTATAAAAAAAAACTGGCAGTGATCTACCCACTGTCACTGGAGGGAGGAGGAGCATGCGTGGTGTGGGTGGATTGCCCAGAGTTATTGAGCTTTTCCCCCGTAACTTTTTGTACACAATATGGATCCCACGATCTACCAGGATCAGCCGGGGATCTACCAGTAGATCGCAATCTATTGGTTGGACATCCCTGTCATACATGATATAATGCACTTGTGATATCAGTGTTTGGCGATGGCAGGGATTTCTAAGCCAGGGATAAATTTGGTATGTCATGGTGTGATGAAGCTATCAACAGCCTTAGTTCCCTTATTACTTAGTGGCTACATTTATTTATTTCATAGGATTAAAATAAGTTGATTTATGTTCCTCTGGGTGGACCTTTCTAGTGACAAACTAGCAAGGGGCACTATGCTTCCTATAGTATGCAATCTAAACCATGCCGATGCCTGTAAAAGGAGTAAAATAAGTGATCTGAAAAGCACCAGAAGTTGATTTCTGGAGCTCCAAAGGACAACAGCTGCAAAGTGAAGGAACACTATAAGATGTCAAGCCACATGGATGCAAAGCTTTTAGGGGAGGGAAGAAGAAAGCCACGCCTCACCTTAGCAAACATGGAATTGAGTTGCTTTCCAGAGCCATAATACCCTCCCTGGGAGAGGAACAGCTTCACCTGCTCTCGAACCTGTTCCTCATCCAAATGCCAGCAATTCTCGTCATCGATGCTTGCCCCTGCAGTGGGGTCTGGCGCACCTGTGGCAAGAGAAGCCCAGCTATTAAAAGAAACCATGTCCAGAGGAATCAGTCCATCCTGCCATGTAAATTTGTTATGAGGATACCTTCTATTGCATTCAAAACAGGAAATGAGAACCATTCTCTTAGACAAACCAGTACTGCAATATTTCTGCAGTTAATTTTTGTTTTCACTAAAGAACAAGCATCACTGCAGTGTAAGGGCATTGGAGCCAAATAGGAAGCAGACACACCAGCTTATAATAAGTGACCAATAATGAAGGAATGATAAGACCAAACAATACTAGAGGATAAAATTTCAGTTCCTTGCTGTCGTTATGACACTTACAGTGCTATTAATCATTTGTTCTTAAACCCAGCAGCTCATGAAATGAGCTAGGATAACTGTCAGTGCTAGATCCTTCTGAGCTCCCAAGAGCTTTAAAACATACTACTTTGGGCTGAAGACCCACATCTGCCATGTAGTGATCCCCTAGACTCAGCGAACAGTCTGGATGACATACACTCCATATTTGTCCATCTTCTGGTGCTGATCCGTGCCCAGCTTTTCTTGTGTACATATCAGCAGAGAGAAACCATGTTTCTAAAACAGTGCCATTCTCTGTTCCAGGCAATGAACACATACTGTACAAGCAACCATCAGCTGCTGGGTCCAGGGAATCTAGTGAGCTTGAAGGAAGGTTAGGAGATGTCCATGCAGAAGACATGCAATATCCAAGGAATAATTTAATCCTAGCTAATGGACTGGGCCTTCAACTTCCAGGAAGGCTCAATTGGGAGCTATGTGAAGCAGTTCCAGGATCACAAAGACAGACAGAAATGCACTGTAAGGGCAATGATTGCAGGGCCACATTATTCAATCACTTTTGGATTACCTTTTCCCCAGAATGAACAAAATTACTACCTTTGGTACACATATGGCTGTGGCTAATGGCGGCTTAACAGACAGGCATCACCAGGATAGCCGACAGTTTGACGCATAGGGCACTAGACCAATATCCAGGCTGACTAGAGTGCAAGTCAACCCCAAGTGATGTAAGTAGACACAGATGCCTTTCTACCACTTTAGGCAACAGCAAGCTTCTAAAGTACCTTTGCGACAACCAACCATCAAATGAAAAAATGCAATTCAGTAGGGTGGGGCTTAATCTTCTTTTCCCTAAAGTGGTGTTAAAAAACAAGCTGCTTCCTGAATATCTATATGGCAAGAATGTTCATGGCTCAGCTACTTGTTGTTAGATGGGAAATTCTATTCCCCCCTTCATCCAGCAGCAGGAAAGAACAGAAGGAAACAACAGACAAATTTCTGGTTTGCCAGGCAAAGCCTCCTACTTCTGGAAAGTCTGAGGCCCCACGCATGCGTGTGACCAGTGTGTGTGTGTGTGTGTGTGCGTGTGTGCGCGCGCGCGCGCACATGCACGCATGCCTGCCTGCTTGTATAGTTCTGAGTGCATTCAGGGAGGAATCACTGAGACTACCGGACCCTAGAATTGTACTTAATGGGTGACTTGTCTCGCACTGACTTAGGAGAATCATCTTGCTTTAGCTACTGTTTAAGAGGTTTCACATCTCTGGAGCATCTGGAGACAGGTAAGATTTTGTTTTGCAGGTAACTCTCCTCCTATGTAATGCTCACTCCAAGGAATAGGAGCCAGACTCTTTAATGGCTCATCTGGAGTGTTTTATTAAGAAAGAATAATCATGCCCTAAGAACAGGCTTCTGTTTTTCTTTCTCAGAGCCTCATGTCTTTCCATTTTAAGTTTCTCAGTATAGTTCTGATTAGTTCCTCCCCATCCTCACACATTCAGTGTCTTTTACTCTTCATGCTTATATTCAGGAATGCTGCAAGGCATGCAATTGGTTTGCAAGAGCAGCTGGTAGCCCAGTTGATGTGCCTTGCACAATTAAATGCAGAGGATGCCAGAAGACTGAAAAGGAAATTCTTGTAGAGTCAAAAGAAGTTGAGCTTAAAACTGAGAGATGCAGAGTTTACCAGCTTTCCTTCCTCCCTTTGAAGCTACAGGGGCGGCGGGGGGGGGGGCAGGAGTAGCTTGCACTTGGAGAGGACAAAGCAATATTTATGAAGCACTCTGTTGTAGAGCACTCCCGTGAAATTAGAAAGCATTCTGCATTGTCGTGTTGCAGTCAATTTGCACAAGCCAGGAAAAAAATAGATTCTATTTTCAAACCTTTGAAATGCTTCAAAGGCAGCTTTGTGAAGAGCTGAACAATGCTTCTACTTTGTAGAAATTATCAGCATCTCTGCATCTGGATGCTTGACATTAGATAACAAAAAAAAGCCCAAGTTCCCTACACCAGACTGTCTCTGTGCACAGAAAAAGCTGGGTGAAAAATCGTGACAATGAAAATTCATGGTGCCTGGAGCATGCTCTGTTGAACTTTAACCCACTTGCCTCATGCTTATTACTACACTTCAGTGAGTAAAGGGGTCATTGCTGGAACAGCAAGGCATGGACAGCAGAAGGAAAGGAAATGGCTACTGCACGTCCAGTTCAGTCTAGTGACTCTAGTCCACTAGAATTGTGCTTGGTCTTGTCAGTAAAGGGTTAGCCCCATTCAGAGATCACAGGTTAAGAAATCTGCCCTGATCCTAGTTCAGATGATGGGTGGGAGACTAACAATGTCCTGCAGGAGCTCCACTCTTACTCTGCCACACCCTTTTATGGGCCAAGGAGCAGCCTCGGTGGTGCAACAAAGCCACTTTCCTGACACAGGTGCTACTGGCACCTACTGGGGCAGAGCAGTGGAGAGGTTGGAGCTGTGCAGGAGCACGGGCAGAGCCAATCTAGTGCTTCCGTTGGTTCGGCTGCACATTCCCAACTTCCCCGCTGCCCTTCCCCATCCCAGTAAGCAGCCCTGTCCTGCCACTCCTGCATGGGCTCAGTGGCAGCTGGCATTTTCAAGCCCTAGAGGAGCCAAGATGTTGCTCAGGGAACCAAGGCAATGAAGAACCAGGATGCAGCTTAAACTACTGAATATAGATTTAGTTTCATTTTCACTTTTATATTTTGAGCCCGATATTAATTAAACTGCAATTAAGGCAGGGGGTGAATCTAATTACCAATCAGTGAATTTGCTTATCAGAGATTCATAAAAGAATGCTTTAATAGGAGGCTCCGTCACACATGACACAGATGAAAATAATGTGCTATAAATTACACTGGGAAAACGGATACACATTTCAGACTAAACAACAGAATTTGCAACATGCTCAAATATTAATAAGATGTACTATCATATTCCTTTTGCCAATATTAACATGCTGTTAATCCAACCAGTGGCACACGGTAACATGTGGAAGACAATGGGCAATTGTCTCATCTTAAACTGACTGAGGATTGAACAAAGAGAAGGCCTTGAGACCCCTTAAACTGTCACTCATACAGCAGCAACATTGCTACCTTCAAAATCTGGTCTCAGATCAGCTTTACAGACATTCTCCTGGGGGCTGTTTACACAATGATTTTTTTTCAGAGATAACAACCCCTAAAGCTTCAGCCTCAGCCTTGCGCACAGAACTCACAAGCTTGAAGTGACTTAAAAGTGAGGTGCCTGGAATAATGTGAATACCAATAATCACCTTGGTATGTTCTATCACTTTTTTTTGCAGCAATCTGCCACATAAACATTGCCATGGTCAGTACCTGCACAGCATGAGAATCATAAAGAGGAGATGCACAGAAAACCTGATATACTCAGTCTGGCAACCTGCATGGATCTCCAAAGCAGTAATAGAGGAACTAAAGCTGAGTTTATCCATTCAATATATATAAAAATCTTATTAAGAGAGTCTATCCTACTGTGTAAACAAGCTCTAGGATAAAGACAAGCATTTCCCTTTCTGTCCCATATGAAAAGATGCTCCAAACTCACTGCAGAGCATTTACAACTAGACATGTCAGGCAAGCTTCACCTCAAACAGGTGGCATTTATACTAGATGCTGGTGTATTGGGGCAGATATAGACCTTAGTAACATTTGATTAAGGATTACTGTAAGGTAAAAGTAATCACTGAAAGTAGAACTTTGCTAAATCAGGCACTGCATTTAAGAAAGTCCAGTTCTGGCAAGTGGCAAGTGGCTAGCCAAATCACAGACTTGAGATGAATATTTAAACACTGATTAGCTTAACTAACGATGGCCACAGAACTCTTAAGTCAGTACCTCAAGTGCTTCTGCTGGGGAGCTCCTGAGAAATTCATACGACTTCCTTGTGAGCTCACGCTTTCTACCTAATATGGCCCTTACCTGACCCTCTTCCTCCTTAATGGCAGCTCTCCAATGGATGCACATGGTAAGGGATGGTTTAAACCTAAAGCCACGTGACAGGAATGGAGCAGAGAAAGCAGGGGAAGCATGGCTGGAGACATTTAAAAGATTCAAAGAGCAACACCAAACATTTCGCCTCTTCCCACGCGTATCACCTCTGCTTTTCCTGCCCTGGAGCAGCCGTTCTCACATAAAGCCCCTTCCTCTCTCCTCATAGGGGAGAACCCCCTGAACATAGTTTTCACACTGTCCCACCACATGACATAAGGGAAGGTGGTGGAGGTTCACCTAGGGTGATAGTTTGAGTGGTGGTGGTGGGGTAGTGTACCATAAAGGGGAGGGGCGATAATGATGAATGGCATCCTTCAGACAGAGCTCTTGCAGCAGGTGATGCCTACAGGGAAACGAGAAACACATTGGTGAGAGCAGGAAGGTATACCATAGAATGAATCCATCAATGATTGGGAGGATGAAGCAAGTACAGTATGCGGCAAACAAAACCCATTGCTGATAACAGGCCATAGCTCAACCAGAGCCATTTTCAGCCTCCAACAATGTCAGATACAGAATATAGGGAAATGGATGTGTTACAAGTTCACGGAATGGAAAAGAATAAAATGGAATACTGTAAATAAATCTGTTCATTTCCAAACTAGAATAAGCCTAAGTAACAAAGGCTACATCTCCAACTCACTTTTTGTCCCTCTTACATCTGAACTGATGTGGCACCAACACTGCAAACAACAGGACCAAACATGCATCCCTGAAGACTTTGTTCAACATCACAAGTGGAGGTACACAGGGTCAGCTGGAGTCAAGGATCAGAATCCAGGGAACTCTACATGCCTGGGAATCTGAACTGACCAAGGAAAGTGCACATATAACTTAAAACATTTACAAATAAGAAATCTGTACATGGTCAGAGTGCAGAGGGAAACTGGCAGGCAGCTGTATGAGGTTTAATTCCTGCCAGCAGAATTGCTCCCATTGGGTATTTGACAGCAAGCATCCTTAACCCAAGGATCCTTTTGTTCAATGTTTGTATATTTTCCATACTTCACATTCCCCAGTGTGCTCTCATGATGGAATTCCAGTTAGCCAGTGTATCCATGTTTACATTGCTGATTAAGCTAATAAGACATACTGGACTTGGCAAGAGATGCTCCTGAAGTTTGAACCATTAACCATACAAGTCAGCTCAGGGGACAGGTGATACATCTCAAGTTCTCTGGGCCATGTCTGAATGATGGTATGCAAAGGAGAAGTCCATTGATTTAGGATTTGTTTCTTCCTAATCAATGCCAAGGCATGAGGGATCTTTAATCCTACCCTGGGAAGCATGTTGTGTGTGTCATCAACTAGGATCAAGGATACAGGCTCTGCATTTGGCAGTTAGAAAGCAAAACATGTTTCAGAAAAGATGCTGTGAATATGAGCTGTTTTGTCATCTCAAAATAATTAGTTAGATCTAAACTGAGGGGGGGGTTTTTTGTCACTCCTCCTCACTTCAAAATATCTACAAATAGAAACAACATTGTTTCCTAGTTTTTGAGTATCACAGTCGAAAAGCCTCTGGGTGCCTTCTGCTAGCACTCAGGCAGCTGACAAATCCCCACACGCTAATATGCTCAGGCACCAGATTTTTAAACCACAGTGGCTATGGATCTGAAAGTTATCAACACCCTTTGAATCCTGGACTGTCTGCCCCACTGCAGGATCACACACTGTAAAGATGCATTGATCTAAACACCGAGGAAGGATACTTGAGACCAGGGATTGACATGTTGGTATCCATCTGTCTCGAGGGACAATGGAGTGCACCTCTGGGGGTGAAGTCAAACCACTTTGTTAGCAGCACCAAAGTGACCTTCCCAGGGCACAAGCCTGGGCAGTGTGTCTGGAGATCCTGGGCTCCCCAGACAACTCTTGCCTTGCTAATGTGATCCAGAGGAAAGCAGAGCATTATGTTTGGCACCAGCTTGGCTGCAGGAGTTGCCAGAAGGAGGTTTACAAGATGCCATCCAACCTTCTTAGGGACTCCGCTATGAATTTGTGTAGGGTTGTCCCTCAAGTCTACGGGTACAGATTGTTCCTTGGGGTTTACTCCCGAAACCTTTCTCACAAATGAGTATAGCTGCAAGGCAGCAAAGGTTTAGGATCAGAGTTTTCCTTCTCCTAGCTCCTTTCCCTTTCCCTAACTCACCAAGGGTTTAAGACCCATTGGCTACCCCCACCTGGTTTAGGCAACCAGTTGTAGCTGTTCCTGGGGTGTGGCTGCTGTCGCATGCTGACAGCTTCTAGGAGCTGAGTGCACGGTGGGAACCGAAGGTGGAGAAATTACTCCAGAAGGAGCATGACGTCTCCCCCCACCAGAGGTACTACCCCTCCCATAACACCCCATACAACCCTATAGTAGGAATTGACACCTATTATAGATACAGGGGTTAAGTTTTTTCTTTTTCACATACTCCTGAGCTGATAGGTACACGTGCTATCACCTTCAAGAGCAAAGCCCTTTTCAGTATATAGTCCAAGAGTATCACAACACTAGAAGTACAGCTAACCAAGAAGATGTTGTTGTTGCCTAGCAATCAGTCAGAATGGCAGGATCCTTTCTAAGGTAACTTGTGCTCTGGTTGCCTGTGCGGTTCTAAGGGAGTTTTCCACTGTGTAGTTGCTGTATATGTTCCTAGTATGGACTTGGCCTGAATTGTTCAGAAACACAAAATCCCTGTTTATTTCTCCTCATACTATGTTTTTGTTCAGTTCATTGCATACAGTGTTATCAATTCGTTTTCTTTCTGGACTAAGACTGCACTACAGTAAGCTCACAACTTACACAAGGGGTTACATTCTGGGGATCACACCTAAAGCCTAAATTGCGTATAGTCAAAACATGTTGTGGAGGGAGCTGGACAAACTACTAGGCCTTGGATGTGACCCAGTGGGGCTCTTCCTATGTTCTTAATGGGACAGGACTATATGCATTAAACAATACATTGTCATCCAGATTACAGCGTGCCACAAGCAGAGAATGGAAAGGTGCACCGTGTCTGACACATCGAGGAAAATGCGAAAATTTGAAGACTTTCAGAAATACCAGCCAACCACACAAACAGAAAACAAATATTTCCTTATTGCAAAGCACAGCAGTGAGTTCCTAAGCATGAAAGGGAAAACTGAAAATAACTACTTGCCTATGCACATCCCAGAAACCCCACATCTTCAAGAATAAAAGTTTCCTTATCCTTTTTAGTACTTGCCCTAACAAGAAATTGAGTATTTTATTTTATTTTAAAAAGCAGCCATTGCACACTTCTTCCCACCTTCAGCAAGCTAGCACTGATGTATCAGAATTATATGTATGTTATTCTCAAATATCTAGGCCCATTATATAACTACTAATTCATCTGTCTCTCTCTCTCCCCCCCCCACATAACTTTTCACCTTCAAAGTATTTGATGGACATTAATTCACCCCCACATCTTAATTCCTCCATCTCATCACACAAGCAGAGCTATAGTGAGAATGAATGTTTAACTGGCAAGCTGTGGAAATGTATTATGTAAGTGACTTAAACAGACCAGACAGAAAGCAATGAGAGGCGAGGAGATCCAGGCCTCCATGATCTGCTCAGGCCGTGATTTCAGTGTCAACTCTCAATCAATATTTGCTTCAATACCCATTTCCGAGTGGGGAGTACAAAGCACACTGCAAACTACCAGTTTGGCTCTAATCACCAGCTCTTCCCTCATGAGTAAGGGAAAAATCACTGATGGCATTTTGTACTGGAACATTAACAAGCATTGTATTTAACATCTCAGCTACACTTGCTTACCACTGAACAAGAGTTATCTGTTGGTTGGGTTACATGCTGCTATGGGAATTTATCAAAGGCGATTTTCAACAGGCAGACTTACCATGCACTTGATTGATTTCAGAGTTGGAGGACAAGATTTCATCAGCCAATTTCTGGGCTGTCGGGAGCACTTCAGTGTGGTGGGCTGTGATCAAATACTGAACAAACTTTTGGAGCTGGTCTCTGTTCATTTGGAAAAGAGTCTCTGAGATAGGAAGACGGAGTTTGACCTGATCAGGCTTGCGAATTCTGTACAGTGAGAGTGCCACTACATGTGCACAGTAAAAAATGTCCTTGTTCCCGCAACCACACGTCACAGAAGTTATTTTGCACCGGTCAAAGCTGATGGCTACCTTGTAGGTCATTTCTGCTTCTGTTGCAGTGGCAGGTTCTGTTACTGTGCCACTCAGGTGGAATCCTGGAAGGAGAATAAGAGAAGGATGTTTAGCTTTGCAAAGGAGTGTTATCATAATAGCCCACTAGCCTGCTCAGATTGCATAAATGCTAACAACAATGTGCCACAGCAAAAAATTACATTTCTTTCACTGCAAAATGAGCATATATTTGAGACTCACTATTCTGCATGAAGATGTTTCAGCTGAACAGAAAAGTTCTGCACTCTTTGACCAGCTCAGAATAATCCCAAACTGAACTAATAGCAGTACCCAACCATATGTGAAAGATTGAATTTTCTTTTGAAATAGCTGGGCTGGCATAAAACTAATTCCAGATTGTCTTAAAACTCTTAAGCCACAACCAAACTTGGAGGAGCTGTTTTATTATTAGTTCCGGGAGTAGCTAAAGGGCAAGGATGAATCCTGCAAAGCATCTCTCACACTCCATTGCTTCATGTTATTTATACTGCCCAAATGAGGAGGGGTTGGCTGCAACCTGAAGTTTCCTTCTTCATCTGATGGAAGAGTGATTTTAATATCATGCTGAATCTTGCTCATTTTCTCTGCCAGAAAACATGATGTAGTATATCTTGGCAAATGCAAGCTTTTCAAAATCAGCTGAACACCAGATACTCATGCAAGATACAACACATGATACCAAATCTGGTTTGAAAGGACATTAATTGCTTTTGAGTAAAATTTCAACATGTGTCTATTAAACATCAATCCATATTTCTTCGCTTTAAGGAATAAAAAATGAGCAATGCTTCACCAAAAAGTAGGATGCAAAACCTAGAGCAGAATTCTGCACAATATTGGCAATAGACAATATTGTACAACTATTTAGTAGCCTACATTCATTCCCATGATACAAAAATTCTGAATTCAATTGCCCCAACCTCCAAACATATCTCAAATGGATTGGAAAATGGGAAAGAGCACTCTTCTTCTGAGTCAGCTAGGAAAATTCCATGAAACTACCAAAGAGTAGAAACAAGTCTCACCAATTCTATATAGTTCGAAGTAAATGAATAAAAACATTAATTCTTTATTTTGCCATGATGCAACAGCAGGTAGGAAAGGGAAGAAATGAATTTTAACAAATACAAAAGTAATATCACACTGCATTAAAATATTTACATCTTTCAAGTCTCCCATTTCAAGACCTCAATCAATAGGAACAACATCTAGAAAATGTTTCACTTCCTTCATTTATTCTACTTGAAAGCACAACCCAATTTCTGGGTGCACTCTAAGACCCTAAAAGTGGGTCACACTAGGCTTTTAACACAGGGCAACAGTGATTGTGATCTACATCATAAGGAAATTGGATTCAGTACCATGTGACAATCTTTAACTTCTTCCTTTTCAATAACTAGCTTTATTTGTCAAGGCAAGCAAGAGCAAGAACAATGTTCACTGAGCTCTTAAAAGTCTTCAGTTGTTACTTTATCTGCAGAAAATCAGTAAGGAAGAGCCATCGTACTTCACTCCTGGCTGGATTGCCACCATTCAGAGGCTGGATTACCAGCTGTTAGGGAAGCTTTGCTAGTAGATTTCCTACATCAACAGGAGGTTGGGATAGATTATCTTTGATATCCCCTTCTAACTGAGATGGTCAGTAGAAAATCCACAAAACGGGGTAATATCTTCCAAACAACAACATCAACAACAAAGCCCCAATGAAAGCCAGAGTGTGGTAAGCCATGAAGCTCACTGGGCAACCTTAGGTCAGTCACTGCCTCTCAGCCTAACCTACCTCACAGGGTTGTTGTGGGGTTTAAATGAGGAGATGGAGAACCATATGTACCACCTTGAACTTCTTGAAAAAAAAGTATGATATAAATGCAATAAGTAATAAATAATCGAAAACAGTTTCTAAAATGTGCACCTGCACAAAACCGCAGTTCTCATCGCGTATCTTTGGCTAATGATTAAAATAGTAAGCTAAAATATCAGCTGCTTTTCCTAAAATCAAAATAGGACTGGTCAAATGGTTTTATAGGAAATCCATGTGTCCAGATTCTTAATAGACAGCTTCAACCACAGTATCATTTCCCCCCTCACTGATGCTCTTTTATTGCTTATACCGCTGGAAAGTTTCTAGGAATGTACTTCAAACACAAACTCGCACTAGAGGAAACTGAAAGATAGCAAAAGAAGAGAAAAATGATTAAACCACGTTAACTGCATGAATCCCTTGTGTGTTTGCCAACCCTTATAAGGTTTCTGAAACAAATTCTACCAGAGGTTTTTAATCAACAGCATCAAAACCATCTATATGCTGCTATTCTCTTTCAAGCGGTGCCAAAACCCACATCCAGATCTGATTAAGTATTGAGAGGTTTCTTTCACTTTAAGAACTGGATTTAAAAAATTGGCCTTGTAAACGACCATAAAGGGCTGTATTACTTGGATTGATCTAAAGGCCAGAAATATGCCCCCCCAAACATTGACCATTCAAAACTTGTCTGATAAACATATCCACTCTCCTCATATAATTAGTTTAAAATAAATCTGAGGCAACTCTCAGGCTGTGTACAATTATTTATATGGAACAGCGGGAGCTACTTCCTCCTGTACCACCACACACTGACACGGTGTGCCGAGGGCAATTATGGCTCTATATAAATTGCTTCCAAGAATATGAAAAGCTATAATCCACAGCCCCCAACCTTCCTCTTTCTCTCTCTCTCTCTTGGTTATTATTATGCTGTGTGATTTCATCAAAAGCAAGCAGGAACAAAGAGCAAAAGTGTGCAAAAGTATTTGGGTATCCCAATTGTTTTGCTACGTGTTTTAAGCGCTGAGCATAAGGATTGTCTGTCAAGAAGGAACCCTGTTTGCTCAATGAAGAACCTTCCCCACATCTATGCAAACGGACTTATTCTCCAGCCTGCCTCTCTCTCTCTTACCGTAAAACGGTATTCTGCACTCACAACTGCACCAGAAATAAATGCAGTTCCATGAGCCACCAAAAATACTGCTGTAGTGAAAGGAAAGCTGAGGATGCACATTTCAAACTTAGAACCACAGCGCTTCTGAATCACCCTATCTGTGCAAGGATACAAGTGTCTCATTTACCCATTACTCTCTCCCACTCTGAACCAACAGGGTCCCAATGAACATTCACTACATTCGCCTGCACTGAAAGCAAGAAACAGTAAGTGATACAAACCTCCTATGCAAACTGCTCTGTAAAAATCTATTTGTTTATTTATTATTTGCCTTCCCTCCAAGGAGATCCAGGTGACATACACAGTCACCCTTTTTAGGCTCACCACAACATTATGAGGTGGGTTAGGCTGAGAGATGACGACTTGTCTAAGATCACCCAGCGAACTGGTGCCATCCAGATATTGTTGGGACTCCCAACTCCCTGGGCATGGCTGGCTTAAATGCCCAAGAAGCAGACTGGAGGGAAGCCATGGAGACGTCTCCTCTCTGGTACACTCCCAAAGCCGTGTCCCCAAGCTCACCCATGAAAGGCTGCCAACACAGGCGAGCCCCAGCAGACAGTGTGGCCAGTAAAGGAGGAAGTGATGTCATCTCCCAGCTGTACCAAAGCTAGAGGGGCCCGGGCGCCCACAACTGTAGGCTGCATTGGACCACAATTGCTGCCTCCCCACAGCTAGCAGGTAAGTGGCCATTGTAAATCTACTCTGGATCTCCTAACAATTCTCAGCATCCTTAACAAACTAGTTTCCATGATTCTTTGTTTAATATGATGTAATACTGCTTTAAAAGTATACGGCAGATGGTGTCTTAGACTAATGGGAACATTTAATTTCTGCTTTGCCTGAATTAATCAGTTCATGATCACATTAATATTACTTCAACTTAGCAAACCCTCTATTTCACCCATATACAGAATTCTTCACCACAGCGAGAACAATTACTGCTCTATTAGGATTACGGTCTATGAGTACTATAAGGCCTGTTACATGCTGGAAAATCTAATTCTGTACACTGTATGATAAACACTATGGCTTAGTTCAGATGATCCCCCATGGTTTAGGATGCAATTCCTATGAACACTTACCTGAAAGCATAGCTGAACTCAGCCAGATTTATTTTTCAGGACATCTGCATAGGACTGTGCTGTTGAGAATTTATTACAGCTTTGTGTGCTTCTCTCTTCCTCTACTGTCATGTGCTTCCATTTCCAGGTTGTTGAAACCATAGTTTGCCACAACGTCGGAATCAGGCAACTATGGTTAGCACTAGCTTCCTGTTCACAGTTTAGATATTAATGCTAACCATTGTTTGCTTGGTTTTGTATGTCATTGCAAACTATAGTGTCAGCAATCCAGAAATGGGGGATAGAATAAACATGCAAGGGGAAGAAAATGTGTAAGAGAAAGTGTACAAGCCTGCTGCACATTTCCAGCCCCCCCAGCCCCTGTGATCATCTGTATTTGCCCAAATGTGACTCTCTGATCTGCATACTCAATCTCTGAAGAATTAGTAAGGTAGACCTAGAAGCCAATTGAACAGCTCAATTTTTATCATTTGCTTTCAGGTATCATGAAACAACCCTAGAGTCATATCACATTTAGCCAAAATTTCTATCCTAGTCCAATTTTGATGACAGCTGAAAACAGTCTAAGGGAAAGAGGACACAGCTCACATCCTACATATTTGTATCAAATAAGCCATAAATATATCTGGAGTCTGCCACGTTTATCTAGTGTTTAGCTTTAAATCAAGTGTCAGTTTAATTTCTAGCTGTCATGACAGCACATCTATTAAAGATTAACTAGGGGAAAAACATATGCAAAATATTTATCAAAAGCTTAGCCAGAGATTAAATACTGTTCTGGAAAAAAACAAACTTGAGTAGTCGTTTTATTTGGAGTCTTTACATCAGCACTTGGAATGTCTTTGGCTGGCTGGCCAGCCACACTAAGCTTGCCCTTGAAACCTAGTAAACCCCAGTATAAAACTGGGAAGCAAACTCTTACTGTACAGGACAACATCTCATAAGAAGAGTCAGGCTGCCACCCTGGAAGTGGGAATCTCA